AAGTATTAAATAGAACTTATAGTATATATTAATTATATTTTAATTAGTATTATAATTAGTATTAGTATTATTATTATTCTTAGAATTAGTATTAAAATTAGTATTAGAATCAGAATTAAAGATATAGAATAAAGAGAAGTATCTCTAGTGTAAGAGAGAAGTTTTATACTTTTATAGCTACGCTCTTCTAACTCTAAACTAGACTCTTAGAGAAATCTTTATACTTATAGCACTATAGTTTAATACTTTTTTTAACTATAGATTACTCTTAAAGTAGTACTACTATAGTTTAATACTACTTTTACTATAGTTACCTACTAAGCTCTATAGCTAATAGAAAGGCTTTTATTTAATATTATACTATATTTCTATTTATAGCTCTTCTACTAAGAAGAGCTACCTATTATTATTATTAGTACCTACTTCTATAGCTTAGAAAGCTTATTACGGTAGAGTGTTAATATAGATTAGAGTAACAAAACGTAGTTAGTAACTCTATATAGTAATCTTTATATAGGTATATTTCTTAAACACTTTATTTTTGCTTTATATAGCTATAAGTATTAATAAAACTCTTTTTTTATATTATTTATTATAGATTTAGTATATTAATAATAATGTTCTTATAAGTGTAATAGTGATAAAGGCGTTTCTAGTAGACTTAGAAGTAGGCTTAAAAGTAGTAATATGCCGGTGCACAGGGTTCCTTAGCGTGAATCGGCTATTTGATTATCTGAAGATTGCTAAGAACAAGAACTTCGACAGATAAGAACACAAGAGAAGGCAATAGCATAAGAGCATCTTTTAGATTATCTTTTTAATCTTTGTTCTTAAGACGAGGATAGCTTTTTAGATACTCGACACTTGTACAGTACTTGAGACTAGAGAATCTCTCTAGAATAGGATCTCTTCCTACTAAACCAGCGCCTACATATCTCTTTACTTATGCTAAACTACTTTATATACTCGTAGCAGTACATCTTTATATCCTCTAACACCTATACAGTAATAAGTAAGCTATAGATCTAAAGAGCTATATAAATATTAAATTAATTTTTATCTAGAAGTTAATATAGAAATAAGCTTTCTAAGCTATAAAGATAGATACTAATAGTAATAATAGATAGCTCTTATTAGTAAGAGAGCTAGAAATAGAAACGTAATATAATATTAAATTAAAGCCTTTCTATTAGCTATAAAACTTACTAGGTAACTATAGTAGAGGTAGAGTTAATTATAGTAGTGCTACTTTAAGAGTAAACTATACTTAAAGATTAAGTTAAACTATAGTGCTACATAAGTTAACTATAGTAAAAGACAGCATTAAACTATAGTGCAAGTGTAGAGATTTCCGCAAGAGTCTAGTTTAGAGGTAGCTACAAGAGTAAAAAACCTCTCTCTTACGCTAGAGATACTTCTCTTTATCTTATATCTTTAATTCTAATTCTAATACTAATTCTAAAAATAATAATAACACTAATACTAATAATAATACTAATAATAATATAGTTAATATAAACTATAAGTTGCGTCTAATACTTAAGCGCATATACTTTAAGTACAGATTATAGTCTACTACTTAGAAAATAGTAAATAACTACTACTATAGTCTAAGTAATATACTAGATAAAGTTATTTTTAATAAAAGAGCTAGGCTAAAGTATACTAGTAGCTAGATTAGCTATACTTATAGCACTAACCTTAATATTAATAATAAAGAATTTCTAGATACGCTATATAGTAACGCTTTATTAGTAATTATTATCTTCTTAGTAGATAAAGTACTTATAAAATAGAGGTTAGATCTCTTAGCTACTAAGTAGGCCTTTATAAAAGTATAGTTATAGTAACTCTAGTATCTTAAAAAGAAACTTCTTAATATATAAGTTCTAATAATAGCCTAGAAAAAAGACTTTTTTAAGATTACTCTAGAAGACTTTTATAAAAAGTAGAAGCTAAAGGTCTTTTACTATATCTATATAATATATAATCTGAAGTATAGTATTTTTTTATTTTTATAGCTATAGTAAAGAACTTAAAAACTTATAGATATAGATAAAGGATAGGTAGATAAATAATAGTAAATATAGATAGTAGCTATAGTAGTTATATAATATAGCTACTAATATAGCTAGGCTTATAGGTAATTATCTATATAATATAGATTACTAGTAATCTTATAGATGTTATGTAGATATCTTAGGTTAGGCTTTATACTAGTATAGGTAGACTTACTAGGTTTTCTTTTAGTGTTACTTAATTATATAAGGCTAGTATTAGTACTACTAGTTAATAATCTAAAGCACTATTAGTAATATAGAATAAATATAGAGCGTGTTATAATAATTGCGCGTGTAAAAATAGTTGTCTTAGTAATTATAGAATGCAGCGTGAAGTTATAAGGCGCAAATCTAGGCTTATATTAGAGATTTTTAAGTTTACTATTAGGTCTAATATAGTAACGCGTTATTACATAATTCTAAAAAAAGTACACTATAGGTTTTGTCTTTTAGGCCTAGAGAGAGGCTTAGAAAGCTTATTTCTACGTTGACTTCTAGATAGAGAATATTTTAATATTTATATAGCTCTTTAGATTAATAGCTTACTTATTACTATTTTTAAGCTTACTTCTAAGTTTACTAGAAATACTTCTATTACTTTTACACTTATAAGTATATTATTATTAAAGTACTAGATCTATAGTAAATATTACTAAGAGAGAGTTTTATTAATACTTATAGCTATATATAGTAAATATAAGGTATTTAGAAAATACACCTATATTAAGATTACTATATAGAGTTACTAACTACGTTTTGTTACTCTACTCTATAATAATACTCTACTATAATAGCCTATCTCTTACTAACTAGGTTCTAGTTATAGACCTAGAGCAAATTATTAGCTATCTTTCTAATATTAGTAAGCTAAGGTAGGTATTCTTACTTTACTAGGTTTAGAATATATTAGATACTTACTACCTCTTCTTAGCTTTAGAGAGCTATTAATTTAGGTATTATATTATATTATTAAGACGTCTTAGTAAGTTATCTTTATAGTATACTCTTAGTAACGTTATAGGTAGCTATAGCACGTTATAGCTTGTGTATTGCGTTTTATTTAATAGTCTATAAAGTAAGCTTTAGATCTCTTTTATCTAAAACCTTTTTTACGTTACTTAGTTAAGGTATTATAGTGTGCTTAAAGTTTAGTTAGGTCTTAGCAAAAAGGTTCTACTCGTTTATTATTTGCGTTAAAAAATGTTAAAGTTAGACTAATTTTAATTTTCAATAAGAGTGCCTAGATACTTATTTACTTAACTTACTACTTAATACAAAAAACTATCTATAATTCTATATTAAGATACTAGAACTAGTATACTCTAAAATAATACTATAAGAAGCTATCTATCTAGAACTAGAAGAGAATAATATCTATAAGATTTAAACATTCTTATATATAGATAAGATAATAATAAAATAGAGTACTTAATTATATAGTTAGAGTATAATAAGAACTAAGCTATATAGAAACTAGATACAGATGTAATAAATTAGTATTAATAGCTTATAGAGTACTACTAAAGAACTTAGCATAGCTATATAAAGCTACTATTATATTAAAACTACTTAAAGTAGACTATATTTTAAGTAAAAAGACTATTTAAATAGACGCTACTAGATAATTTATAATCTTTATATTAATATTCTTACTTTCTACTTCTATTTCTAATATAAGAAATAGCGCCTTCTTCTACGTATACCTATTAGCCTGCACTAGTATCTTTATATAATATAGTAAACGCGCAATTACCTCTAATAATAACCTTTAATCTTTATCTTCTTTAACTTAAAACTTTTTCTTAGTTTTATCTAAAGAGGCTTAAGATTATTAATGTATAATTTGCTAAAACGCGCGTATTCTATAAACTTAATAGATAAATTTAGTATAATATAATAAAGCTTATTTTAAATAAGTACTTATTATAAGTAATAATAGAAACAAAATTAGTGTTAAGAGTTTTCTAGGTAAAATAGATTAAATATTTGTAAAACTTAGATAAGATAGTAGACCTCTAGAGCTTAAGATATACATAAAGCAACTCTACTTATAAGCTTAGTAAGACTAAGGTTAGATAATAAGAGACTTAATGCTTAGAAGAGAAAGATAGTATTATAATCTAGAGTTAAAATACTTATAACTATACTATAACTACACTATAAAACTTAGAACTAGAATAGTATTTCTTTAAAATAATAACTATTAGTAGTTATTTAACTAATTGCTCTACTAAGAACTATTACTAGAAGTAATACTAACTATTATAACTACTATTAGAAAGTTATACTTACTATTACTAGAAGTTACTATAACTACTATACCTCTATAATTTAGTGTATCTAACTTTATATAAGATTAAAGTATTTAGTCTAAGAATTATATTTCTTTCTAATAACTTCTTATAACATTATGTTAATCTACTAAGTATACTATTACACTACTGTGCTATTATATTAATCTATTAATTATACTAGTATAACTACCTCTATTCTACTTTACTTATCTATCTCTAAGAACTAACTTAAAGAATAACCTTAATAGTAAGCGTCTTAATATACTATATAAGCTTTATCTTATACTATTAGTAGATAAAAAGGTATATAAGCTTACAAAGCTAGATTTACCTCTAGTATTTTTAATTAAGCGTTTATTAGTTAGCACTATACTTTTTTATAACTTATATCTATATAAAAGTTACACTTTCTTTATATTAAATAATCTCTTTAATTACTTTATAAATAAGATTTATACTAGTAAAGTTATATTATAATTTGTATAGAGGTTGTTATATTATTGCCTAGGCATTACGCGATTAGAGCATTTCTCGCGCTAAGATAGTAGTACTTTACTAGGCCGTGTATTAAGCTAGCGCGTATATTTAGCAACCTTTTATATATAAAACTACGAAAATTCTTAATATTAATTTAGCTTTATTCTTATTACTAGAATAGATATTAAAGAAATTCTAGTACTAACTTTATAGAGAAAAAAAAGCTCTATATTTTAAAAAGGAATAATTTTAATTTTTTCTAAATAAAAGCTTTTTTAGATAAATAGTACAAAGAAGTATATATTAAATATACTTACTTTTAATTCCTATAAAGTATAGCTTTTAATTCTCTATAACTCTTCTATTTAAAGCTTTTTAAAATATTAGCTATCTTAATAGTTATTTTAAATTTAAGCTATTCTCTTAATAATTTAAATTTAAAGTTAAAAATCTAAGTAACTATTTAAGAATGTTAAAAAGCTTCTAATACTAAAGCTATAGAGAATAAAAAGGCTTTACTTTATAGAACTAAAAAAAAAATTATTATTTTAGTTTTAATAAAAATGTTTAGTATAGAGAAATTTAAATTTTATATTAGTAGTAAAGTATTCGTAGTTTTTATATTCTATGTAAAACTAAACATACTTTATGTACTTTTGTACATTTTATATTAGCAGAGTTATGTTAATTTAAAAAAGAGAGCTTTTTAAGATTCTACTAGTAAACAGTGGCTCAATTTGCGTGCCGGCTCAATTCGCGGCCCTGTACAGTAGCTATGTTCTAGATCGCAATCGAATCTTGGATACCTCACGCAACCCATACATCTCGAATTGAAGAACGACGCGACAGGCCATCGCACCAGCAAGGAACCTTCCAACGACCTCGAGCGCTGTGAACAATGACATAAACAAGTTGCTTGAAAGTACCATGGTTCCATAAAGGACTTGGACCCAGACCAGCAATCTGATTGCCCAGTCAAGTATCAACATCCAGTATTGTGTGCCTTTTGCCAAATTGTCTCTCTTCTTTCTCCCCATGCCGTTCTTGCTGAACGCCAGCGGCGTTACTTCCCTTATCGACCATTCTCTCACGCGCCCTGATGCTGGAGGACACTAAGAAACCAACAGGGGGTGTTGCGAAGACGCCTGCGATGGAGACTGATCTTCAAACTCGCTACCGAGATAGAGAACACATATCCCAAGCGCCTGGAGTGGAAGTGGAAGGAAGACCAAGAGTAATGGAAAGAAGCCTTCAGCCGTGTTACAGTATGTTCCAACAAGCGTTGAGATGAAGTAGATAGCCCAGAAGCTGAGCTGCCACCCCTGGATGACCGAGTTTGCCGCTGCTGTGCCAACGAGGATGTATTCAAAGCCACATATCAAGGCTTTGGCGCAGAGAGGGGCGACATTCAGCTTATCCGGCCAGAGAATGTCGTCCGATACACCCTCAGGTGCGTGACCTATGCTCCTTGCGGTCTCCAAAGCCGAACGGTCGCTCTCTAATGTCGGACAGGAACTACCCAGACTCATCAGGGTTGCCAATACCGGACGCTGCATGCCCAAGATCGCGATATCAGCCACCTTTGGTCCGATAAATTGCAGTGCCATGGGCAATAGACCTAGTATGACGGATACAATTGCGATCTCCGTCTTTCAAATTTCGCTGTAGTTTTCTAGGATGCAGGACACCAGGACCCAACCACCTCGCCCCAGATCAGCTTGCAGTTCCGTCCATTCCGCTGCGCAATTACTGTGCATGGGGTCTTGCAAGATAATATCCCAACCTCCTGCCGCGTAGAACTGCCTGAACTGTCCATTGTCGCATGCAAGAACCGGGGCAAAGCGTGAGTAGATGACAAGACCAACTAGGTTCTTCATTAGGTGGAAAAAATCTCCGACTAAGAAGCCATAGTCACGGAAGCTTGAAATAGCTGTAAGCATGTGGCTGTTGGCGCGATACCTATTAGTGCTATAAGCCAAAAGCAAACGGGACGGTCCGCAGGGGAAGGCCACATGGCAGAGCTTAGCATCCGGATGGCTTCATCAGCTAACATGCAGCTGAACTGGTCCCCTCAGCCGTACCTTCGGCGTGTCGTTGAGAGACATTTCATTCGACGGTGAGTAATTTGTGATGCAAGCCAGCGGTGCAGTGCTACCATCCGAGCGTCATCCCCACCAATGGCTGAGCCCCAGCATATCGTCGCAGTGGCCAAATCGGGCATGTCGGCGAGGTTTAGTTGTCAATTCGTCTCGTCGTATGTGCATGAAAGCAATATCAACGAACCAGTGGATGCGTTCTTGGCTCGAAATAGGGACCAGGTCTCACGTTGCGCCAGCGGTCCATCCCTGTGGCTATTGCACGACTACAGAAACCTGCGCGTGGATATATACTGGGGTGCATGCTTTGCGGAATGCCGCATGAAGTGCCATTTAATAGGTGTCGTATACGGTGTATTGTTGCTGAAATCTCATGAACTTCCCAGTGATGAAGTCTGAGCTTTTACTGCGACTCCATTATGGAAACAGGATCTCGTTCTTTCCAGAGGCCAAATTTTTGCCTTTTTACGTGTTTGTTCCACTTAGGTCATTAAGAGAGTGCAGGTCCAATCGCGGGTATGAATGCGTCGCGCTTTATTAGGCTATCTGAAAACCACGATCCTCATGGTTCGGGTCTTGAATTGTGACGTTCTGGTAGATGTCGGTAGCTGTAGGTGGAACGTCACACTGCATCCCCAAATCTCTCATAGTGCTAGCACAGAGCGAACAAAAGTTGGCGAGCCCATGGTACGCCGGCTACGCTGCTGTTGCGAGTCGATATAGAGAGAATATGGCATGTTGGGGCGCAAGGTTTCGCCAGTCACAATATACTTTAATTCTGCTTGGACAGGTGAACTAGTAAGATGTTTGTGTACACACACTGAATGTTGACGCCTCGAAACCGTAGATTCGTTGCTGAGTCGATAGCGTGCACATCCTTTGCATCATTAGATGCTGTGCTATGCTGCGCTGATATTTAATAATGCTACTATCCTACATGAACTCCGTCCCTTGTTATCCTACACCCTCCCAAACCAATATCGGAGAAGTCATCTCACCCAACATGATGCCTCTTGATTACGAACGCCCCTGTCTACCCTTTGCAAATACCCGTCCTTTAGATGGCGCCATTGTAAATATCCCTCAAGATCGGTCTGCCCTCGAATACGCCCCTCTTTCCTGCTGTAATGACTTTTCCGGGTATCCGCTTCTCTTCAGGACTTCCACTTGTGATTTTACCACCAATCCTCTTCTTCGGACTCCTAACGTTCACCTTGCCAGGTTTCGCTGTGAGATCGCCGAGTACTTTGCGCTTCTTCGAAGGACTGGGCGTTAGCCTGGGGCTCTTTGCCATCTTGCTGGTGAACATGGAAGAATTCGACTGTCTCACAGGTGTCTTGCTAGTTTGCGTGATGCTTTCGTCGAAGGAATGTGACTCCACCATGTCGGGTTGGAGATCAAGCACCCAGTCTTTCTCTCGGCAGAGGGCGACCATATCACGCAAAAGCTCGTTGCTTGATAATGTCTTCTCACTACCGATAATGACAAGTTTTGATCGCGCGCGTGTGAGAGCGACATTGACGCGTCTACGATCCTTTAGAAGATCACCGACTGTGCCGTTCTCGTTGCTTCGTACGCAAGACACGATGACGACTTCTTTGTCCCGACCTTGAAATTTGTCCGCAGTATGTAGCTCGACTCCAGCACAACCTCGACCACTGATAGTGGGAGCAGCAAATTCGGAGATCTGTGTTTGGGTGTGTGCAGAAGCGAGGCTTTGTCGCAGCAAGGCGAGCTGTGAACGATAGAATGCTATGATTCCAACTTCTCCGGCGGGGACACCCAGGCTGAGAAGAGACACCGTGAGCTGCGTGACAAGCCGTGCCTCTAAGGTGTTGGTGATGCGTGATCCAAATTGCGCTTCTAGGGTTGATGAGATGAGATCGGTGTTGATGAACACGACAGGTTGATCTGGCGATAAGGAACGAGAGATCCAACAGTGTGTTACATTAGTGCCAGTACAAGCCTCTACCACACTCGATTTTGATTGCTGCGGACCATGGTGGTAAGCAGTGAGACCGTCAGGCCGGAGGAGTTCGAGCTTGCGGGAAGCGACAGCAGCCGTACCACACTTCAGTCGTCCTGAGTAGATGAAGGTGTTTGACAATAGCATGACCTCAGCACACATTCTATACTGATGCTCCAAACTGACGACGGCTTGTGGGTGAGCCTCACAAAGGAGCTTGAACAGGGACACATCCAGTCCACCCTCCATGGCTTCCTTGTTCTGGACCAGCGGGGGCAGCTGGTAATGATCGCCCACCAAGATGAACTTCTGAGCCATGCGAATTGGCCCCAAGCATACAGGTAAGGTGATCTGAGATGCTTCATCAACGATGCAGTAATCGAAGACGCGCCGGCTGAACAGGGGATGATTGATGGTTAGACACGTCGTAGCCACGACAGGCGGTTGCATCCACGATCGCTCAAGCTCTTCAAGACTATCTTTCGGTTCCGCAGCAAGCGTGGCAAACTCTCTGACTTCAGGGTGGATTTTCTTCGCAGCGCCTAAGCGAAGTATGCCGATCTTATCATCTCGAATCTTGAGAAGAATGTTGTCAACGGCGGTATGAGTGTACGAAGTAAGTAGAACACTCTTGCCTTTCGCGACCAGTGTACGAATGATGTGCGCGATTGTAGTTGTCTTTCCGGTTCCCGGCATACCCAACACTAGAGCATAATCTTTTGCAGACATGACCTTTGCCACAGCGGCGCGCTGATCAGAGTTCATGGACATTTGTGATGACTGAGGTAGTGACCATGCATCTGGCACGGGCTTGAACGCAGGAGCTCGACCATCTACGATTAAAGCGCGAAGGTCATGGGCTTTATAAACGTTGTTGTCCATGATCTGGATGAGGTTGTTGCGGGCTGCGGCCATGCCGTTGCTGAACTCGTCTTTATCAAGACGATATAGCACTAGCTCTTCATCAACTTGATAATTCGCTGCGGTCTCACCCTCTTTGGTGACCTCCATGATACCGGTAAAGGTTTGGTTGACTTGTGAATGGAACTCGGGCAGCTTGGTCCGGGAGTTGTGCAGGCGTCTGTCAACAGCCACAGTTATGCGACGCCTCTTTACGTTGGTGACGTATCCATTGGCCAACGCGAAGTGGCCTTGCTCATCCGAAACCACGACAGGCTCTCCAGCGATGAGCTGGGACTCAGTGAAAGAAAATCCTGGGGCCGGCTGTTGTTTGATGAAAGTGTAGTTGTAGCGGTTGATCTTCTGACCATTCTTGTCTTCGTGTGCAGATCCGGGCTCCAAGATCACGTTTGAGAAACAGCGACCGAGCTTCTCCCGTTCAGTGCTCAACATGGTCCACAGTTCTCGTCGAAACTTCATCATGTCCGTCTCTTCCTTTGTCAACAACGTGTCCCACTTCTTCATGAACTCTTGATGAGAAGGTTGCAGTGGCTTGACAAGCTCGTCATATTTTCCCTTCGCCTTCGGGTTCAACATCTCGCCTTTTCCGTCTTCAACGAGATTATGGTAGAGGAAGCAAGGCTCCTGTGCGTAACATTTTTGACACTTGAAGTCTTCCTTGAGAATCGGTGGTAGCTCGATGCGGTCTCGAACATAGCAGGCCAACTCGTTGCGCTTGATGATCATGTGAATGATGTCGTTGCGAATCGCAGGAATACGGCTAATCTCGGAAGTCTCAAGGTAATACAAGATACCGTAAGCAATGTCAACGTCTGCGAAAATTAGCAAGGAATGCAGTACAGCTTGAAAGACATACCATATCGGTCCGACAATAATAGGTTGTACAAGGCGGTCTGAGCAACGTGTGCCGCGTTCGAAGAATTCTTACCAGTCTTGACTTCGAAAGGCACTGTCAATGTGCGTTCACCCAGGTCATCTCGCATTGTCACTTGCACAGTAGCATCGATGTTGCCTTTCAATCCATACATTGGAGACCAGACGTGCTCCTCCACATCGAGTAGCTTATTAATGCTCATGGTCGACTGTCGTCCGTTTCGCTCTCGAACGACGGCATCAGCTTGAGGTTCAGCGCGAACAAACATCTTGGCCCATGCCTGTAGCTCAGGCAGCTTGCTGCTCAAATGTTCCTTGACGGCTTCGCACGTTGAGTTGATCTCCAGTATGGTCTCGAGATGGTTCGGCAAGAGTATCTCGATCGTGTCCAATAGGAATACAGAACTCCATTCGTTCGATTTCACGGCTTCCTGGAACAGCTCGTGAAGCAGTGTACCGTAAAGCATTGGGGCGTTGGCCTTGCTGGTGGCCTTGACACGGTCTTGAAGCACCGCTCTTCGTAAACACCCGAAAGAGTCAGCGACAACGGTCGATGAGATGAGATGATCAGGATGAAGGATGACCATATTGTGGTGATCATCAATGATACACTGTCCAGTACTTGTAAAGTCGCCGATGACATGCACAAACGAGCCCGTAGTGCATGGGGTATCAAACCAAGCTTGTCGTAGAGTGATCGCCTTGAATAACTTCGTCTTTTCTTCTTCAACTAGCAGAACCTAGATTGTGTTAGCTGCGGCAGCCAAACAGCGTTTGAGTCAGTGACTCACCTTCTCGGGCATCTGGTAGCCGCGATCAGTGGTATATGAGCTTTCGTCCACTCGCTTGATAAGGTAGCGCTGGATTGCTCTATTGTCCTGTTGACTCTTCGAGGTTTAGCAGGCTTCTTTAGTTAGGGCCAGGTTTCTATTCCACTTACAGTATTGGCAGGTACTTGCGTGGCTGCGACTTCGGCGGCAGCGAATTCGTCAGCATCAATATCCTCTCCAAAGTCGTCGTCATCATCGTCGTCTAGAAGGCTGATGACAGGTGCAGACACTGCACTTGCTGTATCTGGCACGCCTTCCGCCTCTGCGGTCAAGACCTGGTCTGCCGTTGGAGACTCTACAGATCGCGTATCATATAGCGATGCTACATGTTCTAGATCTGCAGCGAAATCGTCCTCATCGTCCATGCCAAACTCATCGTCATCACTGCCTTGTTGTAGTTCTGACTCTGTATGGTGGTGTTGTGCGGGAGGATGGACGGGCTCAGTGGGTATGGTAACATAGCTTGTGGAACAGTCTGGAGGCGCTGATTTTGCGGGCGGTGCGGGTTGCACAGGTCGAGGCGATATATCCAAGGCTTCCACCATGTCAGCATCGAAGTCGTCTCCGAAATCATCTGAGGATCCCTGCGATGCCGGTGGCTTCGGTGCCGCCGCTCCCGTGTAGTTATCTTCTTGAACGAGCTCATCATCCATGTCCACGATGTCTTCTAGAGGTGCCGACTCGTGTCGTATAGTTTCGTAGGTTTCAGCGTGATAATCGCGTGCGCGCCGCTGTAGAGGGGAGCCTGACGATTGGTCCTGGCGATCGCCTGCCCCAGGCAATGGAGACGAGCCTGAGGGCATCTGTGACGATATGCGCGGCTGTGACTTTGACACGCATTCCCTCATGCGCTGGACCATGCTCGCGATATTCGGTTTCGCGGGTTGTCCAAGCATCATCCCATCCGAACTAGATGCGCCAGCAAAAACGTCCTCTGTAGTGTCCTGCTCCGGCTGAAACACACCGTGGGTTCTCCGTTTCTTCCGGGTCGATGCTGGGAACTCTACGCCACAGCTTGCCCATCTCCGAAGTCCACTGACACTTCCAGCAGCAGCCATGGACCTGGGTGACGATTCGTTGATGAGATGTGCAAACGCCACGCTCTTGTTGGCGCTCGGTGTTCCCTTGTTGTTCGTATATCGTGACCACAGCTCCATGGCAGGGTCGGCCTGGGGTGTTGTGATGTCTTGCCTGGCGCCGTCCAGTCTGTGTTCGTCTTGCGACGGTCCGACGGGCGACGAGCTCCTCGCGCGCTTCTTGTTCTTCCTGGGCAAAGGCGTGTTCACTGCTTGTGAGCCTCTCCATATCAGCGTCTCTTCGGGTGAGGCGACGGGTTGCAGCACGTGTCTTGAGGAATCGTCAACGTTGCCAACCAGGTCCGCAAGCGGCAGCCTCGTAGTGGCGGGAGTTGATGGCGGCGGACAGTCGAGAACGGTGGGCAGTTTTGGAGTCTTGTTCGCGGTTGCTACATCCTTCGCGACCCTGTTCGTCTTTGGTGTGCCCATGGGCTTGGCTGTCTTTCCTCGCGCCGTAGGTAGATTTTCCTTCTCGGCTTCGCGCTGTCGGAGGGATTCGGCGGTGGGTGCGCCCTCGATGAACTGGAAAGCTTTGAGCTTTGTGCGTGTCTGGGTCGAAGGCATGATCGGAGGGCCAGTAACTACCTGCCGAGCCTGCGGCGCCGTCTGGTTACTGTTCTGGTGGGGGAAGTTGCGCGGGCGATTCCATTGGCCCTTGTAATGCTGCTGCGAGGGTGAGAGGTGAGTAGGCGCCGGCAGTGGAGGCAGCGAGCTATTCAAGTACCTTTGGCTTCTGGTTCTGGTCAAAGAAGGACCTCTGTCGCGTGGACATGGAGATGGTAGGTAGCGTAAGCGTCAAGAATGGGCTGAACGCGAAGACGCGTCGTGAGTGGCCAATCACATTGGGCGAGGCGAGAGCTCGTCATCACGTGGCGATACGCGCTCGGGCCGGCTGACTCGAGCCGATGTGCGACTCAGCTCCGAGTGCGGGGACCTGCGCTGGGCTGAACCACCCTTCGCATCTATGGGGACATGCAGACACGATGAAATATGGACTGTTCGATTGGCAGCTACATCATACATTGGAAGTCATAGATAGCCTCGGTCTGGGGTGACCGGCATGTGCAAGCTCCCGTCACCGTCGTCGGATATCCTGATTGATACAGTCACGGAATTGACACGACTTGGCGTATCGCAAGTAGCTCCGCGTATTACGAAAGTATCAAGGCATGTCATAGAGGCAGGGACGGGTCAGAGGGCTGCTTTTGCGCCAATTGAAATCTTGTCAACCGAAGACGGGAAGCTAGGACCACGCCTAAGCGGAGTTTGGACATTCATCCCACGCTCTAGCACTCTTTCCCCAGATTGTGCGCGCCGACCGTGAATCGCTCACTCAACAGCGGCCATCTCTCTTCTCTTCCCCTCGGCCACCTCATTACCTCCCACCACTACCGCCAACATGTCTGCTGCCGATGCGAAGCCATTGCCTTTCGTCTACCAGTTCGCGGCTGGTAAGTTTTAATTGTCTTAACACCGCTCAGCTCCGATGCGACAGCTACCCGAGAGAAATCTAGTGCTCGCTCCAAGCTAGAAATCAAGATCTACTTCCCTCCGATTATCGCGCACAGCATTATCGCGGCCAAGTGGAGCTTCGCTATGTTAATCAGCACTAACAATGTACAGGTGCCGTAGCTGGTGTGTCAGAAGTGAGTGCGCAACCGTTTACGAAGCTCGCGTGAGATAGACTGTGCTAATGCAGCTCATGTATTTAGATTCTGATCATGTACGTATCGTCCACAACCATCCCAGTTGGGGCTCAAACACTAACGCTATCTCAAGGTATCCGCTGGACGTCGTCAAGACCCGGATGTAAGCGACCGCACAACAGACCAACCCTGAACCGCCTCTAAATATACGCAGACAACTTCAGACCTCTGGCAAGGTGGTCGGTGACGAGGGCTACAATGGCATGATGGACTGCTTCAGGAAGATCATCAAGAATGAGGGGTACGCTATGACGCTCCTGCGATCACGAGCAAGAGGGGTTGACATCTGCCAGTGCTTCGAGATTGTACCGCGGTATCACCGCGCCTATCCTTATGGAAGCTCCCAAGAGGTACGCGCGCTGCCATACTACTTTGATTGCAATAATGAAGAAACTCATCTCACGCGACACAGAGCCACCAAGTTCGCAGCCAACGACTCATGGGGTTCCTTCTACCGCAATCTGTTCGGTCAGGCCAAGATGAACCAGTCGCTCTCCATCCTCACCGGCGCAACCGCAGGTGCCACCGAAGCCTTCGTCGTCGTACCCTTTGAGCTCGTCAAGATCCGGTTACAAGACAGGGCTCAAGCCCACAAGTACAACGGCATGGTGGATTGTGTCACCAAGATTGTCAAGCAGGAAGGACCGCTCACCCTTTACCAGGGTCTCGAGTCGACCATGTGGAGGCACATCCTGTGGAACGCTGGATACTTTGGCTGCATCTTCCAGGTCCGCGCTCTCTTGCCCACAGCAACCACCAAGAAGAGCCAAATCACCAACGACCTCATGTCCGGTGCTATCGGTGGCACTGTCGGTACTATCCTCAATACTCCCATGGACGTCGTCAAGTCGCGTATTCAGAACTCCCCCAAGGTCGCGGGATCAGTACCCAAGTACAACTGGGCATGGCCGGCTCTCGGTACGGTCATGAAGGAGGAGGGCTTCGCAGCACTTTACAAGGGATTCACACCCAAGGTTCTGAGATTGGGACCTGGAGGCGGTATCTTGCTGGTCGTGTTCACCGGTGTCATGGACTTCTTCCGCAACATGCGCGACGGCAAATAAGTCATGACTAGACTCATCGTCAGTCTGTGTAGTCTTTGGTCTACTTTAACCATTCAAGAACCGGGAGGAATCTTGCAATGTAGATTACGTATCCTGTATCCGCTTGTTACGAAGCAAGCCAGGGTCAAATCACATCCTTCAAACCATGTTATAATGATATGAACTCGTGCTGGCCATTTTGTTGTATTTGAGAGTATTGCTGTACTCTCCGGTCGAATCTACTTCGTATCCTTCTTTCATGACACGCCGCAGCATCCGCACTATGTATATATCTGGGGCTGCCAATAGACGGATTCCACTAGTGTTAGGTTCCTTGTCCAGTCTACGTGCGCGGTATTATGAAGAGCTTTTCTAAACAAACGCCTGCGATATCTCTTACAAGTGAAAAATCCCAATCCGAAACCATTGCACGCCGACACATGCCAATCCCGCGTTCTATCAACCCCAAACAACCCCACTTAGGCGGCTAGACACGGGTGACGTCACCCTCCCCTCCAAGCACTCACTACAGCCCGTCTTGCTGCCTGGTGACCCCTAAAGCCCAAACAAACAAGTTAGTTCACGCAAGTGCCAGCCAGGATCTACTTGCATAAGTACTGCCTGCCCTCTACCCCACTATCCAACTGCAAAACAATCCAAACACAACAACCTCCACGATAAGACTACTCTCAAAACTCCGCGCAAGCAAACCCATACATCCACACAAGCACTACACCACCAGAACATCACCGCACAACATGCCTCTCGTAGTCCCTGGTCTGCAGTCCAAGGACGGAAACTCCAACGATGACTGGATGAGCAAGCTCATGGGCAAGAAGCTTGGGGATCAACATGATGAGATGGTGAGATGATCTCCTTATTCCTCGTTCCTCTCCCCTATTCCACAGCCTGAGTCTGAGCGCTGACTCAATGCCACTCTCAGACCTTCGCAAAGACAGACCTACCCCAGCAACACCGCGTTCTCAAGCCCGACGATATGAAGACTATGGACATGCAGCCCGACAGGCTGAACATTCACGTCGATAACGATGGTACTATCAACAAGGTTACCAAGGGTTAAGCGGCTAGAGTGTGAGGGCATATCTAGTGGGATGACATGGTGAGGGATGAAGGCGTGAGGGCATAGGAATGTAAGAGCTAGGCCTCAGGGTTGGGCAGAAGACAGCATAGGACATATTGAGTCAAGACACCATGAGACATCAGTGCACACGAAGTGATGAGTGATGAATGATAGTTAATGAGAGTGTATCTGGAAAAAGATGTCTGTCGCCACCTTTCGGACTAAAAGTAAACAACAGAACTCCGAAAACGCCTTGCCATGATATCGTACAGTAAAGGTGAAGGTATATACATCCGTACAAAGAAAGTAGAGGTCAACCCTAAATACCCACGAATGTTTTCGAAATAGTAAGAGAGTAAGGCCACGCCTTGTCAGCGCCGGGCCTGAGCCCTACAGCCCTATATGAGCACGGATACCGATTCGAGGTGGAGCATTCGGAGACGCCGAAAGACATCGCCACTGTGGAGAAAGCTTGTCGCAACGTCGTTTCCTTCGAGATGTGCAAATGATAGCGGTTTAGAATTTCGATCGTTTCCTCGACACGAAGCTGTCGTTTCTTATCAGTTGTCCCTCACCAGACTTTCTTCCTAAGGCTGCAATGACATCAGTCATTCTCAGCATCGTCGAATGAATCGCTTCAGGATGCTCAAAGCACAGCATGATGCATGCGCGCATAGTCGTTGCAGAGAAGTGTCTTCGCAGGTTCTTGTCTTTGCTTTTGCTGCTTGCGGCTCCCATGACCAGGCCTATCCATAGCAGCACTCCGGCCATATCGGACCAACAGTCTGAGAGGTCGGACTTCTCGAGGGCGTCTCGTAGTTGTCGGAGGATAGTCTCTCCACTGCCTGGTTTGATAAGCACTTGTTGTCGAAGGTGGACGTCCGATGAGCTTGATTGCAATGACGAAAGAGAAGGTCGTGAGTATGTGGATGAGTTCGAAGGTCGGTGGTCGAAAGGAAAGCCTTCCTTGTATGAACCAAACATTGGACTCTCGGAAAGGTCGGTAGCCGGACTAACATCTTGGGGTTCCAGAGTCGAGGAAATGGAGTCGTTGGATTGTGAGGCCATGGACGAGCTGTACATGACCGGTTGTATTTCCGGTGAATGCACACGATTAAGCGCTTCTGATAGGGGGACTTGGTCGAGCATAGCCTGGGCCTGAACGATCGCGGCGAGGCGGATCGCTTCATACTTCCAGTCATTCTTGTTCACAATAGCTCTTCCGTGAGATTCTTGTACAGACCGAGATCGAATGATGCGGTTGTAGGCGCTTCGTGACTTGTTAGAGCTGCCCACACGCTTTGAGCTATGGGCGTCGAGAAATTCATCCATCATGGTGTAAACGTCATCCAGGAGTGTTCGCGCATCTGGATTACAACTTGCTGATCTTGCAATCGTCATGAATCCGCCGTGTGGCTGGTAAAGTGGCGACTCCGGTATCGTAGCGATCAAGGAGTATACCTTTACCGCCTTCATCTTGCAGTAGTCGACGTACATCGGAGTCGGCGAAGCTTCCTGTAAAGCCGCGGTCGCGAGGTTTGCCCAGGAGACTGCAGATGCTAGCTGACCATTGACGCCCAAGTTTTGGAGTCCGCCGCGCTGCTCGATCATTTTCGCAATGCCCATCTGGTGGTAGCGTAGACCTATATCGGCCCGGCTGATAACATCTCCCAGTATGAGTTGGCTGACGGCGATGATATTGTGATCTGCCACACTCTGCTCCACGTCGGTGAGGTGACCACCTACAAAATGTATAACATCTTGGCGCAGTGCTGCAGTTTCCAAACTCTCTATTTCGCGGTTGTGAACGACATCATCGTATGCGGAAGCCATGTAGAGGGTGCTGAGGAAGGCATGTGCGTAGTTCAGGCATTCAGGGATCCAGTGTTTACCCAGACCCTTCGTGCCGAAGTATTTGGAGCATTCGACCTTCAGCCTCTCGACGTTCACGCGAGTATTTCTCGATTGAAACATAGTTCCGAAGGGGTCGATCCCATTCCCAAGGCAGCGCAAATCCGGTACTGGGTATTCGTCGAATGGATACACGCGGCCACTTCTCACTGGGATAACAATTGGTGTTTGGGGAAGGGTTGTTTGGCGAGGCTCCGTCCGTGCTACCTGCATGTCATGTTGGGGAGACTCCTGACTGCTGCTCGTAGACTGCGACAACCGATGTATCTTATCATCACACTTCTTCCCCTTGACTTTCGGGGTTTTGAATGTACGTTCTTTCGTGGCGCCTTCAGATCCAAAACTCGATCGCGAACGATCCGAGGCTTCGCTATTAGCCCTGCCCTTCTCGCCGGCCTCTTTCTTTGTTGTTTTCAGATAGCTTCCCATCGCGGTTTGGCGCACGGCTTGCATATTGGGCTTTGATTTGAAATCGCTGGGTTTGGTGGCGGTAATCCATCGAAGGCTCGCATTGTCAGGTGACTTGGCCGTTGGTGAGGAGCTTGATTTCCGAGACGGCATATAATCTAGCGGATATCAGCGTCTGGCACCCCTGAATGAGCTGGAAATGACGATCAGGGGTTTTGCTGATATTGGTGATCGTGTTACACACCGCGTAGGTGCAGCATGCGCAAGCAGTGAACCTCGGCCCTAGCGAGAGCGCCTTCGGCATGTAGTACGCGCATCAAGTCCATTCAATGACACGAAAAAGCACGCTCACCAGTGAGTTGTTGCGGAGGCGACATGACATTTCCATAGAAGCTCGAATCCGATGCAATCGTCGATGGTGGTGAAGGATAGGCAAATGGCATGTGATGGGCGGAGAAGAGCGGTCGTGCGGCTGGAGGGGCAGTCATTGTTGTCGACTAGCCCGATACTCAAGGATAATTGGCAAGCGCGATGATGGTCGATTCGATGATCGAAATGTGTGGGTCATTCCTATGGCAGATGTAGATATTTTAGATGGAATCTCAGCAGCAGAAGACGAAGGATCGATCGGTATTGGGTAAGGCTGAAAGTAATGGGGCTAGAAGTATATATACGCGGCTGGCGACAGTGTGCCTTGCCGCCCGTGAATATTTCCAGAAAGGGCGCAATGCCAGCCATACAAAGCTTTGTGCAACAGATGAAGCGGAAAGCAGGCGATAGTGCGTCATAAAGCGTGTGTTGAGCATGCGCAGCAACGTGCTGGTGCTGGGACGAGTATACGGTGAAGCCAGTCGTGGCTGTGTTCTTGATGCTTGTTGTGACGAGTGAACGAGAGGCCTGCGCGCCGGGGATGAGGCATAGTTGGTTGCCTGAACGCCGACCCATTGCACTGGTGCTCGCTCTAGCGCGGGACCCGTCTTAGATGCAGCGTGAGGAAGTAGGGCTTTCGGGGATCCGTCAAAAATCTTAAGTAGTTCGCCATGTTGAATAGAATGCGCTTGATGCGCTGCACGCGTTACCACCATGAGCAGAATCACGAGGCTATGCTCTCTCAGTCCCTCCAAAATTCATGTGAAGGACTTCACCCACATCGATTGCCTTGCGAGGAGGCAAGGCCCTCCATTGGACGCTGCTTCGCACGTGCGAAAGCTGACCACCGAGCCCTGAAGACGCTGTAGAGGCCCAGCGCGTCTCACCGCCCGGTAGATGCCACCGCCTCCCCCAAGTGCATGCCAACCCTGCTATCTTATCTAAATCCAAAGTTTGGTCGAGTGGCGGACTTAGATGTCTCTACCAAGACATTTCGTCCCATAAAACCCTAGGCTCAGCTACGTACCTTTTCGATACACACGACACGAGACATCAGGCGATACTACATTAGACGGAGAACACAAATACTACCACAATCTAAACGTTGGCTTACAGGTGGACCATGTACGTGGGTGCGCCGTTCCTCGGGATTCCATACAAGAAGCGGTAGAAGAGGTCAGACTGGTCGACCTCACCAATCGCTAGGTATAATCCTCTTCTTGCCGTGAGGTTGGGTAAGCAGCCCTGTGGGGTCAATACGACCCTGCATGGCTGCTCATTGGAGAGAGAGCAAAGCCAGACCAAGATTTTGGGACCATCGAATCGCTCACGGCATCCGGAGTACCCAGATCGCCTAACATCACCAGGTGGCTGTTCAATTGTTCAAGTGGTGATCAGTGTATATTTCAGTGGTACCTAGGTAGCGAAGGCAGCTGAACCATGAGTCCGAGCCCCGCGATGCGACGCCATACATAATTGTCGTGAGTATTGCGGGGTTGAATACACGGAACGCTTGCAAAGATGTACATAGCTGCGTCAATGGAACCAACCATGAGAGACTCTGGCTGTGACTACTACTGACGCATATTGTTCAGCCCAAGGCCGAAATAATCGCCGGGTGTTTGTGACGGGCGTGTATCGCTACCATCACTTACGTCGCTCCCACCGGGGCTAATATCACCACTCTCTCGCGCCATCATACCAGTACCATCGCCCCCCAAATCACCGCCTGTGCCGTTCAATGTCTTAAGCCCATTGTTTCGTCCTCGCAAGGGTACATTTAGCCGTGCGGTTTCGAACGTGAAGTGCGACTGGCCAAGGCCTGGCTCCGCTGATGGTGTCTTCAGCTCAACAAGCTCCAACGTACTTCGGAGTGTTGCCCCAGATTCATCGAGAGCCATGAGAAAGCGCGCGAGCTCTTTGCACAGCTCCCAATCTTGTTCGTCTTTGGCGCGTTGAAGTAAGCGCACGACTTGATCACCTGTCGGTCGCAATTCTTCGAAAGTGTGAAGGACGAGAAGATAACCACCTGCGGTCTTAAGGTTCCCTTTCTGTAGCGATTCTTCAAAAAGTTCTTCCGGTGGAGGCAGGTTCGAGAACAATGTCCGCCATGAACGGACCTCAGTTTTGCGGGTACATTGCACAACAATGTCGAGATATCGAGGGAAGGAGCTCAGGAATGACAGCACGCTCGGCAATAGCGCCTGTTCGGGTGGTGGCTGCGTATCCACTTCTTCATCCAAGACTTCATGCAGTAAGATCTCCAGTGCATGGGGGAAGTAAAGCAGGTGCTGGTAATGGTGGCTAAGATGCAAGGCTGCAGGGTGATTGAACTGCGCCAGGTGATACCGCAGCAATGCGGGGAGGAAGAGGTGTGTCTAGCATGTGTGTCAGCGTAAAACCAATGTGCGGCCAATGACGCGGGATCAGAGCGCAGCAGCTTACCCTGGTTCCGAAGCGCAAGAACGCGAAGCTCGTATCCCTGCGTTGAATCAACTCTGATTCCACCCCGAATATGATTGCCTTATTAATCAATGCCGAAAGGGGATAAAAATCGACAGGAATCTGAACAGGCGTGGGCACTTCCCTGCCGATCTCTGGTGATGCGGAAGCAAGAACATCCTGCATGTCTATCCAAACTCGCATGTCGTTACCATCGAAGAACCACAATGAGTCCCGCAAATCGTGGCCGTGTACACTCTCCATGGTCAGTTCCATAGACGGGCTTGCCGGCAAAGAATCGGCATGTCGGTCCAATGCGAACGCAGGGTGATCTCGCATGAGAGCATACGTCTCCACGTTCTGCGCGATGATGCGCATCTCGTATTTGAGTTCGCCACTCTCGGTGGTCGTTGGCTGCAGGAGCACAAGTTTGCCATCTACGAGGAACAGGATAGTCGCGACGGCCACGTCCTGTGTTGGATCACCGTTATCTAAGAAGTGTAAGCAATTACAGAGCTGTAGGATTCGACGGACCCACGTATCTGATCCTCTGGCAGTATCCAGCTGAGTGCTCGCACTCGTGTAGGTGCCCGGATAATGCCATGCAGCGCAATTTGGCCGACTTGCACCAACTTCACACTTGCGTCGGATACACTGATCACATAGTGGTATAATATGTTCTCGTAGGTGTAGACCAAGAGTGAATCTTCACCGGAAGGTGCTATCAGGACAATAGGTGCAGGTAGCTTCTGCGTATGCATGACATGGCTGTTGTCAAGAGCCGCCTCGCGTGAATATACTCGTACCTTGCGAAGAAAGTGTCAGTACAAAGAAAAAGTGAGCGATATGATGTGCATACCTCATGAGACTCGCGGCATTCGACAGCCGCAATCAAGACATGCTGAAACCAGCACATGCCGCCTCGGACAGTAAACTCGTTTTCTATAAAAGGATCATCGAACATTTTCCACCGTCCGCTGTTAACGGAGTAGTGGGCGAGCCCTCTCTTGCCTGCTATTGCCACATATCTACCATCGTTCGAAATGACTGCGCTTCTAATCGGCCATTGGTCGACAAGATATGCTGAAGGAATTTGAACATGGTGCCAAAGAGAGACGTCGGCGGAGATTGTCGTCAGGTCAGGTAGGTCGTAACCACGGTATATCATGAACCCAGTACTGGTCTGCATCAAAGAGCGTGAGACATTTGCCGAAGAGAAGCAGCCAGTGACTGCACTGCGAGCCATCTCCAAAACAAAAAGACGGTTGTCGTTGTCGCCCAACAGTAAGAGCTCCGCGCCACCTCCAATCCAGAAAGCCTCTTTGACGCTGAGAAGCCAACCTTCATTGTTTGTCTTGGAAAGTGTTCGTTCTGCAGTGAAGCTAGTGGCCCCAGGCTTTCCGTATACACTCCACATCGCCCAACCATGTTCATAGCCAGCGAACAAACAGTACCCATCTGGCGAGTAGGTCAATACGGTCAATTTACCGGGCGAAGTGACGTTCGGCCGTAGCTTATGAGATAGAGGGATGTTGCCGGTATAGTCGCGTGCGGTGTATACATGGATCTCGCCACTGGAGCAGCCGACAGCAAGCAAAGAAAATCTCGCATTGATCGCAGCTTTAACACCATAATCGGCATCAGTCTTGGGCGTGTGGAAACCGTAGCCACGGAAGAGACTAGAAGCAGCGGCATCTCGTATAGCCGCTTTTTGAACGGCAAAGGCTTGTCCGTTACTTGTGATCCAGCACGACAGGTTCATGGGCCGATCGTGAACCATTTCATGTATCGATGCGTTGTTCCCAAGCCATGCCATCTTGGTCAGGAGCTCGGTGCTGGTCTGGCTTCCAGTGTTGTCCGGTGCCCACCGGATACATTGTACGGCTGCCGGCTTCTCGGTGGCCACGACCAACTCGTTGTCCAGAGCCAGAGCCCTGATTATCCCAGCATCCACCCGTATCACCATGCGGAACCGTAGACTGAGCTCTTTCAGGCCATTGCCTTCTCCAGGTCCGGCATTGACATCATGCTGTCGCTGGATCTTGAAGCCCGTGATTGCACTGCTTTTCCTTGCGTGGCCTCCATGTGTGTTGGTGAATTGAGCCTGGTATATGCGGGATGAATGGTCTGTTGCGAGCGAGTATGTGATGAGGAAGCCGAGCGCGGTCTGTACGACGAAGATTTGGGAGTCGGGGCGGAGTAGGACGTCTGTATTAGCGCCATATGTTCCAACGGATTGCTCTGAACGAAGCACAGAAGCTAGAACTACCGTAGGCTGTGACGAATTAGCACACGAAGCGCCAGGCTGGCAATGGAACGTGCCTTTGTTTGCCAGACTGTGAGGGTTGTCCTGGTGAGGGTCGCAAACATGTGACCACTTCTCGTCACTCTGATCGCGATGATGGTGCCATGTATATCGTCCTCTACTGGTGGAACCGACGCGCCTGCTTGCAGCGAGTGCGCGCCATTCTTCTCTTCTACCCCACTCTTACTTTCGGTAGAGGCCTCATGTTCAGATTGATTCTGCGATTGAGGGTTCGACCCTTCATGCGCTCCGTCCGATTGCTTGTGTTCCTCGCCATCGTGCGAGGTATTCGTGCGCCCAGAATCCGTACGTTTGGTGGCCGTGAAGACGGAGGGCGACGAGATGGGCCAATACGTCATGGCGGTTTACCGCAAGCGATGGCTGCATTTGCGCGCGCCCATCTCAATGCGGGGATGTATGCTTCACGGAGCTCATGCTAGCTGGGTTGGTGCAGGGGAGGCTGGTGGTGGAGCTGGGCGGTGAAGTCACGCGAGGCGCAGCAATGTGGCTGCTGATCCGTGCTTAGATGTGCAGGCAGTACTCGTATCGCGGGGGGAAGATACGGTGGCTGTCCCGCCGATGCACCACACCTAAATATTACAACGGACGTATTGATTCAAGCGCTCATTGTAACATGTGGCCGAGAGATGACGGACCGATGCCGAATACTGCATTGGGAAGGGAATGTTTACCGTCGATTACGGTGCGCAGATGCGCATTTGCGCACATGCATGAGCCAAGAGATCACAGAAGCCCCGAAAATATTCTGCTTTGCCAACTAACCAGCAGCACTGCGTTCAGCCACTCCATTTGAGGTGGTATTGAGCGCCCGTTGAAGAAATCAAACTTAGATGTCTACGTTGCCTTCAAGGTTGGTTAACTTTTGTTCCTTCCACAGATGTAGACAGCAGGGCACCTGTTCACTCCCAGGGTTCTTCCTAGTGTGAGGGGTAGCAGTAAAACCGTACTCGGCCTTCTTCTTTGTTCTTGAGGTGCGGAATGTAGTGTGCATTTTAGAGTTGGGGTATGCTCTGCCACTGTTCCGCAAGTCGTGAGACAGCCTTTCTGGAAGCATGCATCGGCCAGTCAATGTTGCAGAAGGGTAAAAGCTCTGACTCCTCAAAGGAAAAGAAGTGATGCACATCAGAGATAAATAACCCAGAAGTCTACCCTGCCCTGGAATCTGATCAACTCATGGTCTTAAACCTATTTAGATTGCGAAGTACCACATAGTTTCTTCCCGGTATTAGGTGTCTCGATAGCAACGCTGATCTTGAATGTTTTCGTTTTCTAGGTTGAGTCTGGTCCATGGTTGGCGTTGGCGTGGTCCATCTTACCAAAATACCCCACATCGCTCAAGTGAGTTTTCTCACAACCATCGAAAACGCTACAATATGGATATACGGCCTCACCATTTCCTCATCGATTCCTAGAGAAGGACAGATGGCCGAGTAAGAAATCCCTCTTCCCACCATCTCACAAGCTTCGTCCTAACAATCAATAGGCTGGTTATGGCGCCAGGTTAAGGTTACTCTTAGCAATATTTCCTGGTCACGAAAGTGGCGTGGGTTCGAGTCCCACTCTGTTCAGCATTCGTCTGGCATTGTCAGATACTCCAGGATTTTTTTTGCGCTATTGTGTGGTCCTTGTGGGGTATTCTTCACTTGGTGGAATCCCTGCTTTTTATTTTACCATGCCGCACATACCGAGGCCCCTTACATATCTAATCTAGCCTAGATAGGAGACATCTTGTTTTAAGAAAGTAGCGGGAATAGCGGGTTCTGCCTTAGGCGTCCTAGCCGCACCCTCCTTGCGCGCCTTTCCCGTTTATCCGACCTTCCAGGCTAGCGCGCAGTAATCTTAGTTGAGCTCTATATTTTGCTCACAGATACATGTTAAACTCTCACTTATAACACGTACTGTACTATCCAATGCGTCTCTTACACATTGCGGACGATGAACGCCTCAGCCTCGTGGAATTCATTGAAGATGACATCCCACCGTACGCCATCCTTTCACATACCTGGGGCCCAGATAGCGAAGAACTTAGCTATCGCGACATGATAGACGGGACTGGAGAACAGAAACAAGGCTATCGCAAGATTCGTTACTGTGCAGAGCAGGCTTTGCAAAATAACCTAAGATACTTCTGGGTCGATACATGCTGCAGGTTAGTTTTCCATACCCATCGTGTTGGCTCAACTAACAAGACTTTTAACAGTTAGTGATTTCCCTTATTGCTACGAAGTAGTTCGTCGCAAGCTGTAGCCTTCTGTATCCGCTAACAGCTATTTCACTATTTACAGTTAATAAATCCAGCAGCGCTGAGTTAACCGAGTCAATCAACTCCATGTTCCAATACTACAGACAGGCCATCGTCTGCTATGCCTATCTCGAAGACTACCCCGATGGCACATTACTCAAAGAAGGACTTTCACAATGCCGATGGTTCTCTAGAGGCTGGACGCTACAAGAACTGCTTGCTCCAGGGATTGTCGAGTTCTACGCCCAAGGATGGAGATTCGTCGGAACCAAACACGACCAAGCCGCCGCCATATCCAGGTTCACCAACATACCCGAGTCCGTATTGACCCACGCGCGGAGGGACATCATAGCCGAACAATCAGTTTCTGCTCGCATGTCATGGGCTTCGCAACGACAAACAAAACGAAAAGAAGACATGGCGTACTGCCTCCTCGGTATATTCGACGTTAACATGCCGTTGATCTACGGCGAGGGCAAAAAGGCGTTCCGACGTCTGCAAGAAGAGATCATCAAGCGCGACAACGACCTCAGCATCTTCGCCTGGAGCAGTGTGTCGGAGCATCAAATCAACAGCCTCGTTGAGATATTTGCAAGCTCACCGGCCGCTTTTGAGGATGTGTTTGACACAGGCGTCCACAAACACCAACTAGCCGAGTTTTCTGTCACAAACCGAGGCCTACTGCTTGGCGGCGACTTCGAAATATATGGTTGGTACGGTGAGCGCGGTTATACCGAAGTTCCGAGACATTACGTCCTTTTGGTCGGGGAGTCGAAAAAAGACGACAGCAGTATAGGCATCTTTCTCCGAAAATGCGGTCCCGGGCTGTTTTGCCGCATTGGCGGTCTACCTTTGGCCAGGCTGCCGCATAAATCTATCACATACTCCGCGCAGGAACTCATGCATACAGTCTACCTCTCAACGGATGCCTTCCTTAAACATTCAGTTAACCGTCTGGTGTCCTTTCGTCTCGATGCGCTCCATATTCCCGTACAGGAGCATCTGCGAATGCGATCGGTGGCTCCGCTGCATGCATGGGATCACTTGGACAGGATGTTTCTTATTCCAAAGCCCTCGAATCACAATGCAAGCCAATCGGTACTGGCTGCTCAGTTCAGCGTAACGATAGCGGGGTATACGGCCGAGATGGTCGTTGTCTGTCCAATTGTCTGTCCAGCTCATCACGAAAAAGCTCCGAAGGTCTTCCTTGCGAAAGATCATCTTCGCGAGACGAGATTGTTGTTCAAAGACAAAGCTAGTAAAGACGGTATCGTATGGGAAGATTTGGTCAAAGAACTACCAAAGCTTCCGCTCATGAACAGCTGGATTTATGTCAAACCCAAGCATACCTTCAAAATCAGCGTTGATCTGCAGACGATCGATATAGATACCGACTGTGGGCCGATCAGTGTTAGAAGCCTGACTTCATCAGTCACACGTGTATAGACTTAGCCTGGCTGAATACCAATGTGAGTATACCTCGCCACGATACTGCACCTACCATACAGTGACTCAAACTTGATAGCGATAGTCTTCTCTCCAAAAACTTCAAACAAAAACATGTCACCCATTAAACTCTCTGAGATGTTCTAGTAATCGAACAATACAAACAGCAGCGACGCTGATAGATTCTCATCGCTCCCACAAATAGCTCGCCATCAACGATGATACAACGCCGACTTCCAAGGTTGACTCTGACTGACCACCGTGCGCATTTGATAAGCAATCCTTGAGGACGGATGATGCCTAGATATCTGCAAGCCAGGCAGGTGCAAGAAGGTCCTGGATCATCATGTTCGACCCCATGCCAATGACCACGGTGAGTGCGATCTCACTTGAGCAAAAACCCTACAAGCAACACATATCGCGAAAACAATGCGCCGCATCCGCGTATGATGCAACCCACAGCATGCGCCAGCATATACCATCCTCCACGCCCTCTCATCGTACATCGCTGACTGGCCGATGTTCCAGTGCAGAATTGTCGTAATTCGATGCAGACGCACATTGCTTGATCGCTGGCGTCAATCGAGTTTATGATGTCTAAGGTTGGTCAACTTAGTACATACGGCCATAGGATCATGGAAATTAGTTCTCCCTCGCGATCCGTCAGAAGCTACGGTGCCGTTCTGAGGTCAATTTACTATTTTCGGAAACGCAACTCTGTCACTTTGGCACCCCACCACTATAGCCACAAATGACTGTTAACGGCCATTTGTACTCCTGAGACCTGTCGCCTAGATGTGCGCATGTTCGCGGTCGTGGGCTAGGAACTTGAATCCCTCCCCCCATTGGAAGAAAGGGTTGTACAGTAATACTAGTGGCTTGATTGGTGCGCGTGTTTAGAAGAGTGGAGGTATCTCCACACCCCGCAATTCCAACACCGGCGCTTCTCGTCACTCCCAACAACGCTTATATTGCGCGCAGCTGCCTTTCGGTTGTTTTTTGAGGACATCGATTAGCTTTCTTAGAGCTCACAAGCATCCTTGTAACGTTCAGACTCGTGCCTAGCATCCACATGCTCATAGCGAATAGGCTGTAAAGGCTCAGAGCAACTTGAGAAGAGCGCGATGGCCGAGCACGGCTACTACCCCATGCTCACAAGAAGGGCTTAGTGACACAGACGGCATGGACGGAAAATGGACGCCGTTCTCGGTTGGCAAGGGTAACATTGCCGGAGCTTGTGGGCTAGCGCTCGAAACGGTAGCTATAGGACGGACTGGGACAGCAACACAATACACTATTGAGACTTACACGCGAATTGACGAGGAAGTGGACCTGGTTTTCGACTGCTGAGACTGGTCTCCCAGATATCTTTCGACCACGTCATTACTCTTCACTTGTCGTGAATATACACAATAATAGTTTTCGCGGTTTCATCCATGCTCGATAAGCACGTACTCTACGAGTCGCCCGTATGATACCATGTCTAATCAGTCGCGCTACAGACCGGGCCGGTGCAATGCTTATCTGGAGTAAACAAGGGGCACCATCTCCCAATCACGTTGCCGGCCGATATTCTCTAGCACTCAAGTCCTACATAAAATAGAAGCGTATCATGAACGGTGTTCAGTAAAAGTTTTGTCATGGATTACTCGCAGACTAAAGACGCCAAAGACGCCAAAGTGAAGGACACGGAGAATGACGGTGGTGAGGACATCGCGATCGGATCGCAGGAAGAAGTTATTGATTACGACTTTCTGCGATCTTGGAAATGGTCGACTTTGTACCGGAGCGTGCTATTCCAGATGGTGATGTTCGGAGCGTAAGTAATCCTCTCAGCGACTACCATCCGGATGCTGAACATGATTAAGGCTTTCATTGGTTGGCCCAGCCATAAGTGATGCTATATCCAATCTAGGAGGAGGCGGTCTGTCTACGCCATGGCTAGCGAATCTTGCGAATTCGCTGAGTTACGCCATGAGCTTCATCAGTACTATCCTCGGAGGCCCCATCATCAACAGGATAGGGATCAAATGGGCGTGCTTCATTGCGGCTCTTACAATGCCCCTCCAAGGATCTGCGTACTATTTAAACGCTAGATTCGGCGTCGACTGGTACCTCATAGCATCCAATGTACGATAATCACTCATACATACAAAGGAAACATACTGATGGGGCCAGGTTATCAACGGTCTAGCGGGTGGGTTTCTTTACGTCGGCGAAACGACGGCCATGTTATGCTACCCAAGGCCAGAAGAGAAGGGTTTATACCTTGGTAAGCATCTGCGTGCGACCTGAAGTATGATTATTTCACTAACCTCTGACAGGCATCTGGTCGGCTATGCGAAGCTCCGGAAGCTTGATCGGTGGCGCGATAAACTTTTCCACGAATTCAGACAGAGCCTCTGCTGGAGGCATTGCATGGTCGACATATCTGATCTTTGTTGGGTTCGGTACGTGGCGGATACCTAGGCATCTGCTCTGAGTGCACAGTTGTTAACCAATAGCAGAATGCACTGGAGTTCTCTGGGCACTGTCATTGTCCCCCACATCCCGAGTGCGTCGTCGCGATGGCAGCAAAGTCCACATGTCGGGAAGGGTCACTTGGACGCAGGAATTCGTTGCTCTGTGGAGTTATCTACAAAGCAGCAAGGTAAGAAAAGAATTAATCTTCGAACTTCGGAGCACCTAATATCATGCCAGGTCTGGTTGATCTTTCTGCCCTCGTTCTATTCTTTCTTTTACGGAGGGACGATGGGTACCTATCTCTCGCTACACTTCTCGGTCCGCGCACGCGCTCTTTCATCTTTTCTTATCCGTAAGTATGGATTCTGGGAACCGCTGACTACATGCTGACTAGTACAGCCGCTATCACGATTCCTTCGGTCGTCATATTCGGCAAACTTCTAGACAGTCAACGGTGGCCCCAACGGCCCAAGGCATGGGCTGCATTCTTGCTCTGGATCTTGCCACAAACCGGCTGTTTCATCTGGGTCGCTTTTGAGTACCACTACCTCGGCGATAGATCGGCGCTGGATTACGAATCGTAAGTTATCTCGCAGAGAGGCATGCCCCAGTGTGACTGAGACTGATTTGAACAATAGAGAATCTGGTAGATGGGCAAGGGCATACGTGCCGTACCTTATCATCTTCGTGAGCGGCTACTGGACGCAATTGACACTATATTGGATTCTCGGCACATTCTCCAACGACATGGGTGATTCTTCACGGGTGGGAGGCTTGTTTCGCGCATTTGAGACGGCGGGCCAGGCAGTTTCCTATGGTCTGAGCTCAGCGAGTAGCATCGCTCCTGTGGTTCCGATCTATGTGAACTGTGGTTTGCTGGTTCTTACTGTGCCTAGTATGGTCATGTTGATCACCAAGATGCCCAGGAGACCGTTGAGCAATGTCACCACTGAATGAAGTTTGTGTCGCGCGTGATGGCTCTCAACAGAAGGATCGCAGACGCGTGTGCCGCGAGCTGGAATTTGGGAAAGCGTCTTCAGGGCCCCGCTGTGGATAGCAATTATCAAGTCGTTCAGAACATCTATCATAATAAAGATTGTGCCCTTACTGTAAAGTTGTACCCTGCTAACCGGACTGTTTTCCTATACTTATTCGCACGACTCCTTCTCTAGCACCCGAGCAGCCGTTGCTGATGGATATTGTCCAGTAAAATTGCCCGATCATCTCGCATCTGATGCAGCGTTTTCGGTGAAAGGTAAGACCGGAGAGCTTTTCCAACACTGCGTTTGCTATCACACGGAAAAATAGCTTCTAAACCGGATTGTGCTGCTCTGAACGGATGTTTGGTTGCTGGGCGGCAATGTCAACTGGGTCCTTATCGGTGACCGGACCGGAGACCGGCCCGGTCGCAATTGCCTAATGATCACCGTCTTGCGCAGCCACTTGAAGCTAAGGACTAATGTTCTGGGCTTACGTATTCTATCTGTCTGATTAAAGTACGCAAGTTCCCAGGTTGGGTACAGTAGAAGCGAACCTGCCCTGTGAATGACTAAGCGTGAGTACCTACATAGCCCACCTTGCACTTAGGATAATTCCGTAAAACTACCACCAATATATGCATATGATTCACACCCTACATCTCCAACATGTCTTTTCCTGGTCCTGGCGTCAAACCTTTCCCCGTAGCGGATGCTGTTCCCTCATATTGGAGAAAACAAGTTGGGCCCATCGACAACCATCGCAGCACTGAACATCTTCCCACGCAGGTTGATATTGTAATCATTGGCGCGGGGTATGCTGGAGCATCGATTGTGCATCACATAATCGAAGAGTTTGAGCGTCGCGATCGCCCAATTTCATCAATACTTATCCTTGAGGCACGCGAGGCCTGCTCTGGCGCTACCGGACGTAACGGTACATATCATATGCCCTTGAGATCCAAGTTCAATCTCGCACGTACTAAGTCTGAGAATCTAGGCGGTCATTTAAAACCAGATCCTTTGTCAAGAGCGGCCAGCGTACTGGAGACGCATGGGAAAGCGGTCGCGGAGCACGTGGCTACATTCGAGGCCCGCCAGGTCGACGCAATCAAAGAACTTGTTCGGCGTGAAAATTGTGACTGCGACTTCGAAGAGACCAGGGTCACAGATGTCTGCTTTTATGAAGCCGGTCGCGATAAAATCAAAGCTGACATCGCGAAAATCGCTAAAGCGGATATCTCAACTGCGAAAGGGATAAAGTTTACTTCAGGCAGCGAAGCAGAAGAGGTATGTAGTGTTGGGAGTTGAACATCTTGATATGCTTCGTTGAATCGTTTCTTTGGAGAGGTCTGACTAAGCCCATAGGTTTCCGGCGTTTGGGGTGCAAAGTCTTGCCATACATATAGTGCCGCTCGTTTGTGGCCTTACCGACTTGTGGCGCACTTGCTACAAAAAGCGGTATCTATGGGTGTCAACTTGCAAACACATACCTCAGTAACATCCGTCTCGGCAGCCGATGGAGGCGCAAAAGATCATCATTGGGTCGTGAATACACCGCGCGGCCCCGTCAAGACTAGCATTCTCGTTTATGCTACGAACGGTTACACGTCTGCTCTCGTACCGGAGATGAAGGACAAAGTCGTCCCAGTGAGAGGCATAGTAGCGCGCTTGGCGGGCGAGAATGCACCAAGAATAACTGATAGCTATATGATGCGGTTTTCCGACTATGAGTACGACTACATGATTCCTCGACCGGACGGTAGTATCATCGTCGGGGGCGGAAGGCGCGACTACTACAAAGACTTGGACGAATGGTTTGATGTATCCGACGACAGCAGACTGATGGATGGCGCCCGGCATTACTTTGATGGTTACATGCAACGGCATTTCCGCGGGTGGGAGAACAGTGGTGCACACACAGAAGACCTCTGGACCGGTAGTAAGTGTCATGTCTGCACCAGCGTCCACGATTGAATGTTTGAGAACTGACTTATCTTCTTCCGTGTTAGTTATGGGCTATTCCAACGACGGGTTCCCTTATGTTGGTCCAGTCTGCGAAAAACCCGGCCAGTATATGTGCGCAGGATTCAGCGGGCACGGTATGCCGCAGATTTTCTTCTGTGCGAAAGCCGTCGCTTCCATGGTCATCACGGGCGATGCAGAGGATGTGGATCTTCCTGTGCCATACCGCATCACCAGGAGTAGATGGTACCAGCACAAAGAACATGTGTCTCTCAAGATGTGGCAACAGATTGCGGAAAGCGAGCCTGCTCAAGCACGGTTGTGACCATGAGATAAAACGACGAGTTGGGACCTGAATTGTACCCATTTGCAATGCGAAGATTCATCCACCAACTTTCACACGCACCTTGTTGGCGAAAAGAGTTAAAATAACGCCCTTCATCGCTCATACATTGGCGATTCTAGCGTATGCACAACGTCACTTCGGTAGCCATGAAAGGCTCTCAAAGAACTCCCTCTCTGTGTTACCATGGTCATCAAAGTCCGAGGTGAAGAACGCCACGCCTCCATCAGAGTTGAGTAGATCAAAATCGAACGGATAGCCATCAAGGGGTACATAGCTTGGCATACTGTCCACTGTTGCATCCGCTCCATTTGGTGTCATCCTTGGGCCTTGCGCTGTTGCTGCCTGTACATTCGCATGTTCGGATGCTAAAGGCCCAAAACGAGGATTCGTGGTCCTTTCCGCTTTCTTATACCAGTTAAGAAGACCGTTGTAGCCTTCTTCAGCTGAATCATTCGCTTCCGTGACTGCAGGTTGACTTGGTAATGGATTGAAAACGTGAAGTCGATGCAGCGCCGCTTCCAATGTCTCTAGGAGCGACACTTCTGAACGCGCGGAATCGCCCGCCGAAGCCATTTCTCTGATCGCTTGAAGACCTATTTGTAGGGTGTTTGCGAACTCGTTTGTACGGTAACATATGCTATAGGCGATCAAGACCAGCAGAGACGCGCGGCAGGAACTATACTCGGCATATGACGACTTTGCAAGGCCCATGTCGCCCGTCTGCATGATTTGACATGCGCTGATGACTTCCTTCGCAGCCGCAACGCAGTCCTGGACCAGGAAGTCCCACTGTGAATGGGACTCGGATGCTTTCCTCCGGCGTAATTCTGGGGATGCGGCATTGGCGTCCTTGGAATGTACATGGGTCCGCGCCTGACGGTGCGCGAGGATGAAGGGTCGTCCGATAAACATGTGCAACAGGCAGCACTCCAGTCGAGAGTGAATCAATGCGCGGGATTTTGGTAACTCTGCTTGGTGGTTCGCGGTTGGCAATAATGCACTCCCGCGAGGAGGCGACCAGGGTCCTTGCAGATCCGCCTTCATGCGCTTGATACGATTCAGAATCACCCCGACTTCAGCGTTCGCACATGTTCGGAGACATGATCTTGCAAAACATAGTCAGTTGATTGTCTTCTATTTCTGTGTATCAAGAAAGTCTTGATCTGGACTTACATTTCGTGGAGGAATGCTTCAGCGTGCCTTGTGAGCTTGATTGATTCCAGGAGACCTTGAGGATCGAAATGGTCATCATTCATGAGGTGTGTTTCAGATCCCTGAGGTAAATCTGCATCGATATCGGATCTTACTATGGATATTGGGCGGCCGTGGTATATACCAATTTTTCTAGTAGGTCAGATTTGTGAGCAAGAGGACGAGGTGGTATCGGAGAGTCAAGAACCAACAAACCTTTCCATGCAGTACACTGTCCACCAAATGCGACGCCTGACTTCTTTGGTTCTCGCATCGAGGACGTTGCGCGAGACCTTTCGGTGCATTCCGTTTTGTATGGCCACCTTGATAGCCAAGTTTAAATAGATGTAACTCAGCCCAGATGCATCAATGGGTAAGGAATATAGTCCGAGAAGCAAAAGTACTTGGACGCTGAGCAGCGAGCCAGCGTGGATGACTTCCGAAAGAAGCTTTGCTACGTGACGGTAAAAGCCGGATCCAATTTCGAGCTCCCAACTACTCTGAACTTCGGAGTTTGTTGGAACGCCCGTGCTGCAAGTCTTGTGGCGATCGGGTGATTCTAAATGGACGTATTGGGTTCCGACTGCCAGCACCATCAGTACTACACATATTGCAGTAACATCTTTGGAGCGAAGTGGGATGGGGTTGGTGTATATCCTGTCTAGGATGTCGTCAAGCCAGCGTCGGTCTACATAGTAGTAGACGCTTGTGGCATGATTGAAGAAGACATTGGTCAAGAAAGTGGCAACCGGACGGGGTGGCACAACAGCAAGAATGTCCGAGATCGAAGTCGAGGCTGGATCTGCCTCGCCGACGCGAATAAAATCTGGTACTCGCGTTACGTTTTCTGAATTCTGATAGATATGGTGAGCAAATGGGAATAGACTAGGCTAACCGTACGTACCTGCACATTGGCTTTGGCCATAAGTTCGTCTATATTGCGTTTGATGTGCATGGAAAAGTTCCAATGGGAGAACTCGCCTGAGTAATCTGTACAGCGACCAAAGCTCTCGTCAGTGTGCCTGCGGAATTACGAGGAGGTTTAAGAAGCACGTACGGACCGTCGTGCCGTCTACGCGGTCAATGGTACAATCCTCGTCTCCAATATCAGGGCTGTCAGACACTTGAGCATTCACCGACAGCTCGATAGACTCGGGTACGATCGCGTTCTGGTCGCGTGGTGGAGTGGGCGAAGACAGGGAATCGCACGTGCGTTGTAGAGAGACGATATCCAGGGCGAGATTGGGAAAATGGTGTTTGATTATGAACTCCATGCATCGCATGCGTTCCATCAGCTCATTGGGCGAGTCGGGAAGGCCCGGTCCTCGCTTGTCCACTGCAGCAGGTGCAACATTGTATCTACACGGTCGCCGCAGATGGCGACAGCGTCTGCACGGTGACCCGTCCTCACATTTCTCTTTGAGACGGCGACACTCATCACACCTATGCGATGCTTGTCAGTCAAGACTCTACCCCGCGTTCTTCGGCGAGACAGTGGTGGGTCTTACGCGCGAACTGCTCGTTGTCGCTCTTCTGCCGCTAGATGACGCTTCTTGGTGGGTCTTGGAGGCTCGACGTCCATAGCTCGAACTGAACAAAACAATACTAGGTATGAGCTGAAGGGATTGGGTCGGCGGAAGGGCTTTGAGCATACGTCGTGAGTTCGCAGCTGTCACCAACGCCCACCTACTGAAGCGCGAGCGATAAGACAGCTGAATGACGCGCAATGCAGCGACGTTGAAGCCGTCCAGCCACCTGCAGGGACGCTCCGCACAAAGCTTGTCCGTTATCGGTTAGTAATAGCCCCGGCTTATCACAGACGGCGATACACCTGCTAGTCCGCATCCTGACAAGAGATAATGGCGAACATCGGGCAAAACGCAGGGAGGGGTGTATGGGAAAGGGCATGTGGAAATGAATATTCTTTGCTGATGTCATTGAGACTTCTCTACAATCTGCTGCGCCATTTCTATGAGACTTCCAGCCACCACCTCTAATTTCACATCACTAAAAACGTCGAGACAAGCTTCCTTCTCGTACACCGAGCTCCATGCTCCACGAAAACCAGCTTTTGTGGCCGCTGCGACATCCCACATGTGCGCGGCAGCGAACCATTTCACATCGTTTGCTCCAAGTCGTTTCCGTACAGCCTGATAGGCGAGCAGAGCGGGTTTGGCCACGCCTATGTTGTCGCAACTAACAAAATTCTCCAGCGGCATGTCTACACCGGCGCGCTCGAAATAGCCTCTGACGCGTTGCACATCCCCGGTGGTGAAACACCAGACGGTAAAGCCGTTGTCGCGCAGCAACTGGAACGTCTCCTGACAGCCAGGTCGCAGCTGTAAAGCGGAATAGCCTTCGATGCATTGTTCCCGCTCCTCTTCAGTGGCTACAGCCCGAGTATCGGCGATGCCACAAAGACTAAGGGTACGGTAAAATAGTCCTCGGAGAACATCCTTATAAGGCTTGTAGCTTTCGGAGATGGACAAGAAGGTGAATTCCAGCTCAGCAGCTGTCTGCCAGGTGTACCCGAAGTGTTGCGGGGTTATGTGGTGATGGCGAAGTTTTGCACCCAAGACTGAGTCTATGCGTTCGTAGTAGGCGTCGAACGATACGCAGGTGCCGACGACGTCGAAAACGACATGCTTGAGAGGCTGTGTCATTTTGACTGTTGGTATGGTGTGTGATGACCAAAATCAAGGAGCTCGACAGCGGTTGATGCAAGATATGTCGACTTGGCATAAGGAGTAAAAGACTCATGGAGAACAGGCCCCTGCGTCATGCATAGTACTCTCATCGTTTGCCATAGTGAGTAACGGTACCGGTAGATGATAGAAGGCCGGCCCGGTCTGAGGTGACTGCCGCAGCGCTCGGGCCAAGTGGTTATCGATCGCGACCGGATCGCTTACCCGGTTCTGCCACTAACACATAGGTACCTAGGTACGATAACGATGAGCAATATTCTCAGCAGACTCCGGACCGGTGTCATTGTCTCTCAAGCTCTAACTTCCTAAGTTGAAGTGGTAAGCTCGATAACCGGGCTAGGTACCCGGTCGATTTTCGAAACAGCTCTGGAGCGGTGTTGGACTGCAGATATGAAAACGTGTACTATGTGGATTGCCATGCGAAAAGTGCTCTCTGCTCCGCTGTAGAAAGTAATCAGTCGTTCTCAATTCCTCGACATGGTTTTGCCAACTGCCAATCCCACCAAATCCTATTGGATCGAGGCTGCGAAATCGCCGTTGCGCAACTTCCGCTCCAGCGAGACGTTACCAGAGGAAACCGATGTGGCAATAATCGGCGGTGGTTACGCCGGCGCATCGACAGCTTACTGGATCAACAAAGTTTGTGACCGCACCAAAATGGGTTGTCCGCTCATTAAGTCTGACGAGTGGTTAGTACACAGATAATGCTTCCAGGCAGCCTCATGTGACTCTCCTAGAAGCTCGTGATATTTGCGGAGCTGCCACCGGACGCAATGGTGATGGCACTTGCATCTTGCCCCTTGGAGAAAAACCTAACAACGAACAGGAGGACAATTGAGGCCGCATGCTTATTCCCGCTATACGAAATGGTCGAAACGATTTGGCCCCCATGGTGCCATGGAGCTTATCGAGCATGAGATGGCTCATTTGCCGGCATTTAGGGATCTAACTGAGGAAGAAAACATCGCGGAAGAGGTCTGTCTCAAGTTCGGAGAAACGTTCGATGCTGCTATGACCGATGAGGCCTGGACGAGGCTCAAGGGCGCACTTGAAGCCATGCGGAGGGATCATGGCGACGATCATGAGATCGTCAAAGTATGCAGAGTGATCGAAGATGCACGCGACGCGGAGGAGTTTACGCAGATGAAGGGTGCTCTGGCTGCAGTGGTACATCCTGCAGGGCAAATGTCGGTTCCTCTCGATTGTACTGCTCCCACGCAACCCTACTAATATCGTCTCAGATGGCCATACAAATTGGTGCACGCGCTTCTGCGCATCGTTCTGGAGAAAGGCAATCTCAATCTGCAAGCTCATACCCCAGTCACTGATGTTTCAGCGCGAGACGCCGAGGGCTGGATCACAGTCAAGACTGAGCGCGGAACCATTCGTGCCAAAACAGTCGTCCACACGACAAACAGATGGGCTTCTCATCTTCTTCCTGAGTTCAGTAATCTTATACTGCCTGACAGAGGGACTATTGCCGCGATCAAAGCGCCTCCGGGATTCATAAAGCATACTGGTGCCCAGCATTGGGACTCAGTTGTCAACGTAAGGCTTACAGATGCTCTCTTCACAATCAATGACCCGCTGACGAAGACAGAATTATCATCTCCAGCTCCCTCCACCCTACAACACAATCATCATTGGAGGAGCAAGGCAGCTTCTTGTCCACAAGCCAGAAGATTGCTTTCCCAACGATAAAGAGGATCAGCAGATTGCCGGAGTAGCTGCATTCTACGAATCTTGGGGTGCCTCAGACGTCGCAGGCCCGCCGGATGCAGTTCCCGCGGGGCTCAGCAAGGAAGTTGACGAAGGCGGTTGCTGGACTGGAAGTAAGATATCGCCATGCCAGTGAGCTTGACGTACATTCGGCTGACTAAAATGCAGTTCAAACCGAATCTGCAGACGCGTTTCCATTTGTTGGTGCGGTGCCACAGCGGCCGGGCCATTTTATTGCGGCCGGATTCGCGGGACACGGTAAGCTTCTCATTTGCTGAGGATTACAGACAAGCTGACGATTAAAGGTATGCCTCGCGTGTTGGGTTCAGCTGCTCACATCACGCCTCTTGTTCTGGAGTCGCTTGGTGTCGAATACAGCCAGCCTCTCATCGCCGCTTCATTTCCTCCACTGCCTCAACCGTTCCGCACCACCGCTGAACGGATTGAGAGACTCCAGGATACGAACCTCAGTGCGCTCACTGAGGAGTACAAGCAGAGCTGTGAGGAGAGTGCGAAGAAGCCATTTTGCAATACTGCGAGAGTCATGTCTGTGCTTACGATTCCGCCCTCATGGGATGGTGGCCACCAGCAGGCCATGGCCCAACTATAATGTGAATGTGTGTAGTTTGGAATAAGGCGAGAGTGTAAGGACATAGCCTCGGCAAACCTCTACGGTATACTTCGAGCTATCTTCTTACTTCGACTTCGAATACTTCTATCTCCAAAGCTACTAGACTTTGCGAACAGATAGTATTCACTAGTTAGAACTAGTACTATCTAGTACTAGCTTCTAACTAGCTCTTCTCTATATAGTTCTAGCTACGCGCTCTTCTAGCTCTGCGTCTGCTATTCTCTCCTCTTGAATATAGAACCTATTCAACCAGCTTCGTTCCTATGCTTGACGTCTGCCTTACAGAGAGTATTAGAGAAAGCATAGTTAGGTACATAACTACTAGCGAATGCCCGCTGTTGTATCTATCTTAATCTTTTTGCTCCTCTTTTTTGCTAGTTTAGAATAGCTACTTTGACTAACTCCTCGATATCTATAATAAATACTTATCTACTACTGCTAGTTTTAGACGAGGTAAATGCTAATAACTTCGATAAGACATTCTTATAACAGTTCTGTGTCAAGGGTGTTTACTTCTAGGCACATGAGGTATCTGCTAATAGGCCATTTCTGCACTCTTGCAAAGGTCTCTTCCTGTATCTTTTGTGCCTATACAGAACCCTAATCTTATATCCCTAAATAATACTTCCCCCGCTCATACGCATAGAAGCTAACGGCAGCCATAGGAACAACCTTGACATATCCAATCGTCAGCCCCACAAAGAATCCTTTGTACCCTCTCTCCATGTATATTCTCCTCGTAACCTCCGGTATACTAAGCCGATGCCCATCGCCCACGACACCACCAACCTGCATGCGCCGCCGTATGACTTCCAGAGGATAAGACACAGTCTGTGAAAAGAAGCCTGCGATACCGCCGCTCGTTAGCTCAGCCCAGTAGCGCAGCTGCGCGGGCTTATGGCTTGTAGTGCTGGATTCCTCGCGCGAGGTGTTGGGTAACGTGGTATACGGTGCGAGAACGGGTATGCGCAAGAGATCGGACATGGAGTCGTGAGCGAGGAACGAAGCGCCTGCGTAGGGTATCATGCCGAGGAGGGTGGGTGTGAAGCCGCGGAAGAAGTTGGAGAGGCCAGAGCGCGGGGTGACTTTCTCTACGACTTGTGTTGCGGTTGCGGTGATGGGGCTCTTCGGTTGTGATATACGTGGTGCTTGCTCGGCGTAAATTTTGCGTACGATGTCTGCGAGACTGCTGCGGCCTTGTTCGCTGGTTTCGAAGGCGAGGCGTACGCGGATGACTTCCAGTGGATATGTGAGGAAGACGCTCATCATGCCTGCTAGACTGCCTGAGAGGAAGCGTCGACCGGGAGTTTCCTGCGCTTTGTTCTTTATTATGCGTCCGCGTATTTGCTCGTAGGCGAGGAATTTGATGCCCGCGTAGGGGAAGATGCGGAGGAGGGTTGCCGAGTGCCCTTTGAAGAGCCCTCGTACGCCGGTGCTGGTGTAGATGTCGTGGATCGCTGTGGGGAAGCCGCTCCATGAGCCGGCGTACTTTGCGAATTGGGGATTGCGGGTTTGAAAGAGGATCTTGACGCGGTCGAGGGGTCCTACTACGGTCTTTGCCTATGAAATGTCAGCATCCGTATTCGGGAAGTCATTTCAGACGTAGAGGAATGCCTTGACATACAGCGCACCCTGCGAATCCACCCGCCAATCCACTCTTGATCAGGTATTCCATGCTATTTCTGTCCATCTTCTGCCTCTTCGGTTCCATATCTGCGCCTCCTTCCTTCTTTGCCGACATGGCAGCGTCATGATCGGGTATTGTAGTGCCTGCGCTGTTTGTTTGCGCCGCAGTTGTGGTCATGATATTCGCTTTCCTTCCGTCATAGCGGAGGAGATCCGTGGACATTCCAGAACAGACGTGCGTGGGGTTACCGCGACATGAATATCGTGTGTTTGCGCTTCCTTCGGTGTCGTTGTTTCGCGTGGCTATGGCAAGGCACGTGTTCTGGGGGCGTGGGCGTGGTCGCGTGTGTGTGGATTAGAAAGCAACGCCGTTGTGTGGTTTGGTGTTTGAGATGCCGCGATGACGTTTACCGAGGCTGATCTGCTGTTTTCGGCCGGTACTTCGCCCAGACCGTTCATCCGACGCTACCCTTCGAAAATGGTTTCCATGCAACACCACGACAACATCACGAGATCTCAGATCAGATATCCTACGTGAAGTGTGTTTACGATAGCACGCGATGATTACTTGGTGTGTTGTCGATGAGATTGCAAACGGGAACTAGCTATGACGTAAGACTGTAGAATGGGTAGGAACTTTCCATTGCTGTTTTCTCTCTTCGATTATCCCTCGTCATGGCTTCGTCAAATCCAATCATCTACCAGAACGCGGAGGCGGACGTCATTCTGATTGACATACCGACTTCTATCGCAGCAGCACAAGGCGACCGCTCGGGTGTGCTGCTCTCTACTGCGCCCTTGGAAGCGCCCATCGAATCGAAGGAAGACTACCGACCCAAGGCGAAGAAACATAGAGCGAACGAGACTCAAGCCCAAGGCACGGTGACTACGCAGCATGTCAATCACCGCAGTTTGCCACCTGTGACAGTGGCAGAAGCCTCCCAACACGAGTTCCATTCTCTGCATCTTGACGACCTGCGGTACAAGGTTCTCGCTGAACATGCACTCCGCAAAATTCGCGCGCAGGTTCCAGGACCGTGGTGCGCACAACGCAAGTTAATGACCCTAGAATCAGTCCGTGGGAAGGATGTCGCCATGGACGTTGATCAAATTTCTGAAAAAGAGCTCGAGTCCCGAATGAAGGAGTGGGCTTCATGGAGCGAGAGCAAGGAAGACGATACCGCATTCAATCTGCAGCAGATGATGGCGTCTCTTGGCGCAACTTCCGAGGTCGCAGAACCGGCCACTGTGGCACCAAAGTGGATCATGTCGTCCTGCCCTGCCCGTGAGACTGCAAGTAACACACGGGTCGCGGAAACGGTCTCGCCAGACATAGGGGCACAAACCGACCCGTGGACAGGCGCCTTCCACAACCCCAACCACCACTCCCTGTCGCTATCAATCGCTCAGAACACGTCGCAACCTGCTCAGCTGGGTCCCGAGTATCGTTTCACCGTACCACCTCGATCCACATTCTTCCTCAGCGATTCCACAGCGTCGGAAGCCTTCCGTACCTCATTTCGTGAACTCACAGATGAGTTCACCCTTCCACGACACTTCGACCTAGTACTGTTGGATCCACCATGGCCCAATCGTTCAGCCAAGCGGAAGGGGGCGTACGAACAAGTCGGCGGCATGCCGTACCTCAAGAAGATGCTGTTGAGCATGGATATCGACAGCTATCTGGAACACAATGCGCTGGTCGGCGTCTGGATCACGAACAAGGAGGCGCTGAGGGAACATGTCCTCGGCTCTGGTGGACTGTTTGAGATATGGAACGTGGGCTTGATCGAGGAGTGGATATGGATCAAGACAACAACCAAAGGCGAGCCCATGTTCGACATTGATAGCGCCATGCGCAAGCCCTATGAAATTCTACTGCTAGGTCGCGCAGCCCCGAACTCATGGACGACAATGACACACGCGCCAACAGTCAAGAGGAGAGTTATTGCTGCTGTGCCAGATATCCACTCACGAAAACCATGTCTGAAGCAGTTACTCGAACCCTTTCTTGCGGATCCGACTGATTACAGCGCGCTTGAGGTCTTTTCTCGGTACCTTGTCAGCGGATGGACGTCTTGGGGTAACGAGGTACTGAAGTATAATTGGGATGGCTACTGGGCCCCGGCTAGAAGCACCGTGGCCTCTACGAAGTAGGGTTTCATTTCGCTGGGACATGGCATCTGTAGTGGCAAACCGTAGTTGAGTGGTATGTGCATCTCATGCAAGGATAAAGCTGAACACCCTGGATCCTAGGTTGACGTTTGCATACCTACTTCGCATGTTTTTTGTCTTAATGTAGGCTGCAGATCTGTTCAGGCCTTTCCTTGTATGAGGTACGCGTGGGAACCGCAAGTTGGCTGATCTAGACCGACAATGGTCTGTGGAAGTATGCGTTGCTCTGATGAATAAACCACGTGGTTTTTGAGAGGGCATATCAAACGATCATTCATCCAAAGGATGAGATAGTAATTGTAGTATAGTGTAACAAAGATGAAGACATAGATCATCCGGCCAGTTATTCATCCGTTCATGTAGATCTGAACTACAGCCATAGCCGATTACCCGCCTGATTTGCATCTACAACCACATGAACACACATCTCAACACACACACTCAAACACTACCATATCCACAGATCAGCAGGTATACTCGAAACGGTAACTGCCGAGACCCTTTACTTCCTTTTGCGTCTCCACCATGACGCCATCTCCCCACCACCTTCTCTACACGGAAATGCCATTTTCAAAATCAAGAAACCGGCTAAGAAGAGATCAGGGTCTTGAAAAGCCCACTATATCTCCACCGCACACTGGAGAAATGTATGGAGCAAGAGGCAAAAGAGTGTGGACCGTGGAGGTGCACTTCCACAGCTCCGCCCCACCACCCCAAATCCTACCCCACGTCCCGAGATAATGACTGCTACATCCCCGGAAAGCGGAGTATTCTCACTCTCGCAAACTGAAACAGAGTGAAGCAGTTCAAATGCCGAATCAACAACAATAACCGCGGCACGCATGAAAAGTCTCGACCCCGTGAGGCGAATTCACATGTCAAGCCAGGTGTGGCGTGGGGAATGTGCAAGCGCCCTCCGCCCTCGTGATGTGATGGACACTGTGTGCGCCCCGCGTGGGGTCCATTGGGGCAAAACTAAAGCAAGTGACATATGCACGACATCCAGACTAACTAGCATCTTGTCTTATCAAGTAGGCGAATGAGCGGAAGGGTACTACCGCGCTGTGAACTACGTGCCGTGGGGAAGGAGAGGAGCGTTAAGTGAAGCGCCTTTGTCGCTGCTTTCACAGTGCATGGCAGGACAGGACTGCGAGGCAGAAATGGGCCGATCGGCGGAGTTCACTTCTACCTGGGTCAAGCAGGCTACAAGCTTGATTTTACGCTGGAGGTCGTCGCCGATGAAGGACGTAGAAGAGCAAAGGCATGGGGCGTCTTGTAGGGCTCACCCATGGCCCGGCTGTCTCCCAAGTATGTCCATCTGACAGATGCATACCGACTCCGACTACGGAAGTCAAAGGATCGGCGTACTTGCATTCTAGGTGTCGCACTGCATGAAGCACAAGATGGAGGTGAGCGGTGTTGGGACGCGATGTCCAGGCGGTGAGTCACCGCTTTTGGGGTTTCCTTTGTCTACAGGCGCGATATGGTGTTGTTGGATTTTGTTGCGATGGGCTGGGAGGACGCTGTGTAAGCCTTGTGATGTGCAAAGGTGTTGGGGTTGTAAGGCTGAGTAGTTGATTGCCTGGCATGCTACGTGGTGACTGTGCGTTTGTAGGAGAGAGGTTTCGCAGAAGTTTACCCCTCCATCGTGGGATCTGCATGTGTGCAACGAATGTCGAACGTATGTCCCAATCGCTGTCAAAGATGGCGAAATTCATGTTCAATGAGACTTCCCTGTCACAGTATGAGTTTGACGATACGATAACCGTAGTCGCACCCAGTCGCACCTGCCAGATCAATGTAGTTGCGTACCCTACTGCAGCGCCAACGCGAGAAGTCACTACCACGCCCGAGTACGTATCAGTATTTCCGCACTTCTACGGGGCGACAATCCGACAAGTGATCTCGCACCAGTCGAGCATGTGCATCCCCGCGTCCAGTCTTCATGCTGCAGGTAATTCTCCGCCCAACATCAGCCACCGGAATTTCTCCCCTCATCTCTAAACGGAAAAATTCCAACCGAAAGCGACTAACGACCGTGTACTTTACAACCACGGATGATCTCTGTTAGAAGCCACCCTACCTGCCTGTCGAGTACCTAGTGACATGCAGCTTCGATGCAGGGCGATGGTTGATCGCAACGGCGGTCTAGGCTGCGAGATTCCATGGTACATTTCATTCTTGCCAAAAAGCCTACTGCCGGCTGCACTTCCCAAAGGGGAAAGTGCAAGCAGTCTGGTAGTGTTTGCAAGATGGCCCTGGATTCCCGGGCTTGCGCGTCCGATAGCAAAGTAATAGTGTGAGGCCTTGAATCTGTGTTTTCTTCGCTTGAACCGTTCGTACCGCTCAAACCGCGGCCGTATTAATTTCTTCACCACGGATCCACTCACCGCCACTGCACGGTATGTGTTGCATGAGCTGAAGCTCCAACACCTGCTCCACAGCCACAGCACCCGGCCGGTTTTCGCCAGCACCCATGAATCGTGGGTTTGCAGTCTCACGAAAACATGTCGGAGTTACTTCTTTTGTTACTCCACTTCGGAGCGCTGAAATTTTTACCCAGTTGAGCCGTCTTATCGTTCGGATCCACATCGGACCTTCCATGTGAGGGAATGACGGGCTTCTAGTCGAAGGCTGTAGCCGCACCATAAGCACGATGATGCTACCGGCCCACTCACGTGCAGTTTCACCGAGATGGAATTTGTTGACTTCGTACTGGTATGTGGATATCATGGCAGAGACTTTTGGCGATGGGTTCACGTTTGCAGGACTGCAGGAAATAATAACGCCGTGGCCGACGTAGTGCGGCTCTGCTGCCCGACGACGTCATTTTTGAAGTTTGGTGATGGCATAGAGACTTGATGAAGGCAAGTGATACGGGGTTGGTATGGGGTCGTGGATGGGGTCAGCGGCACAGTTGCTTTGTCGGCCTTGGTTGTGGGACAAACGTCGTCATGAACAGGTGCTGTTTCATGGGTCGGCAGACCCTGCAGCGTGCTCGAGGTTTTGCAAACAGCCAGGTGGTGCCTTGCATGCGCACTTGCAAACAGGGGAACCCTCCTGGACGGTTAGTTGAAGTTTATTGACAACCTTCCGAGCTTGGTCGCCCGCCCGCATTCTGTGCAGCAATAGCTGGCGGGCTAGGAGTAGCGGGAACGTGGTCTGGACAGCTGGCCGACCTTCTGACCGAATCGCCAAAGTGACCAAACTGTCATCACGGCGAGAAAGTGACCGTGGTTTGAGGGTGAAATGGAACCTCGGCAAAGGTAATATGGGTGTTGCTCGACGCGAGGAGTCGTGCACGAGCCCGCTTGAACGGTGGCGCATGGAAGAATGGAAGAACCTTCCACACTAGGCGGACGGACTCACGATCCCCAGTTTCCTGAGGGAGCACAGACACTTTTCTTCACCCGACCCCAGATTACCGGCAGAGTGTGCAGGCTGAACGGGTCGCGAAAACGTGGAGATGAAGCAGGGTGCTGTAGTGCTGTATCCAGCCGAACGCAGACGCAAACAATGTAACCGACAGGGCTGACCTTCGTACTCCGTTTCCTTTATGGCGTTTGCGAATTTATAGGCACAAAGGGCTTATTTGGGGATACCGTTGCAGTAACGATGCGAACGGGAGGGTGTGCTCACTGCATGCGACGGACATTACAGATCTCTTCTCAGCCTCCCGCACACTGCAGGTCAGCCGTAAGCAGTTGTCGTTTGTGCAACGTGAATGCACGCATTTGGATCATGATAACGCAAGGAAAGTTACTGGACTTTGTTCGGGGGCAAGACGGATCCGCAGCGGCTGCAAGTATGACTCCTGCGAGGCGTCTCACGGCGCGATAATGGCGGTTGTGAAAGTGTACATTGTATGCCGGGCCGGCATGTACCTCGCTACACCAATTGGTGGCAATGCTACTTCGCTTCGCGCGTCGTAGAGTATCTGCCGGCTATGGAACGCTACTCGTGGTGAAGTTGTGAAGGGGACCCGCAGGCTAGAAATTGTCTCGGAGGGCTCGAGTGGGGAAGACCCTGAGATCGTCGGGATGCATGTGATGGCGACTAATGCACCCCATGAGCTTGACCGGGTAAACCTCGATGCGAAAGGAAAGCACATGTTCCGAGGGTTCTTTCTTCAGACTGGGAGAAGCTTTGTGGATTGGTTTCGTTTCGAAACAGCGAGGATCTGCTTCCAAGCGTGTGGTCGGCGAAGGGACGGGGGCAAAACAGGTGGCCACTTGCGACACATGAATCAGGGCGTCAAACAGCCGGACGACGGTTTGGGCAGCATGCGCAAAAAACAATCGATATATTCATTTCACAAGACGCACGGAGAAGCGGACAGCAACCCGGGGCAGGCGTTTGGGTTTCCTTTTGCGGATGTTAGAAGCCGCCGGATGAAAGCGTGGGGAGGGCAGCTAGGGTCTCCCTATGCCATCCCCGAGATGATCTTCTGACACCAAGCTTACTGCATCTGGGTATGCGATGAATTTTATCCTCGCGGAGACGGGCGTGGCGCGAATGAGCCGTGGGGTGGGTAACCGCTGTCACTGTCACATCCCTTGTCCAGGTGCTTTTTCAGGATGGACTGCGTCCAGGATTAAACAAGCCGGGTTTCTAGACGTGACGAGGCAGGTTTGGAGAGTTTAGCAGACAGCAGAGCAGGCAGCAGACTCTGCCTGCTGGACGAGTCATCGTTGCATTTTGCATGTGCGCACGTCGATAGGGCCAGCGATAGACAAGCGTAGACAAGCGACAGCCAGGCGATAGGGCGAAGGATGGGCTGCCATGTCACGGTCTTCGAGCCCCGACAGCCGGGATGGACTCGCAGGCGCAGCGGAGCATACGGGGCTGACGGCTGCGGTAGCCAGAAATGGCAGCCTTTGTGAAGGGGCGGTCTGAGCTGCGTGGAAGCTCCGCCAACCACAGTGCACCCCCTCCAAAGAGCGGTCGCTCACCGACTCACAACAAAAGGCAAATCACAAAGCGCCAAATAAATGCGTTTCATGCGGACCGGAGCGAGGCGTGGAGGATTGATTGTTTACGGCGGAGGATATATGGAACCCTCCCCACGGCCAGGCCTTCATCTGATCTTCATTCGAGACACACACACACACACAGACCAGTGCTTCTGCCTGACTCGAACTCCTGACCAAAGCAAACCCGTGGCTTTTATTTAATCAAGCCCCCGAACGTCCACCGCCCACCGTCGCATCGCTAGATCCAAGATCGCAAATCTCCCACATCGCTTTCCGAGACGCAGCCCGACGCTACCGGAGTAGCACCCGCAACCCTGTTTTTCCACCTGCCCCCAAACCCACATCGGCGTCATACATCATCAACCGCCCCTGCACCTCGGTCCAGTTGCCGCGACACTAGACTGACGAAAAAACCACGAAAACACACTGCAATCTTGTAGTGCCGAAAGTGCCCGCAAGTGTGTATATACAATAGCGACCCACCCCGTACGCTATAGTCACATCAATATTCACCCTCACCACCATGCACTTCGAATCTTCTCCAGGCTCCTCTCCAAGCTCCTCGCCATCCAAGTCGATGCCCATCAGCATCTCGCCCAGGAACATGGCTTCACCAACATCGTCGCTGTACAGCAACTACTCTACCAGCTCTTCATCATCGCGTGGCTCAACATGTGCTTACCCATCATGGCCTACCGGTCCATCGCTCGACCACCGCAGTGCACCTTCATCCTACATCAGCGACGCAGACCTCTTTGGTGAGGACTTTGACGACGACTTTGCCTGCCCCTTCCTCGACAAGGCTCCCGCTCCACCACGCCAGTACCCCATGGCGACAGCACTCCCCGTCTTGCCACCACTGTACGCGCCCAAGAAGCCCAAGAGCGAGCGCCGCCGCAGCAGTGGCAAGCAGCGTCGCACTTCCAAGCCCATGACTCCCATCTCGGAGTCACCAGAGCAGGTTGAATGAGCAAGCATCGAGCGATAGCATTCGTGTTATTTGTAAGTCTAGTCCGCATGCATCGAATCGCGTCGCAGGACTAACGGCGTTATTAGAACCTATCTTGACGACATCAACGTCACTATTGTAGGCGCGCGCGTCAGCAGCGCGCTGGCATGGCTGAGTGAGTCACATGAGCTCGCAGTCAGTCAGTTGCCACAGTCAGCCTCACTCAGCATCCCTCACCGGGACCTGAGTTTGCCGCGTGTCGCGCCTCGGCCATCTGACATGGCATGTGTTCTCGCATCTTACTTCAAACTCTGCGACATGTTACAGGAGCTGGTGGATGCAACCTTCCCCTCTCCCACATGCCAGCCCCAGTCACACCGTTTGCTTGCCAACGGTGTGAATGTGGACGCCCCCACCGTCGCTGGCCACCACACGACAGACGGACCTGGGGTCGCGCATTCATCACTTGCATCGTCCAGAGTCGTTTGTGTGCGCAACCGTCTGGACCGCGTTCTGGCGCAGATCGCGGCGATCACGCAGAAAGAGGAGGAACTCCAAACACCTTGGGGAGTGACAGAAGAAACGGATTGGAGGAGCGACAATGTGACAGATCTTCACATTTGCAGGTTCTGCGGCGTTTTTGCCAGACCTGGCCTTTCTTTCTCTCGATACCCCCCGCTTCCGCAAATCGGAATGCGAAATTTGTATGCGCGCTTGTGTGCGCGCAAAGGAGCGAGGCTTATTGTGGCTGATAAGCTCTCTCGCCTGTTTTTCCCTTATTGATACCCCCACCATTCAGCCATCGTTTAGATAGATACCCCATTTGAATTTTACAGCTCGTCTTACCTTGACAACAAGAACAAGCCCTTGCCTTGTCCACATAGATTGCGCTTTTCGTGATGCCGACCCTGAAATAGGATGGCGATGTGATGGGGATGTGATAGGCTTCGTTAGCTGAATTTTGGTGTGTGATTGTTGAGATGTGTGGCGCTCCCAGAGCGGGCTTCGGTAGTTCTACCATGTTTCTTCTGCATGATGCAGCGAACCCGAATCCGTGGTGGGATATCGCTTTCTCTCTCTCCCCTATATGTCCCTCGAGTCGCGAACGAAAAAGCAAACTGCTGAACGACCAGTTGGGCGCTGTGCAAGCAACGTCACTTTGCAGATTCTCGCATGTTTGGTACAATGTTGTAGCTGGGAGGCCCTACCGTCTCAATACGGCAATTCCTTACTATGCGCGCCCTTGATTCATGGCAGAGAACCCTTACCTTCCTCATCGTCAATCTGTCCCATGTATCGCGAAGATGTCCTAAATTGGGCTTTCCTTCAAATCGTGCGGAATCTGTTTGTACTGAACGAACATTCTTTTCTTGCACGGATCCGCATGTCGGCCATGCTGTATCACAATACGGTCTGGCTGGACCTGCAGTGCTGGTAAGCTGCATGCTTGCCTCACCTAAATTAGTCCGTACACAAGTTGTCCAGGAACGACACGCGATTTGTGCGAAACATTTCTCTAATTTTGCATCCCCCGCTGTTGTCCTGCTAATGTCGTGGGGCAGAGTATACTGTACATTCAAAAAGAGGGGCGAAATGCGTGTGGCTGGTAGACGGTGTAGAGAAGTCCGGGATGAAGATCCTTCGTCGGGCGCTTCGCTTGCATCAAGCCTTGAAGCGGAAAGGAGTGTGAATAATTCATCACGGAACTAAGGCAATGTGCGCCCAACTTCATGACACCCACCCCCGTTTCTGCGATACCGTTGGGTATAGCTCGAACGGTGTAAGACGCTGTTGAGAGCTAATGACACGGCCTGAAGCAGCTTTGCTAGATTGTTTCTTCATGCCGAGAGGAAACAGGAGGGTTTTGTAGCCACTATGAACTGGCATGCATATATCACGACCAGGGAACGACGCTCGCATGCCAGATCGGCAGAGCTTTGACTTGCTTGAAGCTGACGGGGCGGGAGTAGATCGATTGTGCTTGGTTAGCGACGTGTGCTTCTGTGTCTCCTGCCTCTGCAGCGGCACGTTATGCTTTGTGCTTGGTTCAACGACAGAGGGTGGTGATTCCTGGGCCGTATATGTAGGTATCAACACATTAGTCGAGCACGGATTGCAAGACGTTACCAATGCCCCCGCGATACAAGCGGCTAGGTTTGAATGTGAAGTCGGAACTACCATCTTCTGGGGTCTCCCACGTCATGCGCGAGGTGTTGATGTTTCTTCCGGGACGGGCCATGGCTTGTGCAGGATAGTCGTTCAGGGACCGTGACCTTTGTGCCACCAACTTACATATCCGCTCCCGAGCGTTGCGGGTTGAGCGCGTTGCGCAAAAAGCTTGGGCACGACGCGCTAGCTGCCACGATCAAGGCAGCGCAGTATGCGAACGGCTGGCCAAGCGGCAGGAGAGAAAATTGTGAACATGTCGTGATGGCGCTACCGTCACCGTACTTTGAGAAGAGTCATGCCAGCGTCGAGAACAGAGAGTCGTTATATGCATCGAGTCGACGAGGCATGTCGCATATTTGAGCACGTAGGGATCATCCTTTACGGGCCGGTCCAAGGCGGCCGCACCGCGATCTGATACGCTGGTTTCGAGCGCGAAAGTGTGATGATTGTGCGGTAGGCACATGTGCTGGCCAATGAGGGCGGCCATCTCGTGTACTCTGTTGACCCCAGTCTTCCGCGTCCTCGTCCCTGTGCCGTTCAGCCCTCTGAGAGGCTGGTCTGTAAACCCACGCAGGCACGCCGGCGCGAACCTAACCATTAACGTGCGGTGTCACCAACTTGGCTTCCAGGATGGCAGCATGCGTCTGCTTCGTTCGTCGAGTCCCCGAAGGTCCAATGTCGACCTTTCACAGTTGGCGAGCGAATGAGGCTGCGCAACCCCAGCCCGTTAACGCCTTTTGCTGCCGGGTATGCTGCTCGTTGGCTGGACGGCACCAACCGATGCCATTCGTACTATTTCGAGCGAGTATCAGTCGGGCTTTCGAGCTCTAAGCGCCGTTAGTGATAGGCGGGCGTCCACGCGCTTCAACTCACACATCGCCTGCGCTGTTGTCGCTTTTTCTCTACCTTCTCGCTGCTTGCTTGCTTGCTTGTCTGTCTCTTCAGCTGCACGTTGTTGTACCGCCGCATAATACGAAAGCGGTACTCGAGTTCTGTTTAACCGCCTCAACTTTGATCCCTGTAGAGACCGGGGCGGGGCCAAAGGGTACCCTCCTCCAGACGCCGTGGAGCTGTCAGCGCATTGCTGTTTAGCGCGCTCTTGCTCTCTGCAGTGAGTTGGATTCCCCTGACTTCTTGCAGTTTCACAATCGCTCTTGTGCAAGCTCCTGATTGTATTCCCGTTATCCCAAATCGCCATCGTCTTCAACGTTATGCGCTTCGCGGGCCCTTGCGGACCTGACCCGACTGACGACCACCCATAGATCCAGCCCTCACCATGTCGACTGGACTAAGACAGCGCGCGAATTCCAATTCTATGAAAAGCAACTCGGTTCGGTCCACAGACGTCAAGCTCAAACCCCCGACGCCGGGCCAAGATGAGTTCGCATTCGAGCCCTGTGCGGCGACAGGGTCGTTCCTGCTCTATGCGCAACGCAACGTAATACTGGTCCTTCACCACGACACACTGGCGATAGAGCGACGTTTTGATAGGCATCGGGAAGATGTATCGTGGATATCAGTCGACACAACAAGCGAAAGAGGAGCAGGCCGGTTAGTCGTCTCATACGACGCCGGCTCGACTGCAATTGTGTGGGACTTGTTCACGGGTGACGAGGTGGCGAGATTTGCATCGTACGAGCAGATTCGCGTCGCAACTTGGATGAGAAATGGAAATGTTGCTTTTGGTGAGTGACGAGGTCGGGCAGTCGCCATTGCCTGTTCGGGTGCTAACATGTGCATAGGGAATGCGCAGGGCAACATCATCCTGTTCGAGCCTTCCACATCCGAACACCTCTCAGCCAGAACCATCTTCGACCCCATCACAGCACTCGCGCCAGCTTCAGACTGCAGAACATTTGCCATTGGGTACGTACAAAAGGCAACCAGTGAATTGGGCATCAATGCTAACACCTCCAGGTATCTCAATGGCTCAATCCTCATCGCCACCCTGCAGCCATCCTTCACTATCCTACACACTCTCACCACCCCGAGAAACCCTTCTCCTATTGCAGGCCTCGCGTGGCATGGCTCTTCATCAAAGCAAAAGTCTGAGATGTTGGCGGCCCAAACATCGGACGGGGACCTCCGGGTATGGAGTGTTCCCAAGGCCCAGCACGGCAGTGACGCCCCATGTGTAATCCGTGTGCTCAACCAAAAGGAACAGAGAGAACCTGGACCTTGCTGGTTTGCCTGGTCAAAGAACGGCAGGATCATACAGTACACTGAAGGGTACGTATCTTGGTATGCGCTGTCAATTCGTCCTCCATGCTAACACGTGACATTCAGTCAAACCTGTGCATGGGATGTTCGCACCAAGAGAGTGTCATATGAAACTGTGCCGACAACAGATGGCATTGCTGCTATCTGCAACTACGGTCCTACTGCGACTCTCTTCACCATTGGACGCAACTCGAGTATTCAACAATACGATATCAACCCCAGCAATGGACCTGCCACCATGGTAGCCAATGTTCAGCATGCGCCTGCTAACACGCCCCCATCTCCCCCAAGCTCTCTGGACGAACAACAGAAGCAGATGGAGACACCACTTACCGCCCTCCCTTCTAAGACGCTTCCCATAATGCTTGCCGACTCGGAAAGCAGTGCTGACGAGGGTGTCGCCATGTCGCCACTGCAGAAGATCGCTCAAGAGATGGACCAATTGGAGGAGGAGCGCCGCGATCGTGTTGGGCCCCTGAGCCCCGTATCCAGCCGAGGTTCCCAGAGCTCTCGATCATCTGGTAGCGGCCGCGCTCCCCGTTACCGATACGACAGACCATCGCACGGCTCAGCATCGCAGAAGTCTACCAGATCAAAGAGCTCGAATGGCTCCGGTACGATTTTCTCGTCTGGCACGTCGTCCATGGCTGGCACCTCAACACGTGAAAGCGTTTCCATCCGATCGATATCATCAGCTGCATCTTCCTCCCGGTATGGCTCTTCAGCTCTGCGCAAAGAGGTCCTCAGAAGCCCAGAAGAATCCAAGAAGAACCAACACATGGACCTCTTCCCTTTCACCAAGATGAGGCTGAGTGACGTGCCCTTCCGTCCAACAGACCTTGGGCCAGATCGCACTCCAGACGATCTTCGACTCAATATGCTCAAGGTCGTATTTGGTTGGGACCAAGACATCGAGGATCTAGTACAGGACGAACTGGCACGTCACTCCCCCGGTTCAGCCGCTGCTGTCCTGCTTTCAAAATGGCTGGGCGACCTCGGTGCTGACCTCATGGCTTCCATGGTCGGCTCTGAGTCAATGACTTCCTCTGACTGGATGTTGCTGGCTTTGAGCAACATGGGTCAAGGCTCGCAAAAGAAGGTCGGCGAAGCCTTTGTTCAGCGTCTGCTGGAGAAGGGTGACATCCACCCTGCCGTCGCCATTTTCCTCGGACTGGGTGAATACAACGACGCTATCGAGGTCTACGTGTCTCGGAAATATTACATGGAGGCCATTCTGCTAACCTGTTTGACATTCCCAACTGACTGGCAACGGCAATCTTTCCTGGTCCGGAAATGGGGAGAGCATGCAGTCCAACATGGCAGAGCGGAGCTAGCAGTGCGGTGTTTCTCATGCATGGGTCTTGAAACTACAGAGCCTTGGTTCTCACCCCGAGCGCAGGATGCCGTTTTCTCTGCGCAGAAGCAAGCGCTTCTTGGTTCACAGATGAGCCCACCTCTATCGCCTCCTAGTGGCAGTGTTGGCAGTAGCCGAGTGGCGGCCAGGATGGCCTCACTCAAGCTCGTTACGGACTTCACGCGCGGTCCTCAACCCAAGCAGATCGTCCGGGAAGAGGACGAAAAGACACCCATGAACGCCGGTGTGACGCCCATCGCAGAATCAGCCATCAGCCCAGCTGTAGGCCATAGCGGCTGGCTTGGTCGTGCTGCCCGTGATGCTTCAAGGGAGCCGTCATCGGCACGGACTGCCACACCAGGTTCATACAGTAGGAAGCGTTTCCCTTCGCGATCTGATGCTGGGCGCAAGACTACCAACAACGAAGTCCTCGCATCGTTAGCCATCCCGGACCGGGGCCAGCGTAACGAGTCCCATCCGAGAACCGCCATCGACAATGTTGGCCGCGAAGCGGAGACCTTGCCATTCTCGACGCGCCGAGCAACAAGTGGTTCCAAAGATTTCGTCCTTTCCGCAGCAACGTTCAACCCGGGAAAATCGAGCGATCACCTACCTTCCCCAGCAGCTGGAGTGTTCGATGTCCTCGAGAAGAAACGTGCCGAGTCTCGTGGCAGCTCGCGCAGTCGAAACATCCAGGAGCTTCACCTGGACATGCCGGACGCTGTAGTTGAAACAGGTCCAGAGACAGGCTACAGCAACAGCAGACTCAGCCCACCTCTCACTGGCGCAAGCATCAAGAGCGCTAAGGCACGCAGCATCGATCAATACATCAGCAGTCTAGAAGAAGCAAATCACTATGCTCAGAACCGCGCCAATTCCCGGAATGAGGAGAGACCAGCATCGCGAACGGCACGTAATCGCAGTCGCACGCGCGAGGAGTCGCAGAACCGTGGACGATCAGGTGTTCGCTACATTCGTCAAGGAAAGCGTTCTCCATCCTCACCTGTGCCTATGTCTCCTGAAGACGCAGGTATCTACTCTTCAAACAAGAAGGAAATGGGAACTAGCACGGAAGATTTCGATGATGAGAGGTTCTACAAGATGAGCATTGCTTCTCCGGCTGTTACAGAATCTGTTGCCAGCACCCGCACTGCACGCAGCCGGGCACGACAGGGAGTCAGCAAGACAAGATCTTCGTCCAAGGCAGCTACCCGCCGCACTGAGTCTCCTGAAGGTGCCGTACGGGCCCGAAGCAGAGGGGCTAGCCGCGCATCAAGTCGTCGTCCAGCTGAGGGTCGCGGGCGAAGCGCTCAGCGCGGAGAACACTCTCCAGTCTCTCCTCAACCCATGCAACGCGACGATGATGAAGGCTTTGCTGGACATGAGCCCCCTCGCCAGCGACACCGCAGCAGTAGCCGCCGGCCTTCTGACAGTGCTATGAGCAGTCGTCGAGAAGCCTCCGAGGAGCGCCGCGCGCCACGAGACCGATCTGTGAGCCAGAAACCCACGCCATTCCTGAGGGAATCTAGCCGTACACGAGGTCACGGACGTGATGCCTCTCCTGAGTCTTTGACTTCTGGACGCTCGGGCGCATCGCGCATGCGCCCTACCACCTTGTCAAGGAGGGCCTTAGCTGCTCGTGAATTGGAAGAGCGCAGACTGTCCTTGGCTAGGCGACCATCCGCTCCCGTCATCCCCCATCCTGGAGACCTCGCATTTCGACCAGTGTCCCACGAGCGGTCGAACACTGATGACATGCTGAACTCAATGTCGATGTATCGCGATCCAATTACAAGGAGCCAAACAGCAGATCCGGAAATGACCAAGAGAATCGGCGGCGCCGGACCAACATCGACGACATCTGTACCTATTGGCCTTCCAGCTAACCCTCGTGCCATGCGCCATCCCAGATACATGACTGCTGACCCGAATGATGAAGACGACATTCCAGCAGTGCCAAGTATCCCGGACAACATACAATTCCAAAACTCGCACTCCGGAGAGACAGACGACATTGGGCCTCTACTTCCCGCAACCACTTTTGGACAGCCCACTGCACCTCAGCGGTCCATGTCAGCACCTCCTCAGGACATACTACCATCGAGTACCTACAACTCGCCTACCTTTCCGATGGGCAGACGCCCCTCTCTAGGCGGATCTCGTGGTCACTCTCGACAGAACACCATGCCCGATGTCCTGCCTCAACCCAACTACAAGCGCCATAGCCCACCGCCTATCACTGCCAGCATCGCCGAGACAATTCACGAGAACCAGAACCAGGTCATCATCATTGACCAGGAAGAAGACAGAGCCCCTCCTCTACTATCTCAGCTCCAGCACCTAGCAACCCCACCGCCTCCGCCACCACCGCCGCTAAACCTTGGCGGTCACAACGGCAACGGCATCGGTATGATCAACATTGCTATCGATAGCAACAGTCCCGGCGAGAAGCCCATGGAAGTGTCACCTACCAACCCTTCCGCTACAGGCTCCCCACACGCACACCGACGGGGACGCGGCAGTGTGAGCGAAAACCTGGGTATGACCTTCAAGCGCGTAACTGAACGCATGCGTAGCACCAGCCGTGGGCCTCAGCGCGCCAAGTCCCCACCTATCACTATGACCCGCGCTGAGCGATCCCCCTACGAGAGCGTACCGGAGTTTTCGTTTCCTCGTGGACCAAACACGAGATCGCCTCCTGGCGATTCGGGTAACCACTACGACTCGTACTTCAACCAGGTTCCTCCCCCACCACCTCCGCCACCGCCGATGCCCCAACCCATGGAGCAAGTCATTCCTCCGGACAATGGTCAGCCTTTCTACAGGAACCCCAAGGAGCTCCGCGCCAACATGCCTCCCAACACCCTCCAAGCTGGGGTATACCAGGGCGGCGAAAACACCCCTATGATCTAGGCTCTTAGGCTTTCATCACCCTTTCCTCATATACCATGTACAACTGAGACGGCCTACCATAACGACAAACTTTGCATCTTCAACACTCTCCTTGGCAACTTTATTCGTTGATAACAACATCTACTTCTCCTCCACCTCCTTTGGAACCTTTTACCGTCATCAAGCGTGTCGTTGTCGCATTGCTCTATTCATCTTCCCTTTTTGTTTTCCAAAGTATCATTTAGCGAGTTGGGTTTAGTTCATCTTGTCCACACATTTTTGTATCTTCAAGCCAAAGACCTGGATCTGGGAAAACACCTTATCTTTCCCACTAACGCTTCGCGGCGGATTATGTCGATACCCTTTTTTTGTATGTAGTTAGCTTTGGCATTTTGTGTTTTGTACTTGCGGGCGGGATTAGCATTGCATTCGGAGGATGAGGGATTAGGGGATGAATTCGCATTATGGTGGTTTGATGGCGGGGAATGCGAAACGCGAACGGTACATGCGGGAAAAGAGCTGGAAATCTTTCATCTTCAACGTTAATGTACATGCTTCATGATTGCGCTTTCTTGCTCACCTTGGTCTGCGACTTCCCCTTGCTTGCTCTGCTCTGCTCTGCTCTGCTCTGCTCTGCTCTACTATCCTTCTCACACCTGCCTTTTGCCCAAAGCGACTCAACTCCGCCACCATCATGTCTATACACATCACTGTTGCCACTAAATTGCCCAGCCTCTTATTATCGCGTTGTTTCTTCACTCAATATACCAAAGATAAGCGCCTCACGGCACCAAAAGCTCGCTATTTCTCTTTACCACACTCCTTCGATGTCAGGGTACGAGGGTAGGAGTAATAAGGACATCTTTAGTCTAGTTTAGTACAATCTAACCATATCCACTCTCTACTTCGTCTTGCACAAGATAGGTGATAAGGGCCAAATCGAGTAAGCAGATACACGCATCCTATTGACGTATCTACTATTGCGCTAAACTTCTGCCATGCTGACCCCAAGCATGTATCTCATCGCCTCATACTCATGTCCTTGTAGCAGATGCGGTATCGCATACGTTGAAAGTATATTGCCACGCGTCCTCGTCAATTGATCTGCGACAGCATAAGTATGTCTTCTTGTACGCGTATCCGACATGCTGTGGTCTCCGATATCGATGATTGGAAGGCTATGCAAGATTAAGACCTAGCAAAGAGACATGGCATCTCAATCTAGGTGGTATGGACTGCGATGTAAAAGGCGGCCGTGTACGATAGAATGTCGCCGAAATGCTTATGGCTCGTCTCTGACACGAAAATATGCAGGTTTCGTTCACGTAGCGGCGTTGGTATTGGCGACAGGTGCTGGAGCCGGAGTAACGGCAGCTGGCGCAGGCGAGGCAGCATCGCCAGCGCCCGCAGCTGGAACGGGGCCAACATGTGCGCCGCCTCTCGCACCTCCACGACCTCCACGTCCCCCACGAGGTGTGAAGTTGCCACGCGCTCCGCCACGGGCAGGCCCGGTCGGTGGGCCGTTAAAGCGAGGAGCTCTGGCGACCTTCTCCTTTCGTTCAAGAACCTGAACAGCGCCTTGGGCGATCTTGATTGGGCTGGCAGCCATGGCTTTTCTGAGACCATCTGGTTCGGTAAAGTCGACATAGGCGAAGCCCTTACGCTTGTCGATCTCGACTTTGTCAATACCTCCAAAAGTCTTCATGACTTCTTCAATGAGGGGCTCGGTGATGCCCTGGCTGGGATTGGCATGCTTGAGAAACGCTTGCTTGCTCGTGGGTGCGGGCACGGGTTGAGCCGGTGCTGCTTTGGGGACATTGTTATGCGCCTGGGCAGGTCCCACATCGGCCTTTGCAAGAGTGGAGTGCGACTGTGCGGGAGCAGGACTGTTTCTGGCAGCGGCGGGCTCGGTAGGTGGAGCTCGTGAAGCAGCTGGACCTTTGGGAGCCGTCGGAGTCTGAGCCTGGGGCTTCTTCAAGATTTGGGGCGCAGGGGTTTTCAGTGGCGTCTGGGGCTTTATATCGCTGGCGGTGGCCTTGTCATCGGGCTTGTCGCCCTGGTTGGCCTTGAACGCGCGCCGTTCTGCACGAGTTGGGCGTTCCTTCCTATTTGCCTGCGCATTCTTGTCCGGAGTTGCTGCTGCTGGCTGTGAAACAGGCGCTTCTTTGGCCTTTCCCTCAACTGCTTTGGCTTCCTTTGCTTGTGCGTTAGACTCTGGCGCGGGTGTGCCAACCTCGCGCTTCGTTCCACGACGACGAGTGGGGGCGGGTCCTACACCGAGGTCACGCTGCAGCATCGACTTTGCGAGTGCGACGTTACCACGCTTGCGCTCCGGTGCTGGACTGGCAGAAGACTTGTCCGCTGAGGCTGAGGCAGATGACTTGGAGGATGACGCTTCCTTGTTAAGAATCTTGACAGCCTCCTTGCTAGCTTGAGCCTTGTCAGCCTTGCTTATGCGGCGATTCTTATCTCCCGAGTTGAGGGTGTTCTCTTTGCCGGGCTTGGCAAGTATCTTCTTCTCACCATCATCCTTGGCCTCTCCACGACCTCTATTTGCCTTTGCGCTTGGCTTCTCCCTGTTAGCCTTCTTCTCCCTGAGCGCTTCAATCAGAGGAGTAGTCTTGACCTTCTCCTTCTGACCTTCATTCTCGGCGGCCGGGGGCTTGGTGATGGGGTTGGTGAGGCTCTCCAGGAAGTCCTTGAATTCTTGATCCTGATCGATGGTGCCCTGGCGGTTGTCGTTCCTACGGCGGCCACCAGGCATCTTTGGGTACGGAGCGTATTCGAGCGTAGGCGGGCCGACGAGGGCGGGGTCTTGCCATGACTTGGTGGCATCGTGGAAAGTGACTGCGCGCACGTGGTCGCCGAGAGCCTTGACATGGTCCTGCTTGGTAACGTGGATGTATGCGCGCGCTGGCTTGGAGGGTTTGGCGGCACTGATGAGGTCAATATGCTGTCTCTGAAAGACAGGAAGGTGAGGTGTACTCAGTGGAAATCTTGCCCTTTCTGTAATTCATCCAATCGATCTTGCCAGCACCAAGCTTCCATTCGTCGCCTAGTGCCTCTGTGAACTCGGCCTTGGTAAGACCAGGGGGAAGTCGCCGGCATATCAGCTTCAGGCGGGGCTGGGCTGCTCTGGGCCCGCGAGGCGACTGGGCTGGGGCGTTCTTCTGGAGAAGTGTGACGGGCAGGACGCCGCTGGGGTTATTCGGAGGGGCCATGGGGGCGCGACGACGCTCGTTCGTGTGTTGAGTCAGTATGCCTGAACAGATGGCTCTTCTCTATGGATATCTGTTAGTGATGAATGTTATGCTACACAAACATGGTATGTACCGTAGTGGTGGTTGTATTCAAGAGCCCTGTGCCGGGTGAATTTATCGCGCGGGTCGCTGGGAAGAGGCGAAGTGGAGGAGGGAGCGCCGGTTTGTAGAGTTGGACATTGGAGGGACCACTGGAAAGGGCAGTGCCAGACACGACAATTGTTTTGGTGAGAGTTGCAGCAATGACGCAGCGACAACGGGCGCGCCTTCACGAGACAGTGGGCGAGGGCAGGCGCAACGGCAAGCGCCGAGGGGCGGCAGCTGCCCCACCGGAGCCCGCGTCTCGACTACACCTCAACCACGCCGATATATCCTCGATACCCCGAACCTCGCGCTGCCCACGACGCAGCTACCTGTCGCCGACTGCGCTGACTTTCACTGCGAGCCACGCTGACCCATGATACCCTATAGCGCATCCCTCAGCATCCCCATCGGCACACAACCCGCCTCCCTCCCGCCGCCATTGTCGCCTGTCTCGACCTAAACGCACCGCATCGAGCCTCCCCCATCGTTTCTGACCTAGAGCACGACTGAGATATGGGCAAAGATAGTGACGTACCGCAGCCAGGGCCTGCGCGCCTCGCAAAGGGCGCAGGGCCGGATGAATGGCTGGAGCAGGCGAAGCAATGCAAGTACCTGCCCGAGGCCGACATGAAGCGACTATGTGAGATTGTCAAGGAATGTCTGATGGAGGGTGAGTCTCAACAATGCCGCATCAGTTATGCAAGAGAGGAGAGGCATGGCTCTTGTGTAGAACGACTCCTGGGTCCAAGTGCGAGACTAATATGCATCTACCAGAATCCAACATTCAACCCGTACGAACACCCGTCACAGTATGCGGAGATATCCACGGCCAGTTCTACGATCTCCTCGAGCTCTTCCGTGTCGCTGGCGGCATGCCCAACGACTCCCCTGCCGCACCCCTCGCGCCACCAGTCACATTACCAAGCACAATCAACCCCGCCGATCTCGAGCCTCCTACCAGCATAACAGACCCCAAGGTCAAGCGCAAGATGAAGAGAAGATTCCAGCGCGACCCCAACTACACTGGGCCAACAAGCCCTCCTGGAGGTGATGGCGATGAGGAAGGCGACGACGAAGAGGAGGAGGAGCGCGGCCGCAGCAGGAGCGTTCACGACAGGCGGAGTCTTGGCTCGGCATCCGACGCAGACTCGACTAAGAACACAGTGGGTGGGAATGGCCAGCAGAACTTCATCTTCTTGGGTGACTTTGTCGATCGAGGATATTTCAGTCTCGAGACCTTTACCCTTCTCATGTGCTTAAAGGCGAAGTAGGTCAACAGCCTTGCAAGGCCATGTTCGCGGTGCTAACGCAGACAGATTCCCTGATCGCGTAACTCTCGTGCGCGGAAACCACGAGTCGCGACAGATTACCCAGGTTTATGGATTCTATGAAGAATGCCAAACCAAATATGGCAATGCCTCGGTATGGAAGGCCTGCTGTCAAGTCTTCGATTTCCTTGCCCTAGCCGCTATCGTCGACGGAAAAGTACTCTGCGTACACGGTGGTCTGAGTCCAGAGATCAGAACGCTAGACCAGATCCGCGTTGTTGCGCGAGCCCAAGAAATCCCACACGAAGGAGCCTTCTGCGATCTCGTATGGAGTGATCCCGAAGATGTCGACACATGGGCTGTCTCACCCCGAGGAGCCGGCTGGCTTTTTGGAGATAAGGTGTCTTCCGAGGTATGCATTCATTCTCGCTCATCCATTACCCCCTCGTTAATTAGCGCAGTTCAACCACGTAAACGGTCTCCAACTCATCGCACGCGCCCATCAATTAGTCAACGAAGGCTATAAATACCACTTCAAAGACAAAGACGTCGTCACCGTTTGGTCGGCACCCAACTACTGCTACCGCTGCGGAAACGTCGCCTCCATCATGAACCTAGGCGAAGACCTCAAGCCAGAATTCCAAATCTTCTCCGCCGTCCCGGATCACAAGCGTGCCGTCCCCGCGGGTCGTGGAGGTCGCGGAGAATACTTCTTGTAGGAGATGCGCATACTGGTGTTATGTGTATGGATCGGAGGAGATCCATGATATGGGCTGCTGTGTATGTGCATTCTAACGATACGATGAGAAGCGGAGAATTGAATACCCCCGGGAGATGAACGAACGAATGGCATGCATACAATCTTCGCCTTGACATGGCTTGTACGATATCGCGTTGATGAGATTTTCTGCTAGTACAATGGTACAAATACGTTCCCCGTGCCTATTTCCCCTCACGAAAGAACATAAGGGAAAACGCTTGCTCAATAGAAACAAAGTCATGGCTGGCGGACGAGTCGTTCAGTGGCGTGTGTTGGCGCGTGGAGTGAATAGTGTGATGCGTAGTTGCTCACATTGCAGTTACCATCTACAACGACGCTTCCGGACGACAACAGAGTCAGCTTCGTTCGAGTTTGTAATGCTCATTTAAACGATTGTTGAGCTGCTTGTCTTCGCGCTGGCCGACTGAGTTTGGCTGGCTTGCCCATGTCTGCCCGACCGTATACCTAGTCTAGCAAATCGGCTCAAAGCTCCCCAACCTTTTCGAGCCAAGTCAAACACATCGACGGTCAGAAAGAAATAAGACACCAGAAGTAGAGGAACGGTGGCAACAAAGTACACCCATATACTAACGGTATTACCATCGAGCTCCCGAACGTTCATCCCGAACAAACCTGCAACATATGTCGCAGGAATGAAGATAAAAGCCAAACGCGTCAGCCGAATCACGCCCTGCTGCTGCATCATTGCTCGCTGGTTTTCTCGAATGCTGGTATTGGTCATGATGATGCTGAGGCCATGCGTACATTGGTCCTTCAACAGTTTCGCCCTCTCAAGCAGATAGTCGAAATCTCCTTCTAACTGCTCTCTTGATTTCTTGGCCTCCTTAATCTGGGGTTTCTCGCTTGCGGTTGGCCAGGCATGTCCACCACGACATGCAATGATACCTCTCGTCTCTTTCAAAGCGTCAATATGGCGACCCAGCAGACGCTCGAGATGAAGAAGGTTGGCCATCGAGGGGGTCTCTTGATCCAAGAATACTGCAGGATCCATCTCCTTCAAAATAATACTTTCAACAATGTTGAGTACTTGTTTCTGCGTGGTTGCGGCGAACCTCATGAGAGGACTGACAGCGTAAAACGCGTCTGTTCTCGCAAGTTTGGTATTAAGCCGCTTGGTATACTCAGCTGGTAAGCATGAGACGGACTGGAAGAACGTCGATTCTGGTGCTCCTGTGGTATTCGATCGAGCGGGCTTGCTTGAGCATGTGCCATTTGAGCGGTCGTGTTGTTCGAATTGGATCGCAGGGAAAAGTTCGTCAGGAGCAAAATGCACTGATGACCATGGGCCGCCCGGGCTTGTGCCTAGGTCCCGACCGTTGTCGAGCCAGAGCAGCACTGCGTACAAATTAGTACACGTAAGACTCTCAGAAGGATTGTCTGGTACTCACGACTCCACTCGCCCTTGGACTTGCTCAGGGATACTGACACTTGCTGTTCCAAACACCAGTGATCGTCATCCAACACATCGAACTCTCTGACCATGGAATCGCCCATTGTCCATTTCTCCTCTGACTTTGCTAACATTTCTTTATATGTTTGCATTAACGAACGACTCGTAGCTCGCCTCTTGTCGAGCTGTTGCTGTCCTGTTTGTCCTTTCCTGCGCTTGTACCCCACAGTGTAAACATGTAGTCGGAGCAAAGGACCAGTGCTTGAAGGTAGATTGGGCGAAGAGCCATAATTTGGTCGGCTGATGCATGATCGAAAGATGAGATGGCGATACCAGAATTCGTACTCAATCTTGAGGGCGCTCCCTATTGCATTAAGCCATTGTCGTGACGCATGTCCATGTAGAAATATTACTCTGGACGAGCCTTGACCAGATGCATAGTCCTGGCACCACTGTCTGAAGTGTTGGACAGAGGTGAAAGCTTCTCGATTGATGTCGCTGTTACGAGATAGAACTAGCGCGTGAACGTAGCTTTGGGACCCTGTGTCAGGTTGGCTACGCTTGTGTTCTTCGTTCGCATAGCGCTGGTACTGTGAGAACAGTAGCTCTGCAATGTATTGGTAGTGCGTTCCAGAGTAGAGGCTGCCGCCTGCCTTCGATCGTGCGACAGCTTTACTCGCGTACTTCTGTTCGGCCGTAGTGGCGTCGTCCAAATCGGCGATTGCGGGAAGAGATGGGGATGGCAGCGGTGTAGTCGCCATAGTAGCAGTTCGATGCCCATTACTGTACAGAAGACGAGGCAGGGACTCATTCATAGATCCCGTTGCACGACTGATGACGGTACCAGCCTGTTGTTGGGTGAAGCGAGAGTCGTGGCTGGGGCAATCGGGTCATTACACAGCCCGCCTACCCCCAACATGCCCTCTCTTACCAACTTCAACCTATTTCTTACCTCCCCACATGCAAAATCCACAATGGGCGCATCGGCATCGAAAGCGCGCGCTAGCAGCATGAACTTCCAAGTTTGGGAGGCTCTCCTACACACAGCTGAAACGCAAAAGCTTCATCCCGTCACTCCCAATCTGACATTCGACGCGACATCGTACGCCATTTGGTCCCACAGCCATTGGAGACTGACTCTCGAGAATGCACCGCCTCCACAGGATGCGCAATTACAGCCCTGCTTTCTCTTGAAGATCCCAGCAACACAGCCTCCGGACTTCTCTCAGATCATACAGCAATTGGAAGAAGTCCAGGCCGAAGATGACGTGACCAGCTTAAGCTTTCTGCAACATGTTGTGGTCGCATCTCATGGCCGCGCGAGTCCGGAACTGGACGTCGGGGTTGCAGCCGCGCTGAACGCTCGAGGGCTACAGACTCTCACGCTTGCGACCTTGCAGAGTGGCTGTGACATTGAAACTGGTCCTTACTTGCTGCATGGTAACGACCTCTGGAAGTTGGCTAGACTATACGATGATACAAATGGTGCTTTCATGGCCGCAATTCATCCAGGCCGAGAAGAAAAGTGAACTCTGCTCCGCATTCTGAAGGATGATGTACTAACTTCGTACCAAGCAGATACGAGAATTTGCGGCTGTGTAGCGATCAATACCAGACGCTTAGCGTTGCCATACCGTCAAGAGCGAGTGCTCTCAATCTGACGGAGCATGGATCGAACTTGCGACTGAGCGGTATGAGATTCGCAGTAAAAGACATGTACTCCGTCGCTGGCTTGAAAACTTCACTCTGCAGCCGGCCGTACTATGCAGTCTCTGAACGAGCGGAAGTGACCGCTCCATGCATCACGAGATTGTTGAGCGAAGGTTGTACCCTGGTCGGGATGCTGAAGTTGAGTTCCTTCATTGGACGTGAAGAGCCGACTGAGGCCATAGACTACCAAGCACCATTCAACCCCCGCGGAGACGGCTATCAATCACCGGCTGGCAGTAGCAGCGGGAGTGCAGCGGGCCTTGCTTCTTACGGGTGGTTGGACTTCACCCTTGGATCTGATAGTGAGTCAAAGTCTCGGTGGAAAACTCGACCCTAAAGCATAGTAGCTACGGGAAGCGGGCGCCGCCCAGCATTTGTGAACGGCTTGTTCGCACTGCGCCTCTCTAAAGGGCGCCTGCCACTCGAAGGAATGGTCCCTACTTTCGAGTAAGTTCATGCCATTGCGTGATTACTGCATTGAGTTTACTGATCGTCAGTCGCTTCGACACGCAATGCATCTTCGCTCGCGATATTAACAAGCTGGATACCATACTTCAAGTGTGGCTCGACAATTGCGACCTTGCAAAACCCAAGGCTAATGTGAGTTCAATCCGGGCAGTTTGCAATCATGCTGTCGGCTGTCTCTGATCATGATTAGTTGCCGAAGAGACTTTTGTTTCCAGTAGACTTCTTCCCAGTCGAGAACGAAGTACAGATGCAGCACGTGAAGAGCTTCGTCAAGGATATCAGCGACTATTTGCAAGCATCAGTCACGGAGATCGACTTATCACTGGCATGGGAAATTTCGCACCCAAAAACCGTGGATGAAGGTTCATTAGATTGCTATTTGAGCGAGGTCTGGCTTCATTAAATCTTTGCAATCGATGCTGACGTGCCCTAGGTCTCCACCAGAACTTTCTTGTATGACTTCTATCATAGCTTCGACAAATTCCGTGAAACGTATAGGCGCGAGTTCCAGAAGGAACCTTACGCAAATGCATACACACAATGGAGATGGTACGCACCGCCGTCTTGAAAATTGACATGATCTAAGTTCGCGCTAGGGATGTCGCCAAATCAGTAACGAGAGAAGAGAACGAAGATGCGGTGACCCGCCTCAACACGTACAGGGACTGGCTACTCTCTGAGGTGTTCCAAGCAGACAGATATGAAACCTTGATGATACTGCCAGTCTCTGAAGTTGCAACAAACTACAGAGATCGGAAGACAGAGCCGCCCAGTAAGCAGAACGCCTTCGATGCGCTGTATATCTCACCCACTATCGAGGCTCCCGAGATCGTCGTTCCAAGTAAGTCATATGTCTGTTGTATGAGACGCTGGACTAATAAACTTGTTTAGTTGCAGAATTCCCGTATGCATCTCGAGTGAGTGGGCGCGAGGAGAAGCTCCCGATTGCAATATCGGTAGTAGGAAATCCTGGTGAGTCTTCTTCTTTTGGAGACGACTGGTGAAAGTAAGGTTGACTTATGCTGCCGTAGGTACTGACTTAGCACTCGTTGGTCTTATGAGGGATTTCTTGAAAGCCTCCAACAGACCTATGCGCGTTTCCACTGGATCGTCGATGTTCGATAGTACCTAGGCAGCAGCCCCTAGAAGCCTGCAAGGCTGGAATGCCGAAAGAGGCTCTATGGATAAGAAGCTGGGAGTCTGCGTCGTGCGTCTGAAATATCTTCTTTATTACTCCATTTGCCGTGTTGTGCAAGCAGATTTGTTGAGATTTTGGACGCAGTGCTTGCTAACCACTTATGGTTCTGTGACGTCGCGATTTTTCAGCCCCAAGCCACGTGCCTAACAGCTGCGCTCAGGCATTCCCCTCCCTCGTCTCTTACACCCAGATCGCGCATCATGTCCGAGGGAGATCAACAGGCCGAGTCGCAACCACTGCTTCCACCGGTCACGGACACTGCAATCGTAGAACCTACTAACAGACAGTTAGCCTTAGTTTTGGGGAGCATCTGGGTAAGTGTTACAAGTTCTACACTCGTGCAGGCGGCTTCATAGAGAGTCCTACTAACGCGCCTAGATCGGTGTCGTCCTTACTGCGTTGGGTACGTTTGTTAGCCTCAAGACGTTTAGCGGCGGGCACTAGCTGACTTTAATCCCAGATTCCACCATCGTCGCAACACTTTCTGCCCCGATCTCCGACTCCTTCTCTTCACTCAAAACCCTCTCGTGGCTCGGAACCTCTTTTCTCGTTGCGACTGCGGCAACACAGCCGATCAGTGGCCGTCTGACAGATATTTTTGGTCGACGCGCTGGGCTGCTCGTATGCAATATACTGTTCGGCATCGGCACGTTGCTATGCGGCATAGCTCAGCATGAGTGGGTCTTCATACTCGGACGTGCAGTGGCAGGAGCTGGTGGAGGAGCAATGGTCGCAATATCAACGTTTGTCGGGTCAGATCTGGTGCCTCTTCGAAAACGGGGCGTCGTGCAAGGCATCAACAACATTGCTATGGGCGCAGGAGCAGGTCTGGGCGGCTTGCTAGGAGGGTGGCTGGATCACATCATCGGCTGGAAAAGCGCTTTCCTGGTCCAGATACCCTTCCTCGTCTTGGGTACCATCCTCGTCAGCATATTCGTCCAGGTGCCCGTCAAGAGCACTGAAACGCACGCATGGCGTAGAGTTGATTTCGTTGGGTCTACGACACTCACTTTCGGCCTGGTACTGCTCCTACTCGCAGTGAATACCGGTGGAAACATCCTGCCCTGGTCTCATACGTTGGTGATCACGACACTGGTAGCTAGTACCATCCTTCTGGGGGTCTTCGTGTGGTACGAGCTACGCATCGCTACTGAACCCGTCATTCCGCTCCGCTTGATGACAGATCGGACCATAGCCTCAGCTTGCGCCACCTACCTGCTCACCTACATGGCATCTTTTGGCATAATGTACTACATACCCATCTACCTTCAGCTAATTGGCCTATCTCCAATGTCAACGGGCCTCCGCTTCATACCGCATAGCGCTGGAACCGCTGTGGGCGCTCTTACGACTGGAATCACCGTGCGTTACACCGGAAAATATGTACAGCTCAACATACTAGGACATCTGTTGCTCGTCGCCGCATCTGTCATGTTGCTCTTCCTCGGATGGCAAACGCCCCAAGGCTATATCATGGTAGCACTTGGCACGTACGGCCTGGGCTTTGGGATCATGCTGGTCACCACATTGCTTGCCTTGATAAGCTCTGCAAATAGTGCCCAACAAGCGGCTATCACATCTGCCTCGTTTGCGTTCCGGTCAGTTGGCTCTTCACTCGGCCTGACGGTGTCGTCAGCCATCTTCCAGAATGCTTTACGGGACCTACTTCGTCGCAATCTGGAGCACTATCACAACGTTGACGGACTAGTGGAACGCATCCGCATGAGTTTCGATGAGATATCACGTCTTGATCCCACGCTCATTCCTCCCGTCAAAACCGCCTACTTGCAGGCTATACAGCGAGTGTTTGTTTTGACTGCGGTTCTGAGCGGTCTTGGTGCGCTGACGGCCTGTTTCCAGCGACAGAACGTCTTGCATAACACTTTGTCGCGCGAATAGCCTAGCGGTGGTGTGCCCGTCATGTTAGGGGGGGCGTTCCCATGAGCAGCGGTAATGATTTGACGACGTCGATTGTGCAGTTGCAGCACACACAAGTAGGACAAATTTGGTGTGCGGGGAGGTATCAGCGATGGTGTCTGGGGCCACACTGAAAGGCATAATTGGTCATTGGGACTGCAATTACATGCACTACGATATTGATTACATCAGGCTGTGACAAGCTACTGCTACAACATATACCATTGGCCCAATCTCAGCGCCTCAGAGCGGGGTAGATGTCACACGCGTTCGTTTTGGCAGAATTGCGGGTAGTGACAGCCCCCTCACTGAACAAGAGGAGGGCTGCCCTACTTCCAAGATCTGCGATTCATCTCTACTGTGTCCCGAACATCCTTCAACAAACATTGGTTTCCGATCAAAGTATAATTCAACAGTGCGTCGTGCTTTAATGTTAGTCGCTTCAAAACTGACAGTGGAAAGATATGCCTTGTGTCAACAGTCCAAAAGAGCAACCTTGGAAGGCTTCCTGGCCCCCGGCAAAGGTTGATTTGGGCACGATGCACGGGTTCGCGAAAGGACAAGTTGTTGTAATGGATGGCAATGCTGGCAATATCCATCCTACCCCAACAAAGGACGATTCAACAAAGTGACTCGGTATGTGGTATCTTTGGCAGAAGAATGTGGCTGACATTATTTCAACAGTTCGTTCTTATTCACAAGCAGCTCCCACCCCTCGGCCTGCCACCAATGATGCGAGTCGAAGCAATTTGCATAGCTTCGGAGGGGTCGCGATCGTCTAGTGCTCATAGAGAATTCAAAGACCCGCTGTTCAATTATCTTTAATGAATATTATGTTGCGTGTCTCAATGCTTTCTCTCGGAGCCTCCGTTACTGGCGTTGCTGGATTTTCAAATGACGTGTGAGGTACACCTGTTGCTAGCGTCAGTACTCGAAAGGTGAGCTGTCGTATCCGCACGTACTTGCGCATGCACCATCCTTCGAGTCGGACTGCTTAAAAATCAGAAGCTCCGACGGCGTCTGACGAGAAAGGTAAAACCACCTTTGCTGCTCCGAATGGTGTACCCGGTAGTTCTCCGTTACATGCGTCGTGTACACGATGTCTCCACGCACGAAGTCTTCAGTCGCGTTTGCCGTACTCGCGTCGCATAAAGCGAGAGGCCAATCGTACAGCGGTCCCTTAAGGGGCTTCCAGGAACTGTCTCGCATCAGGAGAGGTTCACAAGCCATGTCGTTGAAAGGCATACTTCACGAGCATATATCTTCCTTTCTCCAGCGCCGCGTCGGGTCCCTTTGCCTTGAGTACCTCCTCCATGGTATAGTCATGAGTCGAGTCTTGGCAATCTTAGCAATGAAAGTGAGTAAATGAGATCCACAAACCAATGTGAGCCATGAGAGTAGGCTGGTATGAATCGTAGTCTGACCCAGTGGAAATTGGGAACTCAGGATGACGTTGCCGAAGGGTATGCTCCAGAACGTGTACCCATGTCGCGCCAAACATATCTTTCAGTGCGGACTGCAACTCTGGATAGTATATCTGCCTCACTTGTACCTCGTTGAAGTAATCCGTATATCCAAGTTGAGATTGCAGTCGGAGCACCGCGAAGCCTTGCTTATCCATCTCGGGCGGTTTTTCCTCACAGCGGATATCATGTATGTCGATGACGTGCGTTTCACGAATGGCGTTAGTTCTTGGGAGGTGGAGGTCAGCCGCAGGCTGATAACGAAGAGTGTAAGGCTTCTCCTGTGTCCATAGCGGGTCTCGCTTCAAGAAAAAAGCAGTCGCTTGTAACATCGCAAAGACTATAGAGGAACTTCGTCAAACAAATAGAATAGCGAAGTCTTGATGAACGGACCCGGGAGAACGTACGGGCTACGCGCCGTCTTATACGTACCAAAATACGTTCTCTCAGCACTAGCCAATGGTTCTTCTCATGTCGCATATGTAATTAATTCGCATTAGATTCGTAGCGCGGGGTCTACCACCGAGAATGCTCCATGCGTGCGGGAGCGTAGCTGGCCAAGGTGGCGTCGTGTCGTAACGCGTTCGGCATAGCTACATGCCCAGGGGCCTCGCCGTGACGCAACCGCATCCTGACCCGCAGCTCCACTTTCCAACGTACGGCGATGTCGTTCCAAGTACTGTCGGGCCATGGCGCCGTCGAGTAAGTAGAAGCATGCGTCCGGAATAGTAATGATACTAACAACATCCCTTTCTCGTCAGTCTTATCTTAGTGCCAGGCTTCGGTGATCACGACCCAGCCTCGTGGGCTGTTATCAATCCACCGTGGACGAACTGTCCCGAGAATCCCAAAACATCTGCAAGAATACTGGTTTTCACACACTTACTTCGGTTGGACGACAATTTCTCATGGCGGGGTCTGCTCGATTGTGGAGAGAAGCTTCTCACGTGCATGCAAGACGTGCGGACAGCGGCCGAGGAAAGTCTCCAGTCCCTATCAACCACACAGCACCTAACAGTCGGATAGCATCGTTGTCGACCAATAGTGTTTGTTGCACACAGCCTGGGTGGATTGATCGTGAAACAAGTTACGTGTCCATCAAATCTCTAAGAAACAAGACTCATATTGATCCCGAAGAATATAGGCGCTTGTAGTCGCGAACCAGCAACATCAGAAACATCGCCATTTCCTTGATATGCTGAGTGGGATTTTGTTTTTGGGAACACCGCACAAGTCCCAAGACCCTGCAGTATTATCCGAAAGAAGTAAGCAAATCCTCAGATCATGCATGCCAAACATCCCGCGGAGACTTCTCAGCTCCTTGGAGGACACATCCGGTCTCAGATTGAACGCTACACTATTTGAAGACGTCAATCTCCGTGTGGATATCATTTCTGTCTTCGAACTTGTGCCCACAAAACATGGTAAACCCTCATCGATGTTCAAGAGGAGGAAATCTTCAGTTGTACGTACATTCTCCAAAGCTAAAATAGTGAGCTGATAGAGACCGATATAGCTACTCGGTGAAAGCCTCACTAGAACAAATGCCATGAACGAGAAAAGAATAGGGCTTTCACTCGGACATCAAGAACTAGTACGATTGGTGGGTAAGAATGAAGATGCGTCTGAAGAGCTTCTGGAATTGTTCCTACGAATCTTGGAGAACGCTCAGGCTAATGCTGAAGCGCGACTCACATACAGTAAGTTGAGTGTATCACAGTGGATATAACGCTAATTACATCTGCTTGAAGGTCGTTCGTCACCCAGTTCACCAGCAGAGACAGTCGATTTACCAGGGTCGCCCGATTCGGGTCCCCCAGACGAGGCAGCGACGAAAGGTAAGACAACCTTGAAAGTTCTGCTCTCAAATATGAAGCTGACAGAACTCAGCTCTGTCTCACGGGCTTGGACAGCAATCAGCAGAAGCGGAGCAAGGCTCCTCTACAGTGGATTGGGAGTTGTTACCGCTCGTAGGAGATCTTGCCATCCAGCGAAAAGAGGCCCGGCTGCCGTGCTTCTCTGTGGGAAGTCATCTGCGCAACGACACTTTCCATGAGCGTCAGGACGTTCTCGCCAAGATCGACGAAGTGTGTTTACCCGATGTGCTTCACACTTCTTCGTCGGACAACAAGGAGCTCAAAGTCTTTGCACTGTGCGGCATAGGAGGTCTAGGCAAAACGGAGGCCGCCATTGAATACGCCTTTTCACGTCGTTCTCAGTTTGATGCCATATTCTGGATCCGATCAGATGAAAAATCGAAGCTGGAGGAGGACCTCAGTCAGATCGCGTTGGCGTTGGATCTCGCCGATAAGAATGAGCCAAGTAATCATTTCGCTAACCGAAGTATTGCTCGCGGATGGCTTGCCAGTCCTCGCAAGCTTCTTGACGCCTCGAGCGACAGTGTCTCTCAAGCGGAAGCTACTTGGCTACTGATCTTGGATAATGCAGACGATCCAACAGTCTTGGATGAGTTGAAACCATTGTTTGGAAGTGGGTCAGTTCTGATCACAAGCCGTAATCCGTTATCCAAGAGCGCTCTCGCCACGAACTTGATAAGCCCAGTCGGTTATGATCTTCAACCATTCACTACAGAAGAAGCCACTAGCTTCATTCTCAAGCTAGCGCCTGGCGACTTGCAAGGTGCACAGCAGATTGCAGAACGTCTTGGAGGCATTCCACTTGGTCTTGTTCATATGGCGGGCATCATCAGAAGCCATATTGTAGGGTACAAAGACTTCCTGGTCTGGTATAGCGACGAGTTGGAGCTTCCAGAGTTACATGGAATGGCTGTTGACCTTCCTCGATCAACCGCCCGCGGAGATCTCGCAACGATATGGGCGGTGGAGAAGCTACCGCAAGATGCTCGAACAATCCTCGAGTATCTGGCATTCTTGGATCCAGATTGCATCCAGGAAAGGATCTTCATCAATTTTAGTGGCTCTTTGGCGCTTATGCAGGACCTGCCGCAGAAGAAGGGCGAATGGCTCAAAGCAAGAGGCGGGCTCTTGCGTGCATCGTTGGTGCACCACAATGAGCAGGAAGGCGACCTTCGGATACATCGATTACTCCAGGATGTCGTGCGAGCCAAAATTCCCGACGAAAGACAGAGTCAGATACTCAGCAACCTCATTGTGTTATTGAACGCGGCATTTCCCAAAGTGCCTCTCGACAAACGAGCAACCACAAAACGGTGGCCAGAGTGCATCGCCATCCATCCACATATCATTTCTATCATGCACTATGTCCAGCATACAGTCAAGCGAGGTCTCATCCAAGTAAACCTCGAGATGGCACAGTTGCTTTCGGAGGTAGGCTGGTAAGTGAAAGCAGCTAGCACTTTTGCTTAAACTTCTGACACTGTAGGTTTAATACTGAGCGCAGCGAAGCAGAATTAGCGAAGCCGATCCTGCTCTTCGCGCTCGAGCTATGTGGAATGCTTCAAGGAGACGACGTCACAGGCCTGACCTTGGACATACACTACGCCCTCAACTCGGCCGGCAACGAGACGAATGACCTTTTGCTTTGCGTCAAACATGCAAAGGCAGGCCTCGAACTCGCAATCACGACGTACGAAAGTACGAACATACCCTCCATCCGACTGGGAATCGCCTACAACCAGAGGGGTGTCAGCCTCATTGCCACACAGGATTACGATGGAGCAATAAAGATGCTTGAGCACGCCCTGAGTGCTTATGAGAATCTACCTGACTTCAATTTGGGGATGACGACCCTGCCACTTGCCAATTTAGCCTGCGCATTCTGGCTGAAGAGTGACTTTGAGGGTGCGATCCGGGCCTTGCTGCGAGGGTTGGAAGGGAGAGTGAAGTTGACCGGCATGATTGACGACACAGAATCGTTCCGGTAAGTCAAGATTGCTCAGCCCCCACTTGGCGCTGCTTGAGTCTTTCTGACGCCAACTAAACTAGCTGCGGAAGGCTTTTGCATGGTATGGGCAATGTGAAGTGGTCGCAGAGCGAAGCTGTAGCCGGCGAAGACCCGGTACTCGCCCGGCAACTCATGGAAGAAAGCGAGACGTATCACCGACGCACCTTGGAGCAATACCTCAAGACGATCGGCAAGACTCATCACCGCTACGCAGATGTATCGCATCGTGTAGCAAAACATTGCTTGCGTCACGGCGATACTAAGAACGCAACGTGAGTACTCCTAGTGAGCATACTGTGCTGGTTCCGCATTGACGATGTGATACCAAGACTCTTTGTGGATAATGCATTGGCAGTGTGGCAGATAGCTCCACGCTCCTACGAAGCGGAAATAGCTCGGACGACCTTCCTAAAGGCGAAAGTCCTCTACCAGCATGGGGATCAGCATCAAGCGAAAAAGCTCTTCAGACAGGCTGTTCACTCGAGATCGACAATATGCGGCGGGTCATCCGTAGATAATGGTAGCTTGACTGAAGAGGATTTCGACGGACTAGTCACATTTTGGTCTCGGTAAAGTCAGGGACCTCGAGCAGTCGCAGGAAGTTTGCTTGCTCACACTGAACAGATACCCGTGAGTGTAGCAACAGAAAACAGAACAGGGTCCAGGATTCGATCAAGCATTCAACCATTTCAATTCCCGCCTCCACTGCCATGCTACCCCCGTCACTTCAGCGTATCAACCAACTCCCTATAAATCTTCTTCAAATCCCTCACATCGCCCTCCAACTCCTCGACCCTCTCCGTCTTCTCACCCAGCATCTCCAAGGCCGTCATCTCCCTGTTCTCCATCTCACCCAACCTCCTCTCCAGATCCCCCACCTTCTCCCCCTGTTTCCTCGTCTCATCGACTTCACGCATGAGCTTGACGACTTCCTCGCGGGCTTCGTCGCGTTGCGCGGTAAGACGAGCAAGTTCCTCTTTGTGGGTTGCTTTTTCGGATTCTAGACGACGCACTGCGGCGCTCATGCGCTCGACGAGTTGGACGGAGGGGCCTGCGCCGGCGGTGGAGACGCTGATCATGTCGTTTATGGTGCGGTGGGGGGAGGAAGTGTTTTCAAAGGGGTCGTTGTCGTGGTCGATGGTGTAGATAGACGGTGTTTCCAGGCCGCCATTGAGGTTCGACATGCTGGATGGAATGGAGTCTTGTCGTTGGGGTGTGCCGAGTTCCGGGGTTCGCACTTTGGTCGCGTTGCTAGATTTGTTGTGGCGTGAGCTCGAGGGGCGGCGCGAGGCTTCGTCGAACATGCGGTCCATGGGGGACATCATGGCCATGTCCATGCCGCTGGAGATGGAGCGCGGGTTGGGTCGCCGGCTGTATATGCCCAGTGGGTCGGGCGAATGCCGGCGTTGTGCTATTGAAGGTGAGTCTGTCCGTAGATGATGAGAATCGCCTAGTAAAGATGGCGTCTGTATCTCCACCCTCCACTTGTTCTTCTCGTCTTCTAGTCGTTGTTGAAGCTCGACCTCCCATAGCTTCTTCTCCCGCTCAAAGTCGGCTCGTGCATCTTGTGCTGCAGTCTCTGCTTGTGTGAGCCTAGTTTGTAGCTTCTGCGCTGCAGCGCGCTGCTCTGTCAGATCGTGCTCGAATGTGCGGGCTCGTTCGTTGATGCTCTCCAGCTCGTCTTCCAGTCGGCGTGCTTTCGAGTTGACTTCTCTTGCTTTCCGTCGGACATCAGACTCGCGCTTTGCTGTCTCATCACGGTCTTTTTCAAGAGCTGCCACACGAGACGTTAGAGTGTTCTCGATACCTTGCCAGTTCTCAGAAGCCAGCGAGTACTGGGTCTGCAGCGTCTCAATCTGTCGCAGAAGCTTGGCTTGCGAGTCGCCAGTCGCAGATGAAGATGCCTCTTCGGTGCGACTGCGGAGCAATTCGAGCTTGGATTCCAGGTTCTGGAATACTGTCAGTGTATGTATTTCTCGAAGAGGTCGTCAGGACTTACAGCAATCTCGCCGCGCAACTCCAGCTCGGCGACCTTTGCTTTCTCCTGCTGGCTCTTCGCCTCATCTCTGGCGGCTTGGAGCTCCCTCTTCGCACGATCTTCGGCAAGCTTCTTTTCTATCCGGACGTTCTCGATATCTTCTTTGAGTGACGCTGTAGCCCTCTTCTCTGCTTCCAGCGCTCCAGATTGGGCTCTCTTCTCAGCATCTTCTGCTCGTGAAAGCGCATCGTTGAGCTGTTTCCGCAGCTCAGATATAGTGAGCCCAGCCTCCTCGCGCTCTGCTCTGATAGTCTCAATGTCCTTTTCGATTCTGCCCACAATCTTCAGTTTTTCTTGCGCAGACTTGTCCGCCGCCTCTGCGCGCCGTGCCCTTTCCGACTGCTCAGTGATGCTCTTTTCCGCCTTTGTTAGCCGCTGTTTGAGAGTCGCAATCTCCTTGTCCTGTTCCAAGGCCTTGGTGCGCATCTTCTTGATAGTGGTCAGATGCTTCATCTCCGTCTTTGAGAGTTTCTGCCCCTCTTCCATGAGCGCAGCTATCTGTGCATCCTTGTCCGCCAGCTTCTTGTCCGCTGGGGTCGCTTCCGAGTCGGACTTGGCGGCCTTTGCAGAGGCAGCAAGTTGCTCGGAAAGGTATGTGAGCTTCGACTGTAGAGCATCAATCCGCTCGAGATGCGAGTTGAGCTCTTCGCGATTGTCCCGTAGCGACTCTTCGTATGTCTTCTGCAGCAATGACAGCTCAGCCTGCACTTCTTCGGGGTCTTTGGTCTCGGTAGACAGTATTGGGGCAAGGGCATCGATCGAGGGTCGCGACGGGTCGCTGTCGAAGGACTGGCGGGGAGAGGAGGTTTTCGGGGTGACGATGGAGGGTATCGATGGCATGGACATGGTGGGAACGGGCGTCGAGGTCGGTTGCTCGGCTACTAGAGGTGTAGGCGGTGGTGAAGTCGCTGGAGGAGAGACGATAGGCGCAGGTGCATCTGCGTCGGGTTGTGGAGGTTCCTCGACCTTGCTTTCATCCGGCTTGGGCGCCTCATCGTCCTTCACTGTCGTAGTCTCTTCTTTCACAGCTACCGTCTCTGTCGCTGGCTCAGGCGCTTTCGAGTCTATGCTTGCCCTGGGCGATGCGGTGACTGCATGTATGGCTGGACTCGCGGGTCGCGATCCGAGATCCGACGAGGTTCTTGCTTCGGACCCCTTATTCACAGCCTTAGCTAGGCGGTCTTGTAATCGAGAGTTAGGTCGGCTTCGTGACGATGTGCGCGAGATGCCTGTGTCGTTAGCCTTGTGAAAGCTGGTAATAGCATGTGTTTCCAGGGCCACCCACCTGGTTCGACTGCAAGCTTCTTGTCTGTCGCTACTTTCTCAGCAGCCTCTGATTTGGCACCAGCATCTGTCGCCGCTGGCTTGGTGGTGGTGGTGGTGCCATCTTCGGCCAGTATCCCGTCGAGTCGCGACTCGAGGCCCGAGATGGCGCTGTTCCACCAGTTCTTCCCACTCATCTTGCCTTTACAGCTTTACGTGTCCTGGCTCTGTTCGTCGTCAAGGACGCTTCGCTAGCGTTCAGCGTGCACTCGTTCGGCGCTTGTGTCTGTTCATAGCTCAATTGCGCGGAAGGCCAGGTTGGTCTGTTGGACGTGGTACGCGATCAGGTAGGGTTCGCGGGGAGTCGCAGGCTAGACCTGTCGCAGCGATGAGCATAGGGTGAATGTCGTCGAGGGCAGAGAGGCGAAATTAGTCGTCGCAGCTAGACGAGGCTCGTATCATTGGATTCCGGCCCCAATCGTATTCGTGTCCTCTGGCTTCCAAGGCTCCTGCCGCGCAAGCCCTCACGATGACGGGCGCGGTTGCAGCATGCCAGCCTCACGCCGATTGGCCGCTGAAATGTTCCGCAACTCCGCCCTCCGCCCTGACGCAATTCCCACCACCAAGAGTTAATGCAGGGGACGTTGGGTCCCGGCCATGCCTTCCGCATGTAGATCGGTGTATGGACATCTTCACTTTTCGATGCTGCCTACATGCCATATGCTTTTTTGGCATGCATTTCCAGATGCAACATGCATCTTACGATGACTGCTCCAATTGAACTAGCCTCTAGTGGCATCGCGCCTGCCGTCTCTGACGACAGCAGTATTATTTCTTTAGGTCTGTTTGCTATATTCATATAGTACAGAAGTACCTTCATCTGTCCAGTATATTCCAACACACACACCATCTCTCATCAATACCTTCAAGATGCCTCTCGCAGTAAGTTGTTTTCAGTTGTTTCTTGTTTCCCCATCATCTGTACTGTTTCCGAATATCTATCACACCGTCGTTGCCTGTCAGCACTTTCAACGTTCAAGCGCAATACTTCTCTGTCCATTCTCTTAACGGGAGTATTATTCATGTCTTCCGGCTCTTCTTGCTCAGCCTTTCATCTCATCTGAACCAACCATGCGTCTCTCCAAGTCTTGCCACATCTTCACACCGCTCAAGAGAGAACTCACGAGTCGATATGGGCTGTTTCTACAAATCTGACCATCAATCACTCATACTAACAATGCCCAGGCAGTCGGACAAATGCGCTCCCAGGCCTCCATGGCCGACAACCTCAAGCAAGCCCAATCCCTCTGCCGCAAAGCCCACGAAGCAGGCGCAGCCGCCCTCTTCCTCCCAGAAGCAGCAGACTACCTAACCACCTCGGGCGGTCTCAAACTCTGCAAATCCGTCCAAGATTCCGAATTCGTCCAAGGCCTCTGCAAATCCGCCAAAGAATACTCCCTCCCCATCTCCGTCGGCATCCACGAGCCTACAGACGATGGCAAAAAAGTTAAGAATACATTGATCTGGATCACCGCGTCAGGAGAAATAAAATACCGCTACCAAAAACTCCACCTCTTCGACATGGACGTAAAAGACGGCCCGCAAATGCAAGAGTCCGCAGGCGTAGAACGCGGCGTCCACCTAGGCGATCCCTTCGACTCCCCCGTCGGCAAACTAGGCATGCAAATCTGCTTCGACCTGCGCTTCCCCGAACCGGGTTTAGCACTACGGGCCCGCGGTGCAGAAGTTCTGTTATACCCCGCTGCCTTCACGACGCCCACGGGCAAAGCAGGACATTGGGAGATTTTGATCCGTGCCCGTGCGATTGAGACGCAGAGTTACATTATCGCTGCGGCGCAGGTGGGTGTGCATGATGAGGAGGGTAAGAGGCGGAGTTGGGGTCACAGCATGATTGTGGATCCGTGGGGGAAGATTGTTGCGGAGTTGGGGGGTGATGAGGGGGAGGGGGGGAGTTGGAAGGATGAGGGTGAGATTGCAGTGGCGGAGATTGATCTTGAGTTTGTGAGGAATATGAGGAATGACAGCCCGTTGAAGAGGAGGACGGATGTTTATAATGAGTTGGTCTAGGGTGGTGGAAAATTCGTTATATGTGTTGTATTGCATCATGAGGAGTACCCAAAATCTACAAGTCTGCTAGGAATGCCATTGTACATGCCGTTCAAGTCCAGTCAGATTCAAAAGACGACCGAAACACCTCTCCTACCGACCATCGACGCCCTCCACATCCCGTCCCTCTAGTAACCTTGCCTTCCCCGCTAAACTCAAATACGCCAACTCATGCTCCGCACTCTCAAGCTGCCGTTCAACCCTCGGCCTAACATCATCCAACTCACACCCCATACACTCCGCCATCCTCTCCAACATCGTCGTAAACAAACTCCTCCCACTCCCCTTCTCTCTCTGCGGCCCCTGCGTCCTAGGCGGTTCAAACTCACCCTTCGCCGTCCCCCAACAGGGCCAATCCCAATCATGCGTCCCATGATCATGGTAAAAGTTCAGTAAAGTTGTCTCTGCATTCGAGCTATCGTGGTGCAGCAGTGTGTCTGAGATGAATTCGGGACCGAGACACAGCGTTGCTTCTGCGAAGCAGAATTCGAGCTCGCAGCGGAGTTCGACTTGATTTGCGTCCATGAAACGGCCGTAGGTGCGTTGGTTTATCCAGCCTGAACCGTGGTAGCGGGCGGAGAGAGTGGAGTGGTGGAGGACGAGGTAGATGGCTGCTAGAGGGTCGTGGGGGAGGGATTTTATGTAGGCTAGGCGGTCTGTGTGGTCTTCTGGTGGGGTGTTAGTTAAGAGAAGACTGTGGGGGTTTGGGTAAAGCGGACTGACCAATTGATACTAGACGATATAATAGCAGTAGCCCGGTATTTGCAAGGGGGATGTTATGTTGTAAGACGGCATTGAAGTTGTGTTCAGAGCAGAGGGCGTCCATAACGTCATCGACAATATCGTAATTGTGCACACAATCGGCCAGCCAGTCGACATTGAGCCGACCATCTTCACACTTGAAATCGGTCTCTGCATGCCGAAGCTCTTTCCTCATGAAACTACCTGTAATGGATCTTTCGTAGTTCTTGAAGATGGCGCGAAGCCGAGGGTGTGCGCTCCGAATAGTGGTAATGAGCGAGCCATCGTTGAAAGGCAGGTGCTGGATCGTCTTCAGGACCAGCTCTGGAGGGATCCGTGGGGATATGAGGAAGTTCAGGTACGTCGATGGATCGGAGAAGGTAGTCATGCTAAGCTATGAAGTTTATGACGTGCTGAATAAGATAGTGATTGTGTGGTGTTATGTGCTGAGGGAAGAAGGTAGGAAACCTGGAGTCGATCGATGCGGTCGCGACTTATACTTCTGCGGTAGCTACAGTCCAGACTATACTTTCTGTATACGTATTTGAGGGAGTAAACGGCGCGTGTTCAGCCTCGGTATATTGTCCCCGCGACAGCTATATATTCAAACCGTGAAGACCATGATGGGTGACGATTAGCACCATGATGGCGAATCATCCTCATGATGAGCACGCGTCAGAAGCAAAGTAACGTCACCACGTGTGGTTGCGATTGCGAGGTCTGATAAGAGTTTGTCGCGTGCTTCACAGTCGAGTCGAAGTCGGATGCGATTGCCTGTTCGCATCCGTGCATGTGCAGACGCTGGGACTCGAGGCATGGAATGTAGACTCATGGCTGCAGACAGGCGCTAGGTCAGGCCCCGCTGATGACATGCCGATGGCAGCGTGGGGGCTAATGCAGGTGATGGATGCGATTGCGCAATAGGTCCGAAATGCAGAACACGCGGGGTGTGAGGGGCTGCGAGAGGAAGGCATGTCGAGGTCGGAAGTGGTGATCACGAGCTAGTACCACCCCAACAGGCAGCTCTGCAGATGGTCGAAAGAATCAGAGCAGTTTGCAGATAGTGGCTCAATAGTGAATCGTTTCATATGACAGCCTCAATGCGCCGTGACCCTGGGTATCGTGTTGACTCCGTAAATGCAACATTACATGTCGTGAGATACATCCTGCCTACTGCAGTTCGATGCCTTCCCTCTCCGCTGCCTGCAGTATGAAGCTCCTAGTCTTCGCATCTGGCGCGAGATCCAGCGGCACATGGCCATCTGTGTCCTTCTTGTCGTGCTCTGCGCCCATGGTCAGCAGCAGTAACGCCGCATCGCCGTGCCCCTCGCTCATCGCATGGTGCAGCGCCGTCATGCCGTCCATGTCCGTCGCGTTTAGTGGACTTTTCGCATCCAAAAGCGCCTTCATCATCGGCACGCTCCCCACCGCCGCTGCCCGATGCAGTGGCAGCTGGCCTCTCTTGTCCTTTATCCGCGCTGATGCTGGTGGTTTCTGTGCGAGTAGTGTACGCGCGATATCGAGGTTGACTTTCGATGCGCAAAAGTGTAGGGCGGTCTGACCGTTGTTATTCTTCGCGTTTACGTCGGCGTCTTTGGAGAGTAGCAGGTCTACTATTTGCTCTGCGTCTTTTCGAGAACATGCCATCATGAGTGGCGTCCAGCCTGAGCCATCTGTGACATCGGGATCGAACGACTTGCTTTGCACGAGTGTTTGAACGATAGCGAGGTGATTGTAGGACACAGCCCAGTGTATTGGGAGTCGTTCGTCTGGGTCGCGGAGGTTTGCAAGCTTGGGGTTCGCGGCGAGGAGAGAATCGACTCGGGATGCTGGGGATCGTTAGGCCTGATTTCGTAGATGAGGGCATGATGCGCACTTTGACCTTCTCGGCAGGCCTCTTGAATGGCGTATTTTGCCTTGTATTCTTCCATGGCGTTCACGATGATAGTACAATGTTGTGAACTTGGTGACGTTGACGCGTGTTAGGCAGTCCGCAGCTCAGCTCTAGAAAGTTAACCCCGCTATGGCCGAGGCGCGGACATCGCCGCGCCGTGACGTAATCATTTGGCTACTTTCATCTCTAGAACCAGTCTTGTTAACAACTCCTGACGTTATATGCTCGATCTCACATTCTGCAAGAGTATGGAAAATGTCTCAGGTCTATGGCAGTTTGCTGCAGTCGAGGTCCCCGTTCCAATGTCCGCGCTTCGTTATTGAATACAAGAAGTACCAGCATGTCCAACATCCATCGTCTCCGTCTCATATATACTCCTCACCCATCCTCATCACTATCCGTCCTCTGGCTGCATACAGTTTCTGACAAACAAGCGGGAAATGCTTAAACAGAGGTGACTGAACGCCTGGTTCATCTCGCGCGACCTTCTACCTACTACATCTCATCCACATCTGCTTCAGGAGGATGTAAGGATGTGTTGTCGTCTGCAGACTAAACAGTATCTTTGCTGAGCTCCCAGGTATTTACAACCTGCCCATTGCTTACACGACCAGTAATACGGCCCTTAATCGAGCAAATACCGACAATCGCCTGGGAAATTGGGAGGCTATCCAAGCGAGTGAAGACCAATGTCAGGTGCTCCATGTTCTTAGCAAGGGAGAGAATAACCGCGAGCTGTCCGTCGATCACAGGCGCCCCTACTAACATCCGCCCAAGCCATCGACTCGCTAGTTTTCCTGACGACGGTGGAACAACCTCGTTCATGATATGCTTGAATGCGTCAAACTTGTTCCACAGACGGAGAAAGAACGTGTCGTCAGAACCCGGGGTGGTGTCTGGAACCCCCGTCTTGGTCAAGACAAACGAACGGATGTGCCTTGCAAGATCTTGACGATCAACAAGTGTGTCGAACAACAACATCAGGCTAGTGTATTGCTTGACCGAGAAAGTGAGCGCTTGGTGCAGCCGTCGTTCTGCGAGCGGGCGATAGTACTTTGATGTCATCGAAAGAGCGGAAGCCTCCTTTCCGACTAGGTGCTGGATAATGTTCTCGTCAATCTCGGTTGAGAGACGATCTATGGTGGGCGAGCAAGTGAGAGGGAACGAATTCTTGTATCGATGGTATTTCTCACCGGAGAGCTCCTGGTTGTATGGGTGTAGTATTGACAAGAGTCCCGAAAACGAGCGATATGTCGCGACTGCGCGCCGGCGGTGTATGAGGATGAGCTGGGAATCTTTGGAGAGTTGGTCAAAGGTAGTTTGCGAGATGACCTGCACGTTGCTAGTGGAAGGAGCGAAACTGGAAGGGACACACCTGCTGTATCAGAGGCACAGGTCTTCCTACATTTGCTCATTCTGTTACTTAGCGACGCAAACACGGTGCAGACCGCCCAAGTACGCAAGGAGGCGCGCCCGATTAATCCACAGGGATTGTTACATGTCGATCGCAAAGTTGCGCTTCGACTGGTTCCTAGACTCCGGTCCCGATGACGTCTCAACATCTCAACCAAACTTCACCGCGGTCATGTGCTACTGCTGGTGCCTGCAAGGATGCACACACATAAATTCTGGCGTGTCAAGTTATCCCCTGTTCCATCTCTCTTGCACAGTACAACGACATAGATTTTTCCATACCTCCCACGCAAAGACAACGCACACTCGAGAGGTGCAACCCAATCAAAGCTTCTCTCGATGTCTTTGCACAACTGCCCCTCAACCAAAATCACCATTCAACCATGTCGCTCCTGGAATATTTCACTGGAATTGACGAGAGAATTATACAATACCTCCCGCAACCTGGCCTTCACAGCCTAACTCTTACGAACAAGTACTATCGCAAGATAGCGGAGCCACATCTTTACAGGGATATTCAAGTACACAGTCCAAACACACTCTCTGTAGCACGTCTTCTGTTGACTCTAATTAACCGCAGAGAGCTCGCTCAGCACATCCGGAGCTTCGCCTTGGTTACCGCTGACGAGGGAAGAGCAAGAGACGCCACGAATCTCAGTAACAAGGCTTCAGACATTGAAGCGCGCCGCCATTCGATCGAGATAATGCACGAAAAACTCTTCAGGAAGTCGCCAATCATGAAAGAGGTGATTGAAAAACTCGTAAATTCATTCCGCAACCTTCAGTTTGAGGTGAAGTGGTACTTCAGTGTTCTCGACGCCACCAGGTCTATAGATGGTTCGCTTGACCCCATACTCTGTCTTGCAACCAATCTCGAAAAGCTTCGGCTGATGAGTGTGCAATCTGAGATTACGGAAGCTGTCTGCCGCGCACGCTGGGAAGAACGCACCAAAAGCGCATCCTCACGAGTCTACCCTCTACACAAGTTGAGGAATCTAGACGTAGTGCTTGGAAGGAAAGCTTCCATCCCAACAATAACACCTATGGAGACCTTGAAGGTCAGCGGCGAAGGCGCCGGCCATGACTTCCAATGGCCGCGCAACGGATATGAAGCGGTAGGAACTTTGCGTAGTCTGGAACTTCGGCACATTACTTTGCAGCCGGATCAGCTTCATCACATGTTAGCACTACCGGAAATGCATGGTATACAGCACCTGAAGATGGGAAATGTCTACTTACGGGAAGACCACACGTACGACTTCTGCCGATTAAGCGAACTATTGCAGCACTTTCTTCCATCACTTAAGACTTTCGAATGGACCGGAGAAGAATCTCGACAATGGTATCCGAGACATCACCCATTTGGTAGCGTCACAGGTTTCAAACACTTGAAAGAACTCGTCCTCGGCTTCAAGTACATACGACCAGCTAGTGGCAACATCTACAATCCACTGGCGCATCTTGTTCACCCCGCGGATTCCTTTCCGGATAGTTTGAAGACTCTCAAAAGTACAGGAATATCGCGTTGGTTCCTACATGAACTAGAGGAGGCCTCCGCAGTGTCTCCCTCGCACAATAGTATCCTTACGACTGGCACGTCTCTTGGTATTTCGACCTTCGACCTGTTGCTTGACATGAAGGTATGAGCCCTCCAGAATTACAGGGAAAGTATCAAATTGTTTCTTCTTGAATTGGTGTCCGCTTTGAACGACGTTGGTACGTCAATGCGAGTCTATCGACAAGAAGATGCTTGCGAATCGACACTGTTGTGTGGTCTGGGCTCTGTGGCAGAGCACATCAATCGGGACTGTTAGTTGGATAATATTGGAAACTGTGGAGGATCACAAAGCTGCTCGAGGTGGCGCGGAAAAAGATACCGATAAATTGACTAGCAAGACGTTAGAACGAATTAGGGCTAACGTTAGGCATACGATATATGTAGAGTGGCACGCTGTGCAGTAGGCTTTTGGCGTTGATTATGGAGATTAGTGTATGCTACAAGTAGCTTAGAAGAAGCATGGGCTTCCCATTCACAGCATCACGAGTCGCAGCATGAAGTTCGTCAAATATGTGTCTCGAGGGATTTTCATTCAAATTACGATGCGGATATCTGCACACTATCGAAGGGTATGTAGCGTCCAGAATATCCTTATGGCTTGGAATCTTAGATACTTAAAAGTTGTGCAAGTAGTCCCCCACGTAATTCTTGGCAACGTCACCTATTGCTTGGAAATCCATACCGATGTTTTCCTTGACGTACTGAGCGGCATCATCCCCCAGCTCTGTGATAGTGTTCTCAACAAAACGGTGCTATAGTAAATTAGTCATCTTCGTCCTCTTGCACATCCATGGCAGCTCACTGACCTGGTAAGGCCGGTGGTCCGTGTCGTGAAACACAAGGAAGCGCTTGGTTTGATCCTTGTCCTGCCCGTACTGGAATGACTCGTCGACTGTCAGAGTAAAGTCTTCTCCGCCTGTCTTCTTCGATTTGAATTCGGCGACCTTGTTGGCTTGAACGTAGAGGAGGCCATTGGCGTCACCTGTTTCCGGTCGATTAGCCTGAGTGCATCAAACGAGGAAGAGATTGTACGTACCACCAGACTTGACTGTATACTTGCAGACCTTGTACTTTTCACTGCGTCCTAGCCAGTTCTGGCTCCAGCTGACAGTGATTCTGTTGCTCTTGCCATCATTGAGGAACTCGGGATGAACGTGGATGGTGTTTCCCTTTTGGACGAGAGGAGACATGATGGAGAGAAGATGCTGAAGTTTGGTGAAAGGTGGATGATTCTGAAGTGAGTTGTTGTGGGTTGCTGATGAAAAGATAGATGAATTGCGGGTGTCTTTATACTGCTCAGGCTCAGCTCTTGCGCCGTGATGAATGATGCCAGCTTGGCTGTAGATTCATGCTAGCATTCTTCTCACGCTACTTCACGCGCGAGGTCACCAATCAACATAGTGTATTCGACCTACGGCTTGATCTAGATCATCAACATCGGCCAGCTTAAACTTGAAGCGACTGTATAGCTGTCGTGAAGTACCCTAGTGCCACAAGCCATCGCTGTAACCGTGTAACAAGCTGTGCAGGTTTCGGTCATGTCCAGACGAGAGAGTGATGGAAAGAGACTAGGTCTGCAGACTGCGCGTCGGCAGCTGAACGCGACGATTCTCGCATATTTGCTTATCAGCTAGATGCCATGTGGCGGCGGAACGGGCCAGCATCCTCAACACCTGACAGGTCCATATCGTGAATTCCAGACTCACATTCTCTACGCATCATCACCCAGTGCACCCGTTCATGTGTGCCCTTGCATATATTTGCCGAAGCCTAAGCTATTTGGCTCTTAGTGCTGCGTCGCTCTCCACGTTTTCGGGCACCCCGCCTTCTCGGCCACCAAATGGACCCTTGAGGCTTCCCAGCCTCGAGCTGAAAGCGCCACAATTTGGCATCACCCAACGGCCATACACGCTACTAGGTTCTCGCCTTATGTCTTGTGCGCGAAATGATGTGCGCACATCACAAAAGCGGCAGAGCTATCGCCAAATCGTTCGTATCCCGCTTCTGTCATCCTGATCTGGAAGCGCGTTGTTGTTCATTACTTCTTTGGTCGTTGTGGCTTTCCCGTAGCTCTGGTCTCCCCTCATTGACCGGCCAGTCGTCGAGCGAGTGATACGCCTCTCCTGCGCACCACTCATTTATACTAGGCGGTATATGAGAATTACGAGATGAGAATTGTGTCTTCTGAAGTCACCTTCAAGGCCAGATGCGAGACGCGACGGGACTTCTCACAGCTGCGAGAGTGAACATCTCTTACAGCGGGCTCGGTGGTACTTTTTTTCAGATACAGCGAAGTATAGGATGATTGACATGCAACGACTCGTGCCATGCAGCTGCGATGCTGGTCGCTGTCTGGATATCGTACTATCATGCTCTGGCCCTACAACTAAGGCGCTTACAGGACGTTGCAGCGAAATATTCGAGAAGAAGTATATGAATGGGGAAAGAGAACAACGCAACCTCGGTAAGAGCACGCCCAGGTAAGCAGCGCGTGGAAATCGAGCTAACCGAAAACGCGACATTACGTGAACGCGACTTCTTGGCTGCAGAAGACAGTACAGTAAGCGCCTCTGACTCATACTGCTGCCTGATTTTTCCTCCCGACTTTTAAGGTCAACAATCCCCATCTTAGGCGCAATACGTTTCTCGTCTTGTCTTCCAGTCATGGAAGAATTCCCGAATGAGCTGCTCCTCCAAATCTTCAGTCTTCTGCACACACCGATAACATGCTTTTCTTCACCGCGTGTACCCACTCCTTCGCGAGACCTCCTCGCATTGTGCCTCGTCTGCCGAGTATTCCGGGATGTTGCAAGATCGCTCATCTACGAATCAATCGAGCGGGAGGGCAATACGAATAGTCAGGCTTATCGCCAGCTACCAAATACTCTTCTCAAGAACATGGGGCTGTGTCGGTACATCAAGAATCTGAGACTGAAGGTGGAGGACGGTTTCGAGGTAGGCGATTTTTGGGCGGGGCATAACCTGCGACCCGAGAACGAGCTCGACGACGAAGACGATCAGGAGCGAGCAACTCAGGATGCAAGATGCATTCGCTATCAAAGACGGCATCAAAAGATGCAAGATGGCAATAGAAGTGATGTTGACAAAGAAGTGACCAACATGCCAGATTACACGCCAGAAGGCTACGAGTGGCTCGGCGAACTCATCTCGGCCATGAATAGCAGTCAGGCACATGCTTCTGACCACGACCTCCTTGAGCGCGCTATCTTGGGAGAAGATGTACTACTCACCCCATGTATTCTCTCGGCGTGTAATTTGGAACGACTTTGGCTCCGCCTCCCAAAATCACAACTGGACGAAGACAGCCCAAGTTTCTTGCTCAACAGCATCGTCCACAGTGCTAACGAGGGTGGGTTCGAAAGGCTCAAAGTTCTTCATCTCGACGTGTACCAGAGCGGTGTTGGTTGGCCGGTCCGTAACGCGCTACCTTTGTTTCTTCTTCCGAGTTTGACCGATTTGACCATCGGCAATTGTGGTGAGACTGATCTCGGACGCCCGTGGAGTTTTGGGCCAGATACCAACGACTCCGCATTCATGGGAGAGCCTTGGATGTGGCCTGACCGCACCTCGTCCATTACCAAACTGTCGTTACTGTCCCCGCATTTCAGCGGTTCCATAGTTGCGAAAATGCTACTCGCTTGCAAGGTGCTCACGGAGTTCGAAGTGGTGTCACCATATCAAAGGCCACCCTGTGACGACGAGTTCTATGAAGACGTAGGCGTGGCCCTGCTGGCACATGTAGAGACCCTCGTCCGTTTGTCGCTTGGGGATCAGATGGCACTTGTTGGGCGCACTCTCTTCCAAAATCCAGGCACGTTTCGCATGGGCAGCCTCCTGAGCTCGCTCACCTTCCTACGAGCAAACCCGTACATTCTTCTCGGCTACAGTCACCCGCGTGCGTGGTCTATAGAAACATCACCGATGCTAAAAGATGCTCTTCCGGACTCCCTTGAGCACCTATGGCTTGACGAGCCCTGCAAACCATGGACACTGCATACGTGGCCATACTTTGAAGGTTTGTTTAGAGCCATTCGAAGCGGGCAGTTGCCTCAGTTGAAGAGTATCCATATCCACTGGTATCAAGCGTTCCCCCATAATTGGGACACTATCATCCACCGCGTCAGACACCTGATACACCTTCGTGAGGCCGCGTTGTGGCGAGCAGGTCCCATCGTGTTTACAGTTACTGTGCGAATAGCCTACAGCACTTCTGGTGAGTCCTAACTAATCATATTTTGACACAGAATCTGGAATGCTAAGCCAGTACAGAGTATGCGGATCAAGGGTTTGGAGATTTTGTGAAGTATAACAACATACGATATTCGCCGCCAAAACCGTCACCACTGGTTTACTGCAGAAGATCGGATCTGAATCATCCAGACGGTCGGCGATACTATGTTGAAGCTGGTACATGCGAAGTACCTCATAAGACCCCGGAGGAGATGCAAGATGATATGGATCACGGATATTGGAGGATTTTGCCTCCACCTGATTTCTGGTAGCAATATGCAAGCTTATTCTCGGGATAGGTTTGGGATAGGCTTGGGGTATATTGCACTCATTCGTACGCACATCTAGTCTCTAAATCCCGACAACAACAGAAACAAGACCAACAACGACCAACAGTCCCCAAGAAACACTCATTCCCATGGCACCGCTATCAACCTCAGGCGTGCCGACTTCTTTCACGTCATCGATCTTGCACACAGTTTTGCATCCCTTCTCAGCTCTCTTTCTTCCAAACAAATCCGTGGTATCTCTCTTGTTCTCCTGACTTTTGCCCTCATACGGTCCACTGGTGTTGAACGTCATTTCAATCCACTGGATGTGGAACTCGGCACTATCGCCGACCGACATGTTGCCACTCCACTCTCCACCATCACCCCACATGTTCAAGACCAGAAAACTCTGCTCGCGGGGGACGGAGTATGTGTTTGCGGCGACCTGCTTCTGGTTCAGATACCAGTAGCTATTCTTGGGAAGCCAGTCGATGCGGTGTGTTTGCCATTCGTCCCAGCGAGGGAGGTCGGTAGGGCCAACAGATGCAGCAGCTACTTCGTTGCCATCCTCGCCTACTGAAGGCTGGTTCGTGTAGCGGATCTGGTCTGTGGGATCGTCGGTCAGGATCTCGATATCGGATTCGTTGTCGTCGTCGAAAAACGTGAAGAATCCTGCCACTGCACCCTTGGCACCCTGGACACGACCGTACATGCGCATCGAAACGTGCATGAGATTCTTCTGCTGGTTCTCAATCTCTCCAGCCGTCTGGTAGTCATCCAGACGCGACGTTCGTAGCGCGAGGTATGATGTGGAGTCTTCTTCGCCGAGGAAGATGTTCGCGAAGGAGTTGTTCATCGGTACGGGGAAGTCTTCGGTGGCGGGCTTGGTCCAATTCTGGATACCCCAGTCGTAGTTCCATGCATCGCTATTGAACAGATCTGGCTGCCATGTATTCGCCATGCCTGCGATCTGATTATCTTTGAGGAGCGGCGGTGATTCGCTCATCGCGCCTGGCAGGTTTCGGAAGTCGTAGAAGCGGTAGTACTGGAAGTACTCTGGTGTTTGCGAGTCTTTGCCGGACTGGACGACATAGCAGTCGCAGTCTGGATTATTATCTTTCGGTGTTTCGTTCATAGAGCTGGTGTACGGGTTGGCAGCGAGTGCAGACTGGGCGAGTAGTGCCGTAAGAGGCAGGAGCAAGGCTCCTAACGGTTGAAGGTATGACATGGCGTTCGGTTTCTTGAGATTCGTATCGTAGATGTAGTGACAGTATCCAAATAATTAAACAATAAGGATATGTAGAACGAAGACGGGTGATAGACGGCTAGTAAACGTGAAGGGAATAGCGAACGAGTGTCACCTAGCCATGAATAATCACCCAGAAGAATGAAACGTGAAAGCGCTCAACAACGCTGCAACAAAACTCGACGATGTAAAGAGACGATACCTAAAATCAAGAGGTCAGCGCAAATGCGGGCTCCGCAAGCTCATATACTAAAAACGTGCAGTAAAGCCGCTCGCTACTGCGCTTACACGGCACCACCAGTCAGGTCAGTCTCGAACACCGCCCACAAGTCGTGCTTTTTCTCTCTAAACAGGCGCGAAGCTTGTCCTAATTACGTTCGCTAAGGTATGTGTCTAAGCCCAGAAAACCGCGCGCTCGAATTGGAGTAAAGGCACTAAGGCAAGTAAGCTGGGCCAGAAAGAAAAGAGGGATATACGAAACGAAACGCGCGACACATCACACCAACGCACGCCATTGTTGGCGGTAGTGGTGCTGCACTCAGCCACACTGCTTCTGGCCTTCTGGACCGCTAACGGACAGGGGGTTAGGGGTCGTGCAATGTTTGCAGCGCATTCCTATAGGTTGAGCGGGTGGATGGACGTGATCCGCCCCTGGTTTAGGCTGCTTCGGGGGTCTCGGTAACGGTGATGTGCCAGCGGGAGTTTCGGCGCAGGCGCCAAGCCTGATGTGGCTTGACCATCCGACTCTTCGGACGACCCGGGATTGTCGTTGAGTCTCGAGTACGCTGTGAGATTAAATCATATGTGAAGAGGACTTTAGTACATAGGGTGAGACATCTCCCATCAGATCGGCTGTTACCGAGGGGTAAAGAGAGTGTTGGTGTTGTAAAGTTGTAGCCCGTCATTACGAAACATGACAGGGTTTATGGGTCACCAGCCACAACCTTCCACATGGCCGGGCGCTAACCAATGCAACTAAGTCTCAAAATAGCCCCGATTCAATATTTCTGAGATGCGGCGCCAACGACGAATACGTCCTGATGAGACGGTCATACGAGCACGTTTTCGCGTAGCTGGCAACACTTTCAGTTTGTCACGATCTCGTATCTTCTTCACTGACGCGGGGTCTGGAGGACTTGGGAATCTGGCAATACGGCTTGTTGAGGGGTAGGTATGCTTGATGTGTCTATAACGTTTTTGGTAGGTGATGTTGGTGTTGCTGAAGGGGCTATAGCAGCGACGGCGATATTGCGACCAATATATTTGTCGGTCGTCGGTCACACCCCTGAGAAATTCGCCGGCTTGTATAGACAAGCATTGCTTCGATGTACGACGTGGGGCGCCACAACTTGGCACCTGAACAACTCCTTTTGAATCACCGGTCTGCTCGGGCGTGACCTGTGATATATCAGAGTCGCAGCATGCATTAGAAGCACCATCGGGTTCGATGTGGCAGGGGCCGTGCCGAGTGTCTGGACAACAGGTCTTTCGACATGCTCAACTTCCGCTCAGCATGTTCGACACTGCTTTATTACATAATGGCTAATTAAAGTTTCTATAGAAGTTCATAAAGCTCATTCTCGTGATCTTACCTAACCACCCGGAGTGAACATACATGCTACGGCGCCTCTAGCATCGGATCCAACAATTGATACAATATATCCATGTTATCTTCACATTCCGATCGGAGAGATCAGACGTCACGCAATGCCGACGAGCATACTCAATCCCGCGCCATACTACCATATCGTCGATTGTCAACGAAAACAAGCTCCCACTGAGCAATTTCGCTTGACCACCTGAGCTCAGATTTGTGATGAGGCCAAATAGCTCTTTCCCTTGGCTACACGACCCACAAACATGCCTTCCTTCACCTGGATCACGACGATACGCCGCCTGCTCCTTCTTGTTTATTCGACCCACCCCATCAAGAGTCACCTCGCGTCTCAATGCATGAAGTCAATGAACGACTTACCAGCGGAGCTGATCCATAACATCCGTGGGCGATTGCTGAAGGAAAAGCCCCTTAAGATGTCGCGAATGTCCAAGCAATACCGCGACACAACGGAGGATTTCTCTACAGGGAGCTCGTCTTCGATCAAGATCATTAAATTCGGATTGGAAGCCTTTTTCTTACCGTCGTTGGCCGACCGGAGCTAGCAAAATGGATCAAAAGCGTCACAATCATTACGAACCTGGCCCACGCGTGGACAGCGTTGCCAATGATGCCTACTACCTACGCTTCTGGAACAACATCCCCGCTATAAGAGGCACGATAGGAAACATCGGCAAGGACTTGAATATGGAGTTGACATCACGCTGTTTTGGTCGCATCTTCGTCGGCAACCATTCGTTCGATGGCGCGTTAGCTGCTGTCCTCTGTCTCGCTCCAAATCTGGAGCACTTTGTAATTGAACCGCTTGCACTCACAGTGGCACTTGTAGGCCACGGATGAAGACACAGCGATGAGAGCCCAGAAATTCGTCCTTTTCGCAAGTTGAAGGGTCTTTGTATACGCGGGGCTCTAACAGGAGGCCCCGCACCTGTATTACCGTGGATGGAAACTGTGAGCATAAATTGCGACAAGATGTCACACGGCGACAATCGTCCATCTGTTGGTTTTTCCCTATCCAACATCCACAATTAGTACGAACCTACGAGTCTTGGAGATCAAGAATGCAGGCATTGGCCCAGGCGCTTTCGAAGAGCTTTTTGCTTTTCCAGAACTCAGCAATGTCAAAGAGCCGAAGATCAGCGGAGTATTTGTTGGCTACGGGGGTCTATGGAATGCTGATTACGGTCTCCGACGCATTACTCAAGTGATTGAAGATCATCTACCTGACCCAGAGGTTCTACACTGACTTCAACACGACTGGGATAGAGGAAGGATTCTCCCGACAACTTTCGGCAGCTTCAAGGGTCTGTCAAAACTACGGGAACTGAAGCTAGACGCCCACCTGCCGGCAACTCCTGATCTCCGTCAGCATCACGGTGGAGAGGTGCTGCCTCTCAGCCGTCCGCAAGAGTATTTACCCGACAGTCTTGAAGCTCTCTGCATCCTAAGTTTGAGCGCACAAAACGAATGAATCGACTCGATTCTCCAGGTAGCACGTACTATGAACTTCCAAACCGTTGAACTGTCACTCGACTTAGACAACTGGGATTCGGGCGACCATGGCTATTCTGGATCAGCACTTCAGGAATTACGCAAGACGCAGAGGAAGTTCTTTCGCGACACTGTGGCAAACATGAGTGCATCAGGCATAAAAATGCGTGTCTGGCGATAAGAGGGCAAATATCCAGAAGAACTACTCTTTGCCTTAGGATATCAGCGGCCGTGGCCTATCTGGGTGGGAGCTGAAAAGGCGGACTGGAGCAATCGGGTTCGCGCTGCATGGGAGGCCAAGCAAGACACACCCCCAAGTCCTGAAGACTCAGACGAAGACGAGTATTTCTATGGGCGGCAACTGCAGAGGGATAATAGCAGTGATCAAGATGATAGCGACGTTGAGCAGAAGGGAAAGGATAGAGATAATAGCGGTGATAAAAACAAGGATGATGAGGAGAACCGGGACGGTAAAGTGGTTGAGGTTGTGGTAGTGGACAAACGCAATGATTGAGATGAAGCACGAGCAGTCTCGCGCGGCTAGGAAATGATAGATGCGTCACGAACCGCCCACCACATTAAAACAACTGTTCATAACAACAATTACATCTTCATCATCATGCAATTTTTCTCTACGAGATATACATAACCCTACAACAAACCCCCATCATCTCAACAGGATATATCCAGAACACAATTAAACTCAGTTAACCTCCCCAGCCTAACCACTTCCTCATCACATCATCTAAAACCAGCACTTTCCATACCCCTTATCACACCCAAGCCCACACGCCCAAGGATCAATCGAGCACCTTCCACTCTGCTTGCAGCAGCAACCCATCTCAACACCAAACAGTGTCTTGTAGCCAGCGCACGTCTGACCACCATTGTGCTCACCGCACTTTCCGTTCGAGGAAACGGGCAGCTTGGTAGGTGTGGGTGTCGCGGTGGTGGAGCAGGAAGTAGAGCTGGGGCGGACGATGGCGGTGGAGAAGGAAGAGGAGGGGAGGATGGGAGTGGGTGTCATGGTGGAGACGGGGTAAGGGGTGGAAGCGGTGCTGCTGCTTAGGACGGCAGAGCTGGAGGCGGGGGACGAGGAGGACGCGGAGGAGGCGATGGAGCTGCTTGATGGGACGACCTCGGAGTTTCCAGGGGTGGAGATGGGGTAGGTGGAGGAGACTTCTGAGACGGCGGAGCTGGTGGGGTAGCTGTCCTTGGAGGCGGAAGCAGACTCAGCGGTGGAGGAAGCAGAGGCCGCGACGGAGGTGGAGTCGTGCTCCTCGGGCTTCTCAGATACAGGGGCTGAAGCTGATGCGGAGACAGAGGCAGAGACGTACTCAGAGATCGAGGCAGAAGCCGATGCGGAAATGTGCTCAGACATGGATGCAGAAGCCGAAGCAGAGACTGAAGCGGAAACAGAAGAAGAAACGACCTCAGACGTAGGAATAGCCGCGGTCGAGGAAGCGGAGTCAGACTTCTCGCTGGCGCTAGAGACAGTAGCAGAAGCAGAAGCAGAAGCAGAAGCAGAAGCAGAAGCAGAAGCAGAAGCAGAAGCAGAAGCAGAAGCAGAAGCAGAAGCAGAAGCAGAAGCAGAAGCAGAAGCAGAAGAAGAAGCAGACGAAGAAGAGGTCGAAGGGCAGTTGCCGTAGACCGGGTTGCAACCAGCACCGCAGTGGTCCTCAGAGGTACCGCAGTATCCCCAAGCAGAGCAGCACTCAGACTTTACGCCCTCGAGAGTGCTGAAACCGACGCAGGTGTACCCCTTGGTTCCACCGCATGAGCCATCGCGAGACTTCTCACCAGAGGTGGTAGGAGTAGCAGAGGCCGCGGAAGAGATCTGGCTGGCGCTTGAGCTAGCATCGACGGTGGTGCTTGAAGCGGTGGAAGAGACAGCGTCCTTGCTGGCACTGGCATCGGTGGAGGAAGAGGGAGCAGGGCTGGTGCTGGCAGCAACGGAAGAAGAAGCGCTGCCAACGGCCTGAGCACCGCACTTTCCGAAACCAGCCTGGCATCCGGCGTCGCAGTAGATATCAGTGTTTCCACAGTATCCGTACTGGGAGCAGCACTCGCTTAGGCCAGCGGGACCGTTGAAGCCAATGCAAGTCATGCCACCGTTTGCCGCACCGCAAGATCCGTCGGTAGTGGTGGGGCCGGTAGGGGTAGGAACGGGGCCAGTGACGCTGGCAGAGACGGTAGCAGAGGCGGAGGGAGAAGCACTGGGCTGGGCACCGCACTTTCCGAAACCAGCTTGGCAGCCAGTTTGGCAGTGGTCGGCAGTGTTGCCACAGTAGCCGTATTGAGAGCAGCACTCGCCGAGGAGACCATCGACACCAACCCAGCCAACGCAGGATTGGTCACCACCAGCAGCTCCGCACATACCGTCTTTGGAGGTGGGGCCAGTAGGAGTGGGGACAGCAGAAGAAGAGGTACGGGTAGATGAGGTGCTGGGAGGAGCGGGGGTAGAGTCGCGGTACCAGTTCTCCTTGGGGTCCTGCATGCACTCACCCATAGTGACGGCCCTGAGGCCCTGAGCGTAAAGATAGTCGAGCATGTATACAGTGAGGTTCTCGGCAGTCAATTGGTGGATGTCATGGCCGATGACAAGCCTGTCACCGTCGTATGGGTCTCCGGAGTTACGGGTATCAATGCCCTCCTTGAAGTTGTCCTTGGCGACCTGGATCTTCTCGGGAGTCAACTGGTTGTAGTCATCGGTATCGAGGTCGAAGTAAGACACGACGTAACCAAGATCGGCCATGACTTCCTGGCAGCTTCCAGTGCAAGAAGAGTACGGTGGGCGCATGTAGGTAGGGTATTTACCGATGATGTTGCGAATAGCCATCTCGTTCTTGACCATTTGGTCGTAAGCCTCCTCTTTGGTGATTTTGCTGAGATCCTGGTGGGACCATGTGTGAGAGGCGACCTGATGGCCATTGTCATACATCTTCTTGATGACGTCCGCCCAGTTTTCGTCAATGGCGCCCTTGCCGATGTTGTTACCAGTGATGAAGAAGGTGGCGTGGGCTCCTCGTGCCTCGAACTGCTTCATAACACCCTCGGTATAGATGTAGGGACCATCGTCGTAGGTGATTGCAACGGTTCCAGGATTGTTGCAGACGTAGATGCCTCCACCGCCGTAGGGAATGCTTCCAAGCTGCGGGCGGGGGTCGTTCCGGGTGCTTGCTCCAGCAGGAGTCTTATTGGCGTCTGTCGCACCATCAGTAACATGTTCACCGTGCAGAGTATTGACTATATCATACCACATGCAGGTCCAAAGTTGAACAAGCAGTCGGGCGCTTGGCAGTGCTCCTGAGTAGTACCGCAGTATCCCTGTTACTTTGTAAGTACAAGCTCAATACACGAATTGTCTCATTCGATATACGTACGGCGCTTGAGCAGCACTCGTTGTCCGCACACTTCTGGTTGCCGCCATCCGGACCACAACGTCCGTCGGTAGACTGACGGGGACGGATTACGGGTCCTGCCTGAGCAGCATGACCACCTGAGTAACCAGCAAGAGGGTTGCTGGCCCTCAATTGCCTGGGTAGACCAATGATCCTTGGCATACCCTCCATGCCATGAGCAGCGACGAGCGGTGCTACCAAGGAGGCAGCAGCGACTTGGGAGAAACGCATCTTGGCAGATTAATATTTACAGCACTAGTATAATATGTGTAGTCGACTGCGGTTGTAAAAGCGAAAGCGAGTGTGGTTGACAGTAACGTCAATTAGAATTAGTCGATGGGAATAAACGAGTGACGGTCGCTATGCGTGCAAAGACGAGCAAGACGAGTAAAGAGCGTAGGGAGAAAGAAGGAACCCGATGTACTTATAATACACAATGCCATAGACGCACCTCCAAGGGCGACTCGTGGCGGCGTAGCTGCGAGGAGTGGAGCCCACTAACTCGAAGAAGTCAGCACACTATTATCAGCAGCCAAGAGCGCGGCCCTGGGAAACCTTCGTGGGATACGAAGAGGATGTGGGGACGACATGGTACTGAGACGATTGCGAAGGCGTCTAGTATAAGCCACCACCAGATGCTACAATACGATTTCGCGTCCCCAATGTGATGGTATGTCTTGGTAGCCGAGCAGATCTGGAGGCTTGACAGCTGCCAATTCCCAAAGACTTGTCAATCTCAAAGAGGCATAACGAAGCCTGAGCGTGTCCTGTTCCTGACGAGGCCAAGCCGTTAAGTCGCTGGGGTCTAAATATATGAGCCGCGATGCTGGTTCTGACCGGCTCCCGTCGCGGATATACTGAAGTGGGATGATCGCCGGCGGGGCCCAACTCAACAATAGGCTAGAGGGATACTTGGCATCACAAAAACATCGTGCTTTTCACGTTGATGGCTTGATGTGGCGTTTGATGGCGTCTCGCGTAGGAATCAGAGGCCGTTTGCTTTCGGCTTTCTCGGTACGCGGCACCCATCAGAGGGCTTCGAAATTGGAGGGCTCTGTTGAAGCCTTCAGTGCTGGAATGATCGGTGACCGTAGCATACGACTCGTAATCTTGATGCCATGTCTGTCAGTTCATGCCTCGAGGTACAGCAATCGTTGCTCGTAATGTCAGTGATGTCAGTGTTGTCAACGGCCGTCGCGATACCTCGTGCCGTGGTATTGGGAATAAGCGACAGCGCACCAGTAACGGTACATCGTCATGCAGGCCGTTCGTACGATGATACTCCGAATCGCATTTCGTCCAGCCCTAAGACGAACGCCTGAACGCCAAGGTCAGGAGAGCAGGATTGGGAACGCCCCGGTCGTCGTCCGCTGGCCGCGATTCGGTGCTAGGAGGCCCCTGAAGGCCTTCATTTCCACCGCCAAGCTCGAAGCGAGCGCTGGCTTCCGCTCTCGATAATCGATAATGCCGCGGGCGGCAACGAACCACCGGCAAGCAAATCGCATGTGCAATGCGATGCAAGATGTTTAGAAACTTCGCTAAGGCAATGTAACCAGTAGCCAGAGTGTAGAGTAGCTGGCTGTCTGATACCGATTTACCGCTGCGAGGCTGCGGGTAAGCGGCTGCGCTGTGCACTTTAGCTCCACGATAGTGAGTTTGGATAGCTGCATCTCTTAGTTGCTCAGTTGTGGTTCGGCTAAGGCCAACGCGCCACTAGAAAATCTTCAGCTGGTCCTTGTACACGGTGTTACGAGGAGGTGGAAATTGACGGCAATGCCGAGCAAAAGTGGGTATCATTAAGTTCAAGTACATATCTGGATAAGAGGTATAGTATCATGGTTCGCGAAGCCGACGCAGAAGCAGAAGTATGCTTTGCTTGATCATTTCTTCACAATGCGCAAGAGAGGAGCGATCCTCGCACGTTTGCTCAGCCCGACACGGTATGGCACCTTGCCTGTGTTGGCTGGCGATGCAGTTGTAGGTTTTATTCTTCGTTCTGGAGTCTCTGCCGCCGCAGCTGGGGAGGGTTTTGCTGGCGGTTTAGAATGAGTGGCAGTCGATGCATCCGTGACATCTGGTGACCTTCCGCGATCGGTCTCCTTGCGTGTGATTTTAGAGTCTTGCTGTGTATGTTCTCGAATGGACCCGGGCTCTATCGTTTGTACGACTTCATCTTGGTGCTCTACCTCCACGGCTCGTTCCAATGGTTCTGGGTCAGGTTCTACGGGCGGAGCAACAGGCGCAACCTTCTTGGGCCGACCACGTGCCTTCTTCTTCACAGGCGCGATCTCAGGCACGACAGAGCCCGTCTCAGCAGGTTCGCTCTCGGCTTGTTTTGATGTGGTTTTCTTGCGCTTTGCTTTCTTATTTGAGTCGGTGACAGAGCCTGGAGGCTGCTTCGAAACGGCTGTTGGTGACTTCTTCGGTATGACTACCTGGACTTTCGTTGGAGAGCGCAAATCGGAAAGTGGAGTTTCTGTGAGGTCGGTAGACTCTGCTAACACGGCATCATTCGCCACCGCAACATGAACCACATCCTGCGCAACGGCCTGCGTATCATCCCTTTGATACTGATCTAAACTGCGCATAATATCCTGAATGGCCTCAGAGTCCATCGCCGGGGTTTCGTTGCTCTTGTTCATGACCGGCTTGATTCTGGGTGGACTTGGTGGTGCAAGCTCGTCGTGGCCAACATTGTTACTGACTAGCCAGTCGATGGTTTGTATGACGTCACCGTTATTTTGCTTGAGGGCGCCGGAAGTCGTTGAAGGTGTAAATCCCATGTCGCAAATCTGCTGTACCTTTTCAGGCGTTGTAGGGTTGCTGGCATCGGCGGTAGCCGTCGTCTGTCGCCGTTTACTGACCCTTTTGGCCTTCTCGGGGCGGACAGAATAGTCGATGGGCTGCTCCTCTTCAACCTTGAGCGATCTTGAACGGCTGGGCCGTGGCTTGTATTGCTCCTTTGGCAGGCTAATAGTCGCAAGATCGTCGTCGGAGCTGGCAATGGGCACTTGTGCGGATTTCGAACGACGAGGTGTCGTCTTGACTTGCTTGTGCTCACTGTGTGCAGTCTTCTTTGGTGCAGTTGATGGTATATCCCAAATATCGGCAGAGCTGGCTTCAACAGGTGTCGCCTTTCGGTCGGCGTCACCGGCTCCATTACAGGACAGTTCGTTCCTCAAAGGACTGCCTTTCAAAGGGCCAGAAGATCCGCGCCTACTTCGTTGGGATGCGCTGTACTCATAGCCTCCCTGTGTCGTCCGGACTGGCGTGGCTGACGGAGGATCGTTTGAAGGTGGGCCACGATCAGATAATTCAGTCTGCTCCGTAGCCTCTGCCGGCGTGAACTTCATAAGATCTGACCAGGGTATCGACGGCTCCGGTGGAGGTATGTAACGAGGTTGTTCACTATCGATCTCTTGTCCAATCGTCAGTGGTGCATTGACAATGTCGAGGATGTGTTGTTGGGTCATAGTAGCGTTGGGAACGGTACTAGAAGGCTCAGGGAACATGGCCGGTTCGTGAAGGGCGTAGTCGTCGTGCATAGTTCCTTCTGGGAGCCATGGTACTTCTTGAGTAGGTTCGAGGGTCGCGTCTGCTTGGCCCACAAGCGGAGCGTTGAACGACGGAGAACTACCGAAGATGGATTTGGGAGCCTTCCCATACGTGACGGGTCCTTTCTTAGCAGACGCACCATTGGATGGTATGTGCAGGCTTGGATCAGCTGTGGTCTTTCTCTTTTTGTTTGGATGTTCAGGCAATGACACTGATGACTGAGGCTCTTCCTGGCTCGGCTGTGACTGGAGATGGTTCCGGTGCGCCTTTTCAATGGCTCTCTTCAGAGATTCTGGGCTGTATGTCAGCTCGGTCTGATGACATGATGCCGTGAACTCAGCCCTACCGGTGGATCCCGTGCCGTGGGTATCATTACTGAGTGGCTGTCCGGACGCGTCTGCTTGTTTGGGCGGTGGGAGGTCGCCCTCGAGATCGCCATCCTCATCCTCATCGGAATCCTGTACAATACGCGACATCGTTGTGCACGCTGTGCGGCTTCAGGTAAATGCTTAGATTGCTGAGGCGAGACGACTGGGGAGTGGGGTGGGTGATCTTTCCGGGTGATCGCGTTGCCTCGCGTAATCACATGACGGGACGAGCTACTAGCGCGTCATCTTTCCATTTTCGGTAGGCACCATCAACTTTCTGGCAGTTGTACCCTCCACCACAGATCATTCTGCCAACATGGACAGGTTCGCATCCAGTTCAAGCGATCGCGCAGATGTGTCTGGAAATCCCCGATTCACATCCCAGGCCGCGACAGCAGAAGATTTACTGAAGGCGCAAACTGTCGGCCTGGTCAACCTCGACGACTACCGCAAGCGACGCGCCGATGCGTTGGACAGGAAGGAGCGAGGCGACACTGCAATCAGCTCGGGCGAAAACACACCCACAGACGGGTATGGAGGGTTCTTTCCCATTAGGAGGTACTCGCTAATTTGCAAAGTACAGGGCATCGACGCCAAAACCCGTCTTCAAAAAGAAGCGCAAAGTAGCCGGCAAAGGCAAGCTATCATTCGGCATAGACGAAGACGAAGACACCGAATCCAATGTCTCCAAGACACCCACGCCGCGCGAAAGCACCCCCGCAGACGGCTCTGCCCCAGAAGCCGACACCAAAGTGTTCAAGAAGAAGCTGGGCGCAAACTCGAATATCGGTCTCAAGCCCCGCGTCATGACCAAGACGGCTCTCCAGCGCGAAGCACAGCAGGCAGAATTAGCGCGGCAAGACTTCATCGTCATGCGCGACGCAGTCAAGGCGACGGAAGTGGTGATACCATTCGTCTTCTATGACGGCACCAATGTCCCAGGTGGACGATGCAGGATTAAGAAGGGCGAACAAATATGGCTGTTCCTCGATAAAGCCAGGAAGGTCGGTGCAGAGCTAGGCGTAGGCGGTGACAAGAGTCGAAGAGACTGGGCCAGGGTCAGCGTGGACGACTTGATGCTCGTCAGAGGCGAAGTTATCCTGCCGCACGTGAGTATCAAAATTGAAGACTGCGTATTGACCTATCAACTAACCCCGTGTCAGCACTACGAGATCTATCACTTCCTATTCAACAGAGTCACCGGTTTCGACGGCCCCATCTTCGACTACTCGGCGCAACCCACAAAAGCTACTCCGAGCGCGACCGATGCAGACGCAGACGCGGATCCTGCTACATACGACCCGCTTGCTCAGCCCCTTAAGAAGAAGAGCAAAGAGTCCAGCATACCAGATGAGGAACTCGAGGGTTACGGCGAAGACCCAGCGATAACCAAGGTCGTTGACAGGCGGTGGTACGAGCGCAACAAACACATATTTCCGGCAAGCGCATGGACAGAGTACGCACCAGACAAGGACCTGTCCAAGGTGCAGCGGAAGGACAACGAGGGCAACGCTTTCTTTTTTTCGTAAACCACCTGATGGTCCAGGAATAATCTCCAGGTCGGCCTAGGCCTGCTATTCGCCTAGTTCTTATCTTGGAAGCTCTGGCGCTCGATGGGAGGGCTAGCGGGAGGGGTCTAATGGCTCGGGCGGGATATGGAGAAGCCA